GACATACAGACAGCCGGATGCGTATATTTAGAACTTATTAAATTGCTATAATTTATACGACTTATCTGGTGGGTGGCGTGGCGTCTTCGTCTCTGAAGTCTGCAACGTCGCATGCCTGCCTGGCTGCCTGCTTGCCTGGTTGAGTGCCTCGAGGGTTGCTTCGCACTCGTAAAATACTGAGCGAACAAAAAAAAAATCTCATTGCATAGCTACAGGCGCGCACACGGCATGAACCTGCGACAGTTCGGGGCAATGGCAATTAATTTACATGCAAATCGCGCCAAAAGTTTTTTACCTCCACGCGCCCAGCGACTGCTATAAAAAATCCACTGTCTGCACAGCGTCTTAAAGTGTGCGTTGCTTAAGGGCTACCACACAGCCTTCACCCAACACACACACACACAGAGACAGATACACACACACACACACTTGATTAGTGCGCCGCCTGCTTAAAACAATATGGCGAGGACGAAGGACTACGACCCTTTTGGGACAGCGAGTCGCGTGCGTCGATGTCGACAGGTTGCCGCACCGTTAGACGATCCAACTTCTTTAAAGTCCTCTTTGTTCCTGTCATTGTTGTTGTTGTGGCCCCTTCTTGCTGTACGGCCTAACAAATTGCAATATTTTTTCCTCCATTTTGTGCTGCTGTTTGATTTATTGTACAAGAACAATAGGAGCAACGCTGAACGAGCGCACATTAAACATTTAGAAATGAGTTTAAAGTTTTAAATGGAATTTTTGATTACACGCAAGTGCGGCGTGGGCGGGCAAGGAAAGAGGTTCCACTAAGAGAGAGAGAGAGAGAGAGAGAGAAGGGGCGTAGCAACCTAGAACAATTTGCCACTCATTTAAATTAGCGTAATTGCTAAAGAGAGATTATTAGACTTAGTGAGGGGCCTATATAAGGAAAGAGCATGCTAAGTGAACAGCTCCAAATGGGATATCATTTAATGGACACTTAAAAATAAGATTGAAATTGTACATTTTATGACCCATATGAGTTCCTGCTGCATGCCATGTTGCCCAACTTAATAGCATTTGCCACGATTTGCAGGACCATTCGTAAGCTCCCCAGCTGCTCCAGGTCTCATTTTGTCAATCCATCACAATCCCTTTTGCCCATCTCCATTCCTTGACAACCCTCTTATGACAGCATAACATTAGCATTTCCCTCCTACCATCTCATCTCTCCGGCTCCTGCTCCTGCTCCTGATCCACTCAACCTCAACCCATTCGCAGTTTGGGTAAATCTCTAAAACTCCAAACACTTTGTATTTACAATAAATTTGTATCTGCTGCGCGCTTGCGCTTGCTCTTCGTTTCTTTTTCAATTTACAGAACACAAAACGCGGCCATTAAACGCTTTAAAATCAACATAAGCTTCACGAGGACAGGGGCAATAAAGTCGATCCAAAAATTGCTTCCTCCGCACATTAAATCCAACAACATGGCGAACCCCAAAATCGTTCTACATGCCTAAATTCCTTTACACAGCAACACATACAAACACAACACACAATACACACACACACAGAGACACACACACACCCACACATATACATACACAATTATTGTGCTTTGCACACAAAACGCAGCAAAAGTAAACGAAACACTTTACCATACTTCTGGCTCTTCCCCCACCACCCCTGTCATCTCCCCTGCTACGCTCTCTGCCCACTTAATACTTAAATGCAAACGTGTAAATTATGTGATTTTTCCCCGGCGGCCATGTTTGTTTGCAAACTCCATTACCAACATGGCGGGAGCTTCCTTTAGCCTCGACATCCTCCCCTCCCACCGCCGCCACTACCATCACCTCCCGTTGCCACCACCGCCGCCGTCACCTGTTTGTTTCGAGAAATCGTCGCTCTTTACCATTAAAACCAAACAAAAACGCAAGAAAAAAAACCGAACCGAGTACCCCTTTTATGTGTTTTTCATGTACTTTTATTTGATTGTCGCACGCTTCGGCGCCTGGCAGGGAAGCCAGATAGATGGGCTGAGGGGGCGGAGTGTATGGGTATAGTGCTGGAATTTATAGCTCTATTTTAGTGCTTAAAATATTAGCAAATGTTCATTAACGACTATGCAAATTGGCCTTAGTCAGGCTCACTTAAAACACTCTGCAGAGTCCAGGCAATTACTCAAAAATACTTAACACACAATTGACGATAAGAAAAGTCTTAACTACCCACTTTAAATGTTCCACAATCCATTAAAGTCTAGCCAAGTACCGTTTTGGAAGAGAATTTTAATTTATACCTCGTCTGCTTGGATATTCTTCAATAAAAAATGTTTAGAAGACATCATATTTCAATAGCGGTTACTCATAAATTGGCCGTCAGGTAAAGCAGAGCCAAATTAAATCTAGAATCTCCATCCCCGGATCTAAAGTGTTTATTGCACAACACCTTGGCCAAACACATAAAATATAAATTTGTAATTTTAATATTATTAAAAATGTTAAATTGCATGCAGCATAAATCTCATTTGTGCTTGTGGACAGGTCTGGTGTGGGGATGATAGTCAAAGTGCGTCAGCTTGTTGGCATTATTGTTGCCCAGGGGTTGAGACAAAAACACACTGACACATCCCAACACACACACACTCACGCACAAATATATGTGCACATTATACAATAACCATTACTGGCAGCTGTGTTTGCCACACTATTTTTATTGTCCCCCTTTTTGTGTGTTGCTTTAATTTAAGCGATTCGCTTTGGGTTCATAAAACAGCCGATGGCGTTCTCCCTCAAAGTTTTCATAAAAATGTAAATGTAATAAAATTACTTGTTAAAACCAATGATTAAAGCCTTAAGTAAATCCATATTAAATGCATTAAAGCATAGACCATAAGGTAAAAGCTATCCTTAGAGTTTTTAATTAAAATCATTTCGACCACAACTAACCATTTTCATTGATTGGCCTTTTAAATTGACTTGGCCAGCATTTGATAAATTATTAAAATTACTAAAGCGTACAGGGCTTTCTACGCATACAGAAGCAAATTGGAATATATATTTAAAGGTTTTACAACTGAGCTGCAAGCAAATCAATAACATTCTGATTGTGCTGTTGGAAATTCAAGCAGCTAATAAGTATCATCGTTTCAAGCCAAGCCCAGCGTTAAGGGCGCTTGCCATTTATTTAATGAGGCAGCTGCAGAAAGCACTTTCATCGTGAAAGCTATCTGTTGGTCCCCCCTTTAGACTGCTGTTTTTTAAAAGCACCCAAAGCCCATTAACTTGTGTGAATTTATTTCAGCAATTGCCGGCACCGACTACCGACTGCTATTATGCGTTCGTTAATTATTCACACACATACACCCACACACTCACACACACACATCCCTGCTCACATCCCGAATCGCAACACGTTTTGGTCATAAAAATCGCCCCCTACAAATGGCACGCCCCCTAACGAGGCAACTAGCTTGAAAAGAGGCAAAGCGCTTAGCCTTTGGTCCCTAATACAAATGTCTCTGCGAATCTATGGACATTTATGCATTCCTTCAGCAACACCCCCAAACTCACCCTCATATACACATCAGTATATATGTATGAGGGAGCAGCTTGACATTAAATAAATCTAGCATCCCATAGAAGCTTAGTGGGTAACTTTAATACACCCACACACGCACACACACACACACACACACATAAAAAATGACGCAGACATTATTCACGCTATCATTGCACACAGAGAAACAGGCAGACAGACCAGGAGGAGGTGGAGGTGGAAGTGGGGGTGGCGCAAGTCGACCCATTCATAATGGAAATACTTTGACCATATTAATTTTGGTTTACCCAACTTCAGCTGTGGCGATTAATGCTTGCTTGGATTTGTCGCCCTATTCCACATTCATTTGCCACAAGTTGCACGGAATTTTCGTAGCTTTGAGTAGCAACGAAATATAGAATTAGAACCGAACAAACTAGCTATGATAAGATTGTAGAATTTGAGCAAGAATTTTAACAATTCGACTTTCAAATATCGAATTCTCTTTATTTATTTTAATAAGATTACAATGTCTGCCATTCAGCAAGTATTGTATTTTCCTTATTGATGGAATCAAGTCAAAAACTGCCCGCTTTGACCAGGCGAAGCACATTTGAAAGATGAATTGAATGCCGCACCCTTTTATACTATTTCGATCAACTCACTTTCACAATTCCAGCTTCAGTTTGCATTCACAATACACATACACACAGATGTATGTTTTCATTTCCGTATCATACACACACATACACACACACACAACGGTCTAGTGACTGTTCGTTCCCCGGGCTCTATTTAAGCGCTCGCCCTGCCGCTTCACGTCACCGTCGGCATAATCGAATTATCATCATGGCGTCAACAAATGATTTCAACTTATGCTGCTACTGCTCGCCATTTGCCCTCCTGGTGCTGGCACTGTCAACGGTCTCTGGCACAGAACGGTCCCACAGCCACAGTCCCTTTTTTGCATCACTTCACTGGCCACCGCAGTGGAACCTTTCCGCCATCTTCTTTTCTATTTTTGCTTGTTTTTTTTTTTTTTTTTTGTACCGCTTTCCGTATTGTCAACGTCATTGTCACTGGTCACTTTCCCTGCTTACCACATTCGTTCATTCGCTTTTCCGTTTCGTTTCGTTTCCTTCATTCGTTCGTTTTGGCTTTATTTTATTTCATTTTATTCATTTCTTTTTTTTTTTTTTGCTATTTTGTCATCGATTGTTTGAGGTTATGTTGAATGTCAGTTTGTTATCCTTGTACAAATCCTTTTATACAAATGAAATTTGCACCAAATAGCGATAAGCAAAATACAATAGTATCGACGTTGGTTTATTTTACCAGTGGATTAGTGGCTGGAGGGTTAAACATCACCGAGTGAGCTGTGACTTTAATGCATCTCTGTTGCCAAATAATGTGTTATAAATATGTTTTAGCTGATTAGCTACATGCTACATACGTGCATAATTGATGACTAAACGCATTTATCGCTCTTACTTGCAGATATTAACAAAGGGTCACCAATCGATTACAAGAGCGGATCGGCCTGTTCCACACCCACAAAAGACACTCTCAAAGGGGGCTACGATCGCAGCACGCAAGGCTGCATGGGTCCGGTGCTGCCGCCAAGGAGCATGAACGGAATGCCCACGCATCATTATTCGGCGCCGATGAACTTCCGGAAGGATCTGGCCGCACGCTGCTCAGCCAACTGGTTGAGCATTGCCGCATTGTCCGGCTTTGCGGTGCTCTGCTTTCTGCTGATCCTGCTCACAAGCATCGGCACCCTGCAATGGTCGCCATCGGCACCCTGCACAGTACTAGTCGGCAACGAGGCCTCCGAGGTCACGGCGGCCAAGAGCACAAACACTGATATATCCAAGTTGCACAACGCATCGGTACGCGCGAAAAATGGACAAGGCATTGGCATCGTTCAGGGACAGGCTGGCGGAGGAGGCGCAACGGCAACTGTTACAACGGCCACATCGAACAGTGGGACGGCTCAAGGACTACAGTCGACCTCATCCTCGTCCGCGGAGTCAACATCATCGGCAGCGGCAGCTACCGCAACGTCCTCCTCTCAATCTTCGCTTGCGCCATCGACGTCACTATCCTCATCCTTGGCAAATGCCAATAATGGAGGTAATTATGCACAACTTTTAATTATTTTTAAATGAGTTTCCGTAAGTTTTAAAAAAGTGCGAGAAGTGAAACGGACAAAAAAGAAGATAAAGAGAGAGAAAGAGAATGAAAGAGGATAAAACGTATTTAGTGTTTAGCGCCCACTAATAAAATTTCTTTTTTTTTCGATTTCCAGTTAAAAGTTTTCTTTCTTTGCATTTAACAAAGATTCCTGCGAGACTTAGTTCCGTACTCTTGATTATTTATAGTCTATGCTTTAAATTGGGTACACAAAATGAGCAAAAGTTGCAGCTTCTAACCAGTTCAAATAAGCAACTCAATAATCAAATCAATACATCCAACACAGACTGCTTATCCATCATTCTGTGTGAGCGCATCGATCAAATGTACAACTTGCTCGTTAAAATGTGTGTTATCCTAGTCAAATACTCTCCATTTGACAGTATAAATAAATGTAGAACACACATAAATAACATAAACGAGTATCAATAAATACATTCAAAAACTGTATTTATATACACATATATTGCAAAGAGTTTCCCGCTCCAGGTTTATTGACAAAACGTCAGCAAATTAAAAGAACTCTGGTTTATTTCACAGTATATGATTTTTTTATTTTGGCCCAAACTTGTCCAAAAGAGGATTGGATATTTGTGCTGTCTATTTTTAGGTCAAATGGAAAACACATGACACTTAACATTTGGCAATTAAGCTGTCAAATGTTGACATAACCCTCTTTTGCACACTTACTATTTCGCAATCTCTCTCTCTCTCTCTGTCTCTCTGTCTCTTGCAATTTCTCAGTCTATGCCAATCATGACCATATCAACCCGCTAGAAATAGCCCGTGGCTGTCACCGCAATCTGTCAGCTTTTTACCCACACACGCTAATCTTTAAATGCAATGAACATTTTGAATTGAATTAAAAATACATTTTATGCTTAATTTGAGTAAAAAGTGGATTGCTCCAAATGGGGAAGGTTACCTCTCAAAAAGCTAACCACAATGAAGGTACAAAGTAATATCGCTCTCTAACTCTGCTCCTCCGAATACCTGTAGCAAGTCAAGGCGGCACAAGAGCAGTGTCAACAAGGCTGTCTGTCAACGAGGCTGCTCACAACCAGCGACATAAGCGTCGCCATAGACGGAGTTTAATGGAGTGGCAGGGGGGGCGGCATGATTTTGATTTTGATGTTGATGCTGATGCTGATGATGATGTTGCTGCAGAAACTTTTAGCGACTTAATTACAAGCGCCAGTGGAGTCCATGTACAAAAGAATTTGGCTGTTACCACACCAGCGAAATCCATAGATGAGTCCGTTGATATACAACAGCAGCCCGACGAGGCAATGGAAACAGTCATCTCTCCGGGAGCCAGACATAGCAATTACGATAAAACTCTGCACAACATCGATGGCATATTGAAACTCGAGCAGAACGTTGCTGATAGCTTTATGGATGATATTAGTGACTATGATTATGAAGCTGAAACTGAAACTGAAGATGAAAAGAAGGAGGCAACTATGGGGACAACAGTGCCTAAGACTAGGCAACAATTTGGCAAATCATTAAACTTCAATTTGCTTAAGGCAGCAGGTAAGACGCTTGCCAAGCCGAGACGGAAGCGTAAGCAGCAGCTCGACGAATCCAAAGAGACTAGCGATGCCATCAGCGTTGAGTCAGATACAGAGGCAAGCGGCATTTCTCCTGTTGTTATTGATGACTATAATCAAACTGACAGCGACAGCAACAACAACAGCGACGACAAGGGCGAGGGTGCGGACTCAATGCTGACAACGACGTTGGCAAGTGACAACGATGACATTGTTGAAATCGACACCAGGAGCAGCGCGAGCACGGAAAACACTAAGGGGACGTCCTCAACCGACAACGTTATTGAAAATGATTTTCAAATCAAACAGAACCTGAAGCAGAAACCTGCCGCTGCTGCTGCTGCTGATGATAACAATAATGAGCGTGATTTAGCCGACAACTATGAGTCGAATACGAAGAAGAAGAACGAGAACCAGGAGCAGGAGCAGGAGCAGTCAACTCCACCCCCACTAAGCATAAATCAAACTGGGTCCGACTTAATGCTGAGCGATGCGGCACTTTTCGACGATAATGATGACGATATCGATATAGTCAAATTAGATGCAGCGCCCACCTCCAATGAGGTGGACCTATACAAAACGGCTGTCGAGCAGCCTAAGGAAAAGCCGCCTCAGCCTCAGATTCAGCCAACTAGTGAAAATGAGGTTCTGAAGCAGCAGAAGAATGACGAGAATGTTGTCCCAGCCCATTTGACACCATTAAAGCCATATGTTAGCGAACGCTTCGATCGTCCCAGTAAACGTATTCTGGTCAATCTGACCATTGCCACCGACGACGGAAATGATTCGATTTACACGCTCCAAGTCGCTGTGCCAACTGGCGGCGGCCCTCAACATTTGGAGCAGATACTGACCCATGAGCATGCAGTCCATGATGAGGACAATAATATTGAGAGCATTGGCTCCTGTGTGCCCGAGCCGCCACCACGTATGCCCGATTGCCCCTGCAGCTGCCTGAGCCATTCACCAACTTCGTCCTCTTTCGTGGACCACAACGACATTAGCCAAGTTGACATTGACTCCGCCAACTCGATGGCAGCCAAGCCGCACGTAGAGGCCACAACAATTTTAAACCATGTCTCGACTGATAATGAAAACGACCAATTTGCATCTACCACTGCATCCCAAACCGATACTAACTCCTTTAGCACTGAGTTTGATAACTACACTGATACGGTTACTGTTGCTGATGTACGTTCTGATGAAAAGTTTGCATGTCCCGATGTTATGCCTATACTCATACTGGAAGGTGATTGTACTGTCTGCTCTAACTGCTAACCCCACTTAAAGTGCTTATAATTAACACATCGACTGACCTAATTAATAACTACTATAAGGCTGTACAGCTAACTTTTAACTTTTAGGCTAATGCTCCTTTAACAAATTCATTTTCATAACAGGGAATTGCTTGCCCTTCTATAAACACATCATAACCCCTCATAATAGCCGCATCTGTACAAAGTACCTTCAAGCATGAATATATGACATAAACCTACGGCCATGTAAATTTTGAAAACAAAAAAACGTCATTGACTAAGTAATATGTCTCAGCGAACCTCCACAAACACACATAGAATTGGCAAGGATTGATCTCAAGGATCGTCTTTACATATTATATATATATTTTACATAGCATATAAATATTTCATTATCACCAGAAAATCCTCATAAAATGACGACAACTAACCCAAACTTGAATTGTTTTTGTTTTTCTGTCGACCAAATCACTGCTCACAAATGCTGCACTCTTGTCGCGCTTATATCGAATACGCTCCGATCCAGGTGCTCGCACGTTCCCCGCACGTAGTTTTCCACCGGATGGCACTACCTTTGGCCAGATTACTTTGGGCCAGAAACTGACAAAGGAGATACAACCGTACAGCTATTGGAACATGCAATTCTATCAATCGGAGCCCGCCTACGTTAAGTTTGACTACACCATTCCGAGGGGTGCATCGATTGGAGTCTATGGGCGTCGTAACGCTTTGCCCACCCACACGCAGTACCATTTCAAGGAGGTGCTAAGTGGCTTTAGTGCCAGCACACGTACTGCCAGGGCAGCACACGTAAGTAGCCCACCTGCTCGTCGATGTTTTGTCTAATGCATTAACTAACTGATTACCACTTTTATGTGCATTTCATGGATCACCTAATCGCTACACATCACACATATATATGTTCAACGCACATGACTTAATCGGGATCTCGCTCGCTCGCTCGCTCGCTTGCTTGTTTGCTTGCCAATGTCAGCTTTCGATAACGCGTGAGGTGACTCGGTATATGGAACCGGGACATTGGTTTGTCTCGCTCTACAACGATGATGGGGATTTGCAGGAATTGACTTTCTATGCAGCTATTGCCGAGGACATGACTCAAAACTGCCCCAACGGGTGCTCAGGCAATGGCCAGTGCTTGCTGGGCCATTGCCAATGCAATCCCGGCTTTGGTGGCGATGATTGCAGTGAGAGTGTCTGTCCAGTGCTATGCTCCCAGCATGGCGAGTACATCAACGGCGAGTGTATTTGTAATCCGGGCTGGAAGGGCAAGGAGTGTTCGCTTAGGCACGACGAGTGCGAGGTGGCCGACTGCAATGGTCATGGTCACTGCGTCAGCGGCAAGTGCCAATGCATGCGTGGCTATAAGGGAAAATTCTGTGAAGAAGGTAGAAACCACATAGTCGAACACCCAACCCAAGACTCTTCCCCCATACCCAGTTTTCCCAGTTCTCCGTGCGTAACTTGTTTAATTCAATTACTGAAACACTATCAATTTCTTATTTTAGTGGACTGCCCACATCCAAATTGCTCGGGACATGGCTTTTGCGCTGACGGCACCTGCATTTGCAAGAAGGGCTGGAAAGGTACCGATTGCGCCACCATGGACCAGGATGCCCTGCAATGCCTACCCGACTGCTCCGGTCATGGCAACTTTGATCTGGACACACAGACCTGCACTTGCGTGGCAAAGTGGAGCGGCGACGATTGTTCCAAGGAGCTGTGTGATCTTGACTGCGGCCAGCATGGTCGCTGCGAGGGCGATGCCTGCGCCTGTGACCCCGAATGGGGTGGCGATTACTGCAATACGAAGCTCTGCGACAGCCGTTGCAACGAGCATGGCCAGTGCAAGAATGGAACCTGCCTGTGTGTAACCGGATGGAATGGCAAGCACTGCACCATCGAGGGTTGTCCCAGCAGCTGTGCCGGACATGGACAGTGTCGGGTGAGCGGCGAAGGTCAATGGGAATGCCGCTGCTACGATGGTTGGGACGGACCGGACTGTGGCATAGCCTTGGAGCTCAACTGTGGCGATAGCAAGGACAATGACAAGGGTAAGTAAAAAGACAGTTTATTTGTTTATGTACCGCCAATAATCAATGTTATTGTCTCCACTAGACGGCCTGGTTGACTGTGAGGATCCAGAGTGCTGTGCCAGCCACGTCTGTAAAACATCCCAGCTATGTGTCTCTGCACCCAAACCCATTGATGTTCTACTCAGGAAACAGCCACCGGCAATAACGGCCTCATTCTTTGAGCGCATGAAATTCCTGATCGACGAGAGCAGTCTGCAGAACTATGCCAAGCTGGAGACCTTTAACGAGAGGTAGGTGCTTCCTTGTAGCCAATTTGCTGCTCATCGTTTTTAGTTTAATTGGAGAAACAAAAAATTGTCGGCAAAGTTAAAGACTGTGTATAGTTTCCAGAATTGGCAACGGGCCCGTTGAGGAGCCCGATCTTTTAAACCATATTTCCTGTATAATATAAAACATTTAGCTGGATCAAATAATAATCAAAATAGTTTGCATAATTAATATTTATATATGTTTATATATTTACGTTTTTCGTTTTCGTGCCCTCGTCTAAAACAAATCCTGAAAATAAAGCAAAAACAATTCCGTACACAAATCCCAAATCCCATTAAAAATCTTGTAAATAAATCCCTAAATGTCCTATGTTCAAAACTTACCCATCAAAACTAAAACTAAACAAACCAAATCAAATCTACAATATGTATTCAAAGCATTCTTAAGGTACCATAAATAAGTATTCATTTAAATGGAGAGAATTTTAAGTATATATATATAACGTAAGATTAACTTTTAAGTACACCTTTCACAAGGAGTGAATATCATAAATCACTAAATCCCTAAAATACATACTGCTCCCATAATCTTCCGATTCCTAAATAAGCTCAAGGGTTCTTGTGAAGGGTCGCTGCTAGTTTCGGTGTCGATCGAAATCAATGATATTTTATTTGGTCAAGGGGTTTCCAACAAAACACAAACAATTTTAACTAGTAAAAGATAAAAACCAAAAAAAAAAAAACAAAAAAAAGAAAACAACGACAACCATGCTAATTCAATTATTTTTCTCTCTGCTCTCTTTTTCTTCTCATCACGCGTGCCCTTAATCCGAATACAAATTAAATAAATACCTAATCACTATAACTACTACTCGCTCCTCCTCATACAACTACTACTACTACTACTACTACAACTACTCGCTACTAAATCCCATCACAAAATACAAACACAAACGAACGTTGCGCAAACGAATTCCAAATGCTTTGTATTAACTAACGAATTCTATATTCGCTATTTGTTCTCGCTATAAATCAAAATCATTTACTAACAGCATTTTTTGGAATTATTTCAATGCAAGGTAAGCAAGCGAAAAACCGGTACTAAAATAATACTAAAACTACTACTACTAATACTGATACTCGATGGTTGTTTGGTACACTCATTTCATTTATTCAACTGTTAAGTTTCTTATATATTTTATTCCTTGAATACATTTACATTATATTTTATAGCGTAGTTCTATAAATATTTCAATAAGATGATTTGGTAGTTGATTTTACTTTAATACACACACACATACACACACACACACACACTTGTGGGATCGTCAATGAATTTATTTGTACTTTACTCTACTCGCCAGACAACCAATCAAATAATTTGGGGTTTTCATTTATCATACGTATAAGCTAAACAAATGTCGTACTTACATAGGTCAATGCTAGGTCACATACAAATATATATACATATACATACTATATTGTTCAAATTGTAAACCTTTGTGTGTTGATACGAGTCTTATGTTATGTGCGTGTGAATTTGTTATTTATTTGTACTTATATCGCATTATTTGTTAACTAAAGTAGTTAAAGCGAATCTTAAATTCGATATGCTTGTTAGCCACATTTGTAGCTGTAGTTCACCCCCTAGTGAAATATCATTACAAGACCCGACTAACTTATTGCTTTTGTCACTTTTCCAACAGCCGATCGGCCGTTATTCGTGGACGCGTTGTCACCTCCCTGGGCATGGGGCTGGTGGGCGTGCGTGTCTCCACGACGACTCTACTTGAGGGCTTTACCCTAACCCGCGACGACGGATGGTTCGATCTGATGGTCAATGGCGGCGGAGCAGTCACTCTGCAATTTGGACGTGCCCCGTTCCGGCCACAGTCACGCATTGTCCAAGTGCCATGGAACGAGGTCGTCATCATCGATGTGATGGTGATGAGCATGTCTGAGGAAAAGGGTCTGGCAACGACAACAACGCACACTTGTTTCTCGCACGATTACGATCAAATGAAGCCGGTTGTGTTGGCTTCGTGGAAGCATGGTTTCCAGGGCGCCTGTCCCGACCGCAGCGCCATACTGGCCGAGTCGCAAGTGATTCAGGAATCCCTACAGATACCCGGCACAGGTCTGAATCTGGTATACCACTCCTCACGCGCTGCTGGCTACTTGTCGACGATCAAACTACAATTGACGCCGGATACGATACCCGCATCGTTGCATCTGATTCATCTGCGCATTACCATCGAGGGTATTCTGTTTGATCGCGTCTTTGAGGCTGATCCGGGCATCAAGTTCACCTATGCTTGGAATCGCTTAAACATATACAGACAGCGTGTCTATGGCATCACGACAGCCGTAGTCAAGGTGGGATATCAGTATACGGACTGCAAGGACACCGTCTGGGATATACAGACAACCAAGCTGAGTGGACACGACATGTCAATATCTGAGGTTGGTGGCTGGAATTTGGACATCCATCATCGCTACAACTTCCACGAGGGCATTCTGCAGAAGGGCGACGGTTCCAACATCTATTTGCGCAACAAGCCCCGCATTATTCTGACCACGATGGGTGATGGCCATCAGCGTCCGCTGGAATGCCAAGACTGCGACGGTCTGGCCATGAAGCAGCGTCTGCTCGCACCAGTTGCTTTGGCCGCCGCTCCCGATGGCAGTCTTTTCGTTGGCGATTTCAACTATATTCGCCGCATAATGACTGATGGCAGTATTCGCACCGTTGTCAAGCTGAATGCCACGCGTGTCTCCTATCGCTACCACATGGCTCTTAGTCCGCTCGACGGCACACTGTACGTATCCGATCCCGAATCGCATCAGATTATACGTGTGCGCGACATCAATGACTACTCGCAGCCGGAACAGAACTGGGAAGCGGTTGTGGGTTCCGGTGAGCGTTGCTTGCCCGGCGACGAGGCCCACTGTGGTGACGGGGCCCTTGCCAAGGATGCCAAACTGGCCTATCCCAAAGGCATTGCCATATCCAGCGACAATATCCTGTATTTTGCTGATGGCACCAATATCCGCATGGTAGATCGTGATGGCATCGTTAGCACCCTTATTGGAAACCATATGCACAAGTCACACTGGAAGCCCATCCCTTGTGAGGGCACACTCAAGCTGGAGGAAATGCATTTACGCTGGCCCACAGAGCTCGCTGTCTCGCCCATGGACAACACCCTGCACATCATTGACGATCACATGATCCTGCGGATGACACCCGATGGACGAGTCCGCGTCATATCTGGTCGTCCACTGCATTGCGCTAGTGCGTCCACAGCCTACGATACGGATCTGGCCACTCACGCCACTCTCGTTATGCCACAATCGATTGCCTTCGGCCCGCTCGGCGAACTCTTCGTCGCGGAGAGCGACTCTCAGCGCATCAATCGGGTTCGCGTTATTGGCACAGATGGACGCATTTCGTCGTTTGCTGGCGCCGAGTCCAAGTGCAATTGTCTGGAACGTGGCTGCGATTGCTTTGAGGCCGATCATTATTTAGCCACCAGTGCAAAATTCAACACCATTGCCGCCCTGTCAGTCACTCCAGATGGACACGTGCACATTGCCGATCAGGCCAACTATCGCATACGCTCCGTCATGTCTAGCATACCAGAGGCGAGTCCTTCTCGCGAGTACGAAATATACGCACCGGATATGCAGGAGATATATATCTTCAATAGATTTGGACAGCATGTCTCCACGCGCAACATTCTCACAGGAGAAACGACCTACGTCTTCACGTACAACGTCAACACATCGAATGGAAAACTCAGCACCGTCACTGATGCGGCTGGCAACAAGGTCTTCCTGCTGCGCGACTACACTTCTCAAGTGAATTCCATTGAGAATACCAAGGGTCAGAAGTGCCGTCTGCGCATGACTCGCATGAAGATGCTGCACGAGCTGAGCACACCCGACAACTACAATGTCACCTACGAGTACCACGGACCGACAGGACTGCTGAAGACCAAACTGGACTCCACTGGACGTTCCTATGTGTACAATTATGATGAGTTTGGCCGACTAACTTCAGCTGTCACACCAACTGGCAGAGTCATTGAGCTCAACTTTGATTTAAGTGTAAAGGGCGCCCAAGTGAAGGTATCGGAGAATGCACAAAAGGAGATAACCATGCTCATACAGGGCTCCACAGTTATCGTTAAGAATGGAGCCGCAGAATCACGCACAACCGTCGACATGGATGGCTCAACGACGAGCATCACACCCTGGGGACACAATTTACAAATGGAAGTTGTACCCTACACAATTCTGGCCGAGCAGAGTCCACTGCTGGGCGAGAGCTATCCAGTGCCAGCTAGGCAACGCACAGAGATTGCCGGAGATCTGGCAAATCGCTTCGAATGGCGCTACTTTGTGCGACGCCAGCAGCCACTGAACCAGGGCAAACAAAACAAGGGAGCCCCACGGCCAGTCACTGAAGTTGGCCGCAAGCTGCGTGTCAACGGCGACAATGTGCTGACCCTGGAATATGATCGTGAAACGCAATCGGTTGTTGTAATGGTTGATGACAAGCAGGAGCTTCTTAATGTGACCTACGATCGCACTTCGCGTCCGGTTAGCTTCCGTCCGCAGTCGGGTGATTATGCGGATGTTGATTTGGAATACGATCGCTTTGGGCGACTGGTCAGCTGGAAATGGGGCGTGCTGCAGGAAGCCTACACCTTTGATCGCAATGGACGCTTGAATGAGATCAAGTATGGCGATGGTTCGTCGATGGTTTATACATTCAAGGACATGTTTGGCTCGCTGCCACTGAAAGTGACCACACCACGACGATCAGACTATCTATTGCAATATGATGATGCTGGTGCTCTGCAGAGTTTGACAACACCACGGGGTCACATCCACTCGTTCTCGCTGCAGACGTCACTTGGCTTCTTCAAGTATCAGTACTACTCGCCTATTAATCGTCATCCATTCGAAATTCTTTACAACGATGAGGGTCAGATTCTTGCCAAAATACATCCACATCAGTCTGGCAAAGTGGCATTCGTGCATGATGCTGCAGGACGACTAGAAACCATATTGGCCGGACTTTCAAGTACCCATTATACTTATCAGGAAACGACCAGCCTAGTGAAATCCGTTGAGGTGCAAGAGCCAGGCTTTGAGCTGCGCAGGGAGTTCAAATATCACGCCGGTATCCTTAAGGACGAGAAGTTAAGGTTCGGCTCAAAGAACTCACTGGCATCGGCCCACTACAAGTATGCGTACGATGGCAACGCTCGCTTGAGCGGCATTGAGATGGCCATCGATGACAAGGAGTTGCCCACCACACGCTACAAGTACAGCCAGAATCTGGGCCAACTTGAAGTCGTACAGGATTTGAAGATCACACGCAACGCTTTCAATCGCACCGTGATTCAGGACTCGGCCAAACAGTTCTTCACCATTGTGGACTATGATCAGCATGGACGTGTGAAGAGCGTGCTAATGAACATTAAGAGCTTCGATGTATTCCGCTTAGAGCTCGACTACGATCTGCGTAATCGCATCAAGTCCCAGAAGACAACCTTTGGCAGATCGACGGCCTTTGACAAAATCAACTACAATGCGGATGGACATGTCATTGAAGTCCTGGGCACCAACAACTGGAAGTATCTGTACGATGAAAACGGCAACACCGTTGGCATTGTCGATCAGGGCGAGAAGATAAACCTGGGCTACGACATTGGCGACAGAGTCATTAAAGTGGGCGATGTGGAGTTCAATAATTATGATGCACGTGGCTTTGTTGTTCGACGAGGCGAGCAGAAATACAGGTACAACAATCGAGGACAATTGATCCATGCCTTCGAGCGAGATCGGTTCCAGAGTTGGTACTACTACGATGATCGGAGCCGCCTCGTTGCCTGGCACGACAGCAAGGGCAACGTCACACAATACTACTATGCAAACCCCAAGACACCGAAACTGGTCACACACGTTCACTTCCCCAAGCTGGGCAAGACGATGAAGTTCTACTACGACGATCGGGACATGCTGATCGCCTTGGAACAGGCCGAACTACGATACTATGTGGCAACTGATCAGAATGGTTCTCCATTGGCCTTCTTCGACATGAACGGGGCCATTGTTAAAGAGGTGAAGCGCAATCCATTCGGGCGCACCATTAAGGATACCAAGCCGGACTTCTTTGTACCCATCGATTTCCATGGTGGACTGATCGATCCGCACACCAAACTAATCTACACAGAACAGAGACAATACGATTCGACTGTGGGTCAATGGATGACACCACTTTGGGAAACTCTGGCCACCGAAATGTCAAATCCCACGGATGTCTTCATCTACAGATATCACAATAATGATCCCATTAATCGTAACAAGCCACAGAATTATATGATCGACTTGGATGCCTGGTTGCAGCTCTTCGGCTACGAACTGAACAACATGCAGAGCAACAGGTACACCAAACAAACCCAGTACACGCCACAGGCCACCATCAAGTCGAACACACTGGCACCCGACTTTGGTGTCATCTCGGGCCTGGAGTGCATCGTCGAGAAGACCAACGAGAAGTTTAGCGACTTTGATTTTGCACCCAAGCCACTGCTCAAAATGGAGCCCAAGATGCGCAATCTATTGCCACGTGTCAGCTATCGTCGCGCCGTGTTTGGAGAGGGTGTTCTACTCTCGAGGATTGGTGGACGTGCCCTGGTCAGTGTGGTGGATGGCTCCAATAGTGTCGTACAGGATGTGGTTAGCTCTGTGTTCAACAACTCTTACTTCCTGGATCTGCACTTCAGCATACATGATCAGGATGTGTTCTACTTTGTCAAGGATAACGTTCTCAAGCTGCGCGACGATAACGAGGAGCTGCGTCGCCTTGGTGGCATGTTCAACATATCAACACACGAGATCAGCGATCACGGTGGCAGTGCTGCTAAGGAGCTACGCCTACATGGCCCCGAGGCAGTGGTAATCATCAAGTACGGTGTGGATCCCGAGCAAGAGCGACATCGCATACTCAAGCATGCCCACAAGAGGGCAGTTGAGCGTGCCTGGGAGCTGGAGAAGCAGCTGGTTGCAGCCGGATTCCAGGGCCGTGGCGACTGGACAGAGGAGGAGAAAGAGGAGCTCATTCAGCACGGTGATGTGGATGGCTGGATTGGCATTGACATCCATAGCATACACAAGTATCCACAGCTGGCAGACGATCCCGGAAATGTGGCCTTCCAGCGCGATGCCAAGCGTAAGCGGCGCAAGACTGGCAACAGCCATCGGATCGGCTCCAATCGGCGACAGCAGAAATATGGAGAGCTGAACGCGTGAGTGGAGGAGGAGGAGCTGGAGAGTGAAGCTGCAGATGAAGCAACGGAAGAGTATGACGGGCCGGAGGACTACTTGATAGCTGTGGGCAAGGCTGTTCGCAGAACAAGCAGCGAGGCAGCCGAGGAGCAGATTTTGTAATTACTTAGGTGAAATACAGCAGCGATAGGCGATAAGCACCAAGCACACCCAAAAAAAAGAAAAAACATCACGACACAACAACACACAGAATACACTTCAATTTAACTCATTAATATAAACTTTAATCGCGTTTAAAGTTGAATATTAGTCACAAAGCAAACCCACAAAAATATCGAGACGAACAAAACCAAGAAAACCACGTAAATTTCGAAATATATGTATATGTACACCAGAACAAACAAAAATATATATGTATGTATGTTGATGTTGAGTTTAAGGTAACAATAGGGATATGTTTAGTCCACGTGTAACATTAAATGTAATTTTTTAAAATTTGAATATCATATGCAAAACAAGCACTTGGTTCACAAGACAACCAGGCTATCCGTGCAGAATATACGACAGAGAGGCGTCAATAATATATAAACGAAAACTTTACTTCGGGCATATAGATTAGTATACATAATAATGACAAAAAAAAAACATAAAACAAAGATAACTACACAAACAAAAGCTGTACAATTCCTTGATGACAGGCAACGTTTGCTTGGAGCCGAAATGCCAAGTAAACCGCCCACTTTCGTTTAGTCTACAGAAGTCTAATTAGCCAGTTGCATTCGATGTCAAACAAGTATTACAAACAACAACAAAACAAAAAAAAAACAAAAGAAATTATGCATACTCGAATAAGTAAAATATTAATATAAATCATAAATAAATGTAAAAAGTTGAAAGAGTCCCCAGCAAAATCAAAACAAAAAATAAATAAATAAAAAAAGAAAAGCGCAAGAAGAGAAGAAAAAAAAAATAACAAATGATATACAGATACAGATACAAATGTAGTATCCCCTAGCCTAGCCCGTACTCTTCGTATGGTAAAAACGAACTTAAAATGCTGCTTCATTTTCGTAAATGCTTTGTATATTGTACATACATACTACATACATATAAACAACTACAATACTTAACTATGCTTTAACACTCAGCGCGCCATTTTGATTTGTTTGAAGCCCTTTTTTAGTTTAGACATGCGTAAATAGACTCGTATTTTTTAAGCGAATGCTCGAATTTACTCAAAAGAATCTAATTAAGTTCGACAGCCAAAAATCAAAAATGAAATTTTGCGTCAGCTAACCCTTACCAAACGAAATACTATACAAAACATACTCGTACTCCAACATACTCGAATACTCTCTATCTATTTCATCACTGACTTTTTATTTTGATCATTCAACCGTTGAATTCATTTCGAAGGCAAAATGCATTAATACTTTTTACAAATTGTGATATATTTCTTAACATTTCATTTCACAACTTGAAATGTTGCAAAAATTAAGAATCGAAGTAAAGAAAATCGAACCGAACGTTTAATACAGCAAAGTACTTTACTCATTCGTTTTCTGTTTCATTTGTTTTATTTTTTTTGTAGTCTGTTAAGATTTTAGTTTTTTAAATTGCAATATTTAGTTTAACCATTTTTGCCATGTTAATTTGTAAAAGCAATGCAGTTTATAATGCCTTCAATCCAATGCTAGATTAAGATTGCATCTCGATATTCTTATCGTTTTTTAAATTAGCTTTTTATTTTTGTAATTTTCAAAATATATATTAAATTAAAACTTATATCCTGTCTTTTCACTTGTCACTTTGCTAAAGTGTTTTTTGTTTATAATTATTCACATTATTAAACTATTTATAACTGAAACTAAACTATTGACTATTGAGATATAAATAAACTAGCATTTAAACTAAGAACGCATACTTAAGTCTTGAACATAAAATAATACGCAAACCCCATATAAAAACTACACATTGTAATATAGAAACACTCAACTACACATCGTCACTAAGGATTAGGCTAATGATGAAACTCATAAGAAGATCGAATATAGCACTTAACTAATTGTGAAAGTGAAAGGGGAAAGGAGTTAAAAATAAAACGTAGGAATTAGCTAAAGTGTTAGTAATTTTATTAAATAAAATTATACATAATGCAAAACACACACATATAATAATGAACATTGAAAAATTAATTGTAAGCAAACAAATAAATTAAACATAACAAACAAAACAAAAGAAAACGAAACTCATATATATATATGTAATTGCGTGCATCGATTGTGGCATGCGAAATGTTGTGTAAAGAGAAGCATAAAGAAAACCAAATTTTCATGTTTTCCAAAATGATACAAAACACTATTTTACACAAAACGAATTGTATAATAAAAATGCAGCAAACGTATATAAATGTATATGTAGTAAAATTAAGCAGCATTATATTAACCAAAAACCTAAAATGAAATTATTGAAATCAGCTTGAACACAACAGAAAACAAAAAATTTGTGACTGACAGACAGAAATCAATATGTATCTACTACGTCTACTTAATTGTGCTTAACTTGACTCAGTATCTTTTGTTCTTCAAAACGAGATGTAAATTTTTTCAAATACAAAATAAACAAACAAAAGAGGTAACATTATAATTGGTTAAACTCATATATTACGATTATTCCGTATTTGTACTGACAAACTCATAGCAAACTCAGAGCAAAGTTGATAGAGCAAAATGATAACCCTTTGATAATAAATAAATTATGAACAACACTTGTGCATTGTATTAAGCAGAACGCTGCACAACTTAGGCGAAGTGAAGCTAAACTTAAACTCATAAAAATTGAACAGCAAAAGATACTCGTATGTAAAGCAGAGATCAAACACAAAATACACACATTTATGGCAAGCCGATATATATGTATGATTCAACCATATATAATATCTAATAATATAACGAAAAAAAAGCGATTTCAATAAAAATAAAAAATTAAAAAAAACACAATAACTGGTATTTTATATTTACACAATGTAATTTCAGAATGAGCTCTCTGTATTTATGCCCTGAACAACTCTTCTTTCAGGATTATTCGGGTGTCCTTTGGCCAGATTATAGCTGATAATAACAAAGACATGAAGCTTATTGAAAACATTTTTATTTAATTTCATATTTCGGTTATCGGTTTACAATAAATACAAAGCAACATGCTAATCCTTGACTAATCCCCATTTATAATAGGCTATGACCCTTTGGGTTCTCAGTAAAGACGGTGCCGCCAGACGGCTGGTTCACAAAATTTGAATATGGGATCGAAGTCACCTCAGAGTTTGGGGCCTGATTTAGTGCATCCGTGCCACGAGTCAGAATTAGTAGCTTTCCGCTAAGACTTTTATCGATGGCCTGGAGCTCGCTGACTTGCTTCCGCTGATCCACCACATAAATGTTATAACTGATACCATACAGTCCAAATAGCACTTCCAGCTCGCGACGCAGTGCGTCCAAAGTAATGTACTCTTTGCTGGCACTATGCTGAAGTAGAATAGATGCTTTGTTGCCTTTGGCAAAGCGCGGTTGCAGCTCGCCACTTAAGGTTACATTCAGCCACGCAAGGCTGGGCAGTTGCAGCTCCTCGGCAGAGCAAATTGTCAAATTGAGCTGAACACCTTTGAGGTCCACAAGCTCACTGATGATCTGGCGCTTGGAGGCTGCCTGTTTTTCGTCAAATGGAACGAATTCCGATTTGACGGCCCCCTTTATCATTGGCGCATAGTTGACCAACACCTTTTGTAGCTGTGCCTGCGCTGCCTGAGCATCCTTTTTGCCAGCATTGCCGCTCAAATCATAGTAGATGATAACTGGATCCGTTGGTATCAGCTGAGCCTTCTTCTTGAGCTTCTGCACTCGATTAATAGCCTCGCGCGCCAAACCTTCTTCGAGCAATTCCTCGTTGGGCGTCATGTCCATTAGGACCAGCACTTCGTTATCGCTGTGTGCCTCAAAGTTGCCGCCCACCTTCTCAGAGGTACAATAGATGACACGCACTTCCTCCAGCTCAATGCGTTGATCCAATATGCTAAAGTAGCCTTGGGCGACCTGCTGTTGAATCTCGTCATCCTTCAGGGCTTTGATGGCTGCCATAACAGCCTTAAAGTTGCCCTTCAGGCGCTGACCCAGCGACTAAAACAGGCCCAAGTAAGAATAAGAATATGATAGTATAAAAATATAATGTGAATGCTTCACGTGCTCACTTTGTGATCTGGTTCTGCACGCAACGTTACGCCGTACTTTTCCTTGTCCGAGCTTAGGGTAAGTTTTCGTACATTCAACTCGCTGAGTATGAAATCTTGCAGACTCTTAATCTCGTCCAGCGTTTGAGTGTCCTTGTGGATGACAATAATCTCAGAAATCGGGTATTTGACGGGCAGTGTGCGGCGATCTCGCATTACGCGACCCAACTCCACCACCGACTGCATCAGTGCCACCGATCGCTCGATGTCGCTGCGAATAAACTTGCGCTGGCTGACAGGCATCATTTGGTAGTGTACGGAATCGGTATGCTCCAGGCCACCTGGTGGCTGGAACAGCACCAGTCGCTGGAAAATGTACTCGGTTAGGTATGGCGTGAAGGGGGCCATCATCTTAACCATGGTGTACAGCACATCATAGAGAGTATCTAGCGATTTTATGCACTGCTCGGCGCCCAATTCGCCCTTGATACGGCGACGGTTCAATCTCACGTACCTTAAAGTGACAGTTGAATTATTAATGATTAACTATGATGGGAAATAGGGCATGAGTTTGTCTCACCAGTTGGTCAGTTGATCAATGAATTTTGTTAGCCTGGGCACCACCGTATATAGGCGATACATTTTCATCTCCGTCGCAAAGAACTCCAGCAGGGACTCCTTGAACGACAGGATCCATACATCAATAACCGAGGCATGCTCCATGTTCTGCAGATGCCGCACATGATCATACGAATACTGAGCTTTGCCTTGGAGATCCTCTTTCTCGTAGCGCACAATGTTCTGCAGCAGGAAACGGTAGGCATTGTACCATGGGAGGAATACGTCCTTGATTATATCACGCACGCCTTCCTCCTTGAAGCGAAGGCTTTCCGCACGCACTACCGGTGAGTTGATCAGATAGAGACGCAGGGCATCCGCTCCATACTTGTGCACCACATCCATGGGATCCGGATAGTTCTTCTTGCGCTTCGACATCTTCTGACCATCGGCGGCCAGCACCAATCCACTGGCAATTAGATTCCTGAACGGCGCCTTATTGAACAATGCCGTTGATATGACCAGGAGCGTGTAGAACCAACCGCGTGTCTGATCAATGCCCTCGGCAATGAAATCCGCCGGGAAGTTGTTCATGAAATCCCTTTCGTTCTCGAAGGGAAAATGCTGCTGGGCAAATGGCATTGAGCCGGATTCGAACCAGCAGTCAAAAACAGGCGCGATACGTCGCAGTGGTGGATTTCCGGGCACCGCTGACGGTATCTCAATGTCGTCAATTGTCTCGCGATGCAGATCATCCACCAGCACACCGGAGAGTTCCGCCAGCTGTTTTATGCTACCAATGACAATGGTTTCATCACCATTAGGAGATCGCCAAATGGGTATCGGTGTGCCCCAGTAGCGATTGCGTGAAATCTGCAATGGAATAGGATATAGAAGGATGTAGAAGAGCACAAGCGTTTAACTTACTGCCCAATCTCTGGCCTCCTTCAGCCAATTGCCGAAGCGCTTCTCCTTCACAAAGTCCGGCACCCAATAAGTCTGCGAACTGCAGGCCAATAGGTTCTTGGACATGTGCTCGACGCGCACAAACCACGACGGCACAGCCTTGTAGATTAGCGGAGTGTCTGAGCGCCAGCAGAATGGATAGCTATGCTTCACCTGACCACTGGACACTAAGTTTCCGCTCGCCTTCAGGTTGGCCATGATGTGCTTGTCCGCATCCTTGACATACTGGCCGGCAAAGTCAGTCACCTCGGAAGTGAAGCGTCCGGAATCGTCCACGGGGCATATGACATCGCTCGACTTGGTAATGAGGCCCGCAGCCAGGCAAACGCGATAATCGTCCTCACCAAAATAGGGTGCGTTATGAACAATCCCAGTGCCAGAGTCTTCCGTCACATACTCGTCCACGAGGACTCGGTGTGCCTTAACCTCAGCACCACGCTTGGCAAAATATGGGAATGGTGGCTTATAGTGCAGATCCTTGAGTGATTGGCCAACAAACTTCTCCTTCAGCTCATATTCCGCCTCTGTCTTAAAAACGTAGGACAAACGCGACTCGGCCAGTACAAAGAGGCGATCGCTCTTCACATCGCGCACCTAGGAAAATATCAGCAAAGTCAAGAATTATATGATTAAATAATAATATTAGATATGCCCACCTTGACATAGATCATCTTTGGATTCACACAACAGGCGAAATTGGAGGGCAGTGTCCACGGTGTGGTGGTCCACACGAGAAAGTAGGTATTCGGCAGCGTAACTGCTTCGAGTGCGACGACGACGCAGGGATCCACGACCTCTTTGTAGTTCTGATTCGCCTCGAAGTTGGACAACGAAGTTGTGCACGCCGTGGAATAGGGCATAACCTTAACGCCCTGATAGACGAGTCCCTTGTCGAAGAGCTGCTTGAATATCCACCAGATGGACTCCATGTACCAGGGGTACAAAGTCTTGTAGTCGTTCTTGAAGTCAATCCAGCGACCGCAGCGCGTCACAATTGTCTCCCATTCGTCCGCATAGCGCATGACAATCTTTCGGCACTCGGCATTATACGCAGTGATGCCCATCTTGGCGACATCCTCTGGTCCCTTGATGTTGAGCATCTTATCGATCTCAAACTCCACCGGCAACCCGTGGCAATCCCAGCCAAAGCGACGATCCACATGGTATCCTTGTTGGTACGCGTAACGCGTCACAATATCCTTAATTGTGCCAGCCAGGATGTGGCCATAGTGCGGCAACCCGGTCGCAAACGGTGGCCCATCATAAAACGTATATCTACAAACGAAGACTTCATTCAGAGACTGTCTGATGCAATCGGGCAATAAACTTACTTCGGTTTTCCCTTTGACAGTTGGCTGCATTTTTCAAAGATTTTCGCGTCACGCCATTGCCTGAGCACATTTTCCTCCTCGGCCGGGAAGTTAATGTTCTCAGGTACGCGACAGACGTCGCTACGTTTCAATTTCGCCGGATTGCTCATTTCTGTCAGGCTTTCGACGTTTTGCAGACTTTATTTAATCTAAATTCTTTCTTAGTCTTTGAATGAAATGCCGAAAGTACGAAAAGTGATGCGATGGCAACATGTGCAACACTAAAAGTGACGCCTCTGGGCACCCTAAAACCTTAACAGATTCGGAATGTTATTAGCGCGGGCTTAGTTGATTTGTTATAATGATAATAATATAGTGGGCAACTCGGTGCGATAAGGTCTACGCAATGGTTTAATTTTAAAATTGTTCTTAGCTTGCGGCTGGTAAACGTCTAAAACGGCAATTAAGTTGAATTTTTAATAGCAGAACAGCTGTTGGAATATCTTAAATCATCGATTATTAGAACGCTGGTGTAATAAAAACAGTGTATACCCATTGATTAACGAATGGTATTTTAATGCTTACAAGAATTGGTCACACAGTCTAAAATGTGTACATTTAGCAAAGCCGTGTTTTATCAGCACAATAAAAGACAATAAATAACAATATTAGAGTATAAGAATTCGATCGCTTTAAAAAACGTACGCTGGCGTTAGTTGGCGTATCTGACACAATTTAATTCTTGCCACCAGCAGTGCTCATAACATATTTCTCGTCTCAGATAAAATCCCAACCCAAAGGAAAAAATGGCACGCCCAATTTTCCCCAATCAGCAGAAAATCGCTGAGAAATTAATCATTTTAAATGATCGTGGTCTGGGGATACTCACGCGAATTTACAACATCAAGAAGGCATGCGGCGATACCAAGTCGAAGCCAGGTTTTCTGTCGGAGAAATCGCTGGAGTCCTCCATCAAATTCATTGTGAAACGTTTTCCCAACATCGACGTGAAGGGTTTGAATGCGATTGTTAATATCAAGGCGGAGATCATCAAATCCCTGTCGCTCTATTATCACACATTCGTCGATCTCCTGGACTTCAAGGACAATGTGTGCGAGCTGCTCACCACCATGGATGCCTGCCAGATCCATTTGGACATCACACTCAACTTTGAACTGACCAAAAACTATTTGGATTTGGTGGTCACCTATGTGTCCCTGATGATTGTCCTCTCACGCGTCGAGGATCGCAAGGCGGTGCTGGGTCTCTACAATGCCGCCTTCGAGTTGCAGAACAATCAGGCGGATACGGGCTTTCCACGCTTGGGCCAAATGATTCTCGACTACGAGGTGCCGCTGAAGAAGCTCGCCGAGGAGTTCATTCCCCACCAGCGACTGCTGACGAATGCCTTGCGCTCGCTAACATCGATATATGCTCTGCGCAACCTGCCCGCAGATAAATGGCGCGAGATGCAAAAGCTCAGCCTGGTGGGCAATCCAGCTATTCTCCTTAAGGCCGTGCGAACGGACACCATGTCCTGTGAGTACATTTCACTGGAGGCCATGGATCGCTGGATCATATTCGGACTGCTGCTTAATCATCAAATGCTCGGCCAATATCCGGAGGTGAACAAAATCTGGCTGTCGGCACTGGAGAGCAGCTGGGTGGTGGCCCTGTTCAGGGACGAAGTCCTCCAGATACACCAGTACATTCAGTCCACGTTCGATGGAATCAAGGGCTACAGCAAGCGCATCGGCGAGGTAAAGGAGGCCTACAACACGGCCGTCCAGAAGGCAGCCCTCATGCATCGCGAGCGGCGCAAGTTTTTGCGAACTGCCCTCAAAGAATTGGCACTGATTATGACCGATCAACCGGGTCTACTGGGTCCCAAAGCCATCTTTATATTCATTGGGCTGTGCTTGGCGCGCGACGAGATTCTTTGGCTGCTGCGGCACAATGATAATCCGCCGCTACTGAAAAACAAAGGTGAGCACTTTTTGTAATCATTTTTATTCGAAAATATAAATGCATTTTTTCGCCCAGGCAAGAGCAATGAAGATCTGGTTGATCGTCAACTGCCGGAGCTGCTGTTCCACATGGAGGAACTACGTGCGCTGGTCCGCAAATATAGCCAGGTGATGCAGCGCTACTATGTCCAATATCTGTCCGGCTTCGATGCAACAGATCTGAACATACGCATGCAGAGCCTGCAAATGTGCCCGGAGGATGAGAGTATTATATTTAGTTCGCTGTACAATACGGCTGCTGGACTCACTGTCAAGCAGGTGGAGGACAACGAGCTCTTCTACTTCCGACCCTTCCGGCTGGACTGGTTCCGGCTGCAAACGTACATGAGTGTTGGGAAGGCGGCACTACGCATCACGGAGCATATGGAGCTGGCACGCCTGCTCGATTCGATGGTGTTTCATACGCGCGTTGTCGACAACCTGGACGAGATACTTGTAGAGACTTCGGATCTGAGTATCTTTTGTTTCTACAACAAAATGTTTGATGATCAGTTTCACATGTGCTTGGAATTTCCGGCACAGAATCGTTACATAATTGCATTTCCGTTGATCTGCAGCCACTTCCAGAATTGCACACACGAAATGTGTCCGGAAGAGCGGCACCACATACGTGAACGCTCACTGAGTGTGGTCAATATTTTCCTAGAGGAGATGGCCAAGGAGGCAAAGAATATCATTACCACCATATGCGACGAGCAATGCACCATGGCCGATGCCCTATTGCCCAAACACTGCGCCAAGATTCTATCCGTTCAGTCGGCGCGCAAGAAGAAGGACAAATCAAAATCGAAACACTTTGACGACATTCGCAAACCGGGCGACGAATCGTTTCGCAAGACACGTGAGGATCTGACCACCATGGACAAGTTGCACATGGCGCTCACCGAGCTGTGCTATGCCATCAATTACTGTCCCACAGTCAACGTCTGGGAATTTGCCTTTGCGCCACGCGAATATCTCTGCCAGAATCTGGAGCACCGATTCTCACGCGACTTGGTCGGCATGGTGATGTTCAACCAGGAGACCATGGAAATAGCCAAACCCTCGGAGCTGTTAGCCAGCGTACGAGCTTACATGAACGTGCTGCAAACGGTGGAGAACTATGTGCATATCGACATCACACGCGTGTTCAACAACTGCCTGCTGCAACAGACTCAGTCACTGGACTCGCACGGGGAGAAGACGATTGCGGCACTGTATAACACCTGGTATAGCGAGGTGCTGCTGCGACGTGTCTCCGCTGGCAACATTGTGTTCTCCATTAACCAAAAGGCATTTGTGCCCATTTCGCCGGAGGGTTGGGTTCCTTTCAATCCGCAAGAGTTTTCCGATCTGATCGAGCTGCGCGCTCTGGCCGAGCTGGTGGGCCCGTATGGCATCAAGACGCTGAATGAGACGCTGATGTGGCATATTGCCAACCAGGTGCAGGAGCTGAAGTCGCTGGTGGGCACCAACAAGGAGGTGTTAATCACTCTGCGCACCAGTTTCGACAAGCCGGAGGTGATGAAGGAGCAGTTCAAGCGATTGCAGGACGTTGATCGGGTATTGCAACGCATGACCATAATTGGTGTGATTATCTGCTTCCGTAATCTGGTGCACGAGGCGCTGGTGGATGTGCTGGACAAACGCATTCCATTCCTGCTCAGCTCGGTGAAGGACTTTCAGGAGCATTTGCCAGGTGGAGATCAGATACGTGTCGCCTCCGAAATGGCCTCGGCGGCGGGTCTGCTCTGCAAGGTGGACCCCACATTGGCCACCACATTGAAATCAAAAAAACCCGAATATGATGAGGGCGAACATCTGACCGCATGTCTACTGATGGTCTTTGTGGCTGTCTCCATACCAAAGCTGGCACGCAATGAGCATTCGTTCTACAGAGCCACCATCGACGGACACTCGAATAACACACACTGTATGGCGGCTGCCATCAACAACATTTTTGGCGCCCTGTTCACAATTTGTGGACAAAACGATATGGAAGATCGCATGAAGGAGTTTTTGGCATTGGCCAGCTCATCGCTGCTGCGTCTGGGTCAGGAATCAGATAAGGAAGCGACCCGGAATCGCGAGTCTATTTATTTGCTGCTGGATGAGATTGTTAAACAGTCGCCATTCCTTACCATGGATCTGCTGGAATCGTGCTTTCCATACGTGCTCATCCGCAATGCCTATCACGGTGTCTACAAACAGGAGCAGATAATGGGACTGGGTCTATAATCCCTACCAAACAGACAGCAATAAGCGTCACGTATTCTTATCCGAGTATTTACCTAATTAGTTACTGCTAATCGATTATTGTGCATTATGCGAACGAATTACAAAATATTCTATTATTCTATTGTTAAACATAAATAATACCGTATGATATATGAGATAATTAACCAATTAAAAAAACGTTTCTACGCATTTAGGACATTCGTATTCAGCATTTTGATACATTATTTGTATAAATAAAGTGCATATGCAAATCAAATCATCCGAAAAGTGTTTGGTTTTTCATTTTTATTAACCCTTACTGAGTCCTCAGTTTATGTAAATAATACGTACGTATCGTAATTGCATTTAATTTATTTGATTTTATTTTATTTTATTACTCGTGTGTATATTAAATGTGTATTTAATTTTTGTTCTTTACGTGTTGATGGAAAAATATTCCACAATATTAAATTATTTGGTCACGTTTAATGTTACTTCTTAGGTTTGTGTACAAATACTTTTTGTAGGTAAGTAATAAAATATGTTTAGTTCTTCTCCTCCTAGCGATTTGGATTTCCCTAGCAAATATAATGCATGTATTCTTAATGAATGATTTTTCATTCATTTTCATTTTTGTATAAATTTCATTAAAGAATTCTCAATTCCACTACAAGATTTACTTGTTTATATTTTATTTCAGTTATCATTTGGATTTAATACCATGTTTGGGATTTAGCGGATATTTCTTAACATGGTGCATTTACTTAGTTTTGTGGATTATCTCTGTTATCTGTTAAAGCCCGCCGATTGATCAAATAAACCAACAAAAGATCAATATATTTACTGGATTGATAAGTAATTGATGATAATATTAAAATGAAAACAAATAATGTATTAAAAAGAGAAATAATATTTAATTTTCTACGACCAATGTGAAACCAATTAAACACACAATTGTATTCGGCTGAAGTCCTACAATATTTTTGGTTAAATATACCACAATCACTACTTGCTGCTAGAAAGCTGGCTGTATTTTATCGTAACAATGTCGTTAGTTATCTACATTTAAATATGTCATTAATTATAGTACACATATTATATTATTAACGTGATTCTCAATATTTTACTAATTCTTAAATTTGGTTTAGCTTTAGTTTCGGTTCGAAAAGATTATTTTAGAGTTTTTACTTTTACTTTGCATTTTATTTTATTTTATTATTATTATTTTATTTTTTATTTTTTTGTTGCAATCAGTCAGTCAGTTTAGGCATCTGTTGACTTAAAAATTGTCGTCATTGTCTTTTTTGTTATCGCAATACAAAAAATATACATGAAATTCAAATAAAAAACATAAGTTAAATTTTTTATTTTTAATGTGTTTTGTTGTTTAATGCTTTTGCTTTTCTTTGTCAAAAATAATTAAAATCGCATTGTTTGCTCAACGTTTTTAAAGCTCTCGAGTACAAAATCGTGTTAATTTTAAAAAGCTTCGAAAACTCCTTATTTGCCTTACTTGCATTGAAATTTGTTGTGTTTGGTTTTTGCGCACTGGCTTAAACGCTAATTTAGCATAATATACATATACATAGATCGTAATATTAATTCCACTATGACAATTTTGTTCGCATATAAAAGCTTACAATTATGAGTTCCAGTAAGTACGGATGTGTCCGATTCTGCCTGTTGGATCCTGTTCCACTGTGTTGTCACTTAAGTGTGCTAGACGAACTCCTCCTGCTCCAGCCAAGGATGCTGCAGGCACTCTGCTGCCGATGCCCGTATAACCGGATTGTACTCGAGCATTGGCAGCAAAAAGTCTGAGAACTTCTTGGCTTCCACGGGATCCCAATCGTACTTCTCCACAAGCACGTTCAGCAAACTCCAAGGCTTCAGTTTGGTAATGTTGCGTAGGCTGCCTGCAATTCAAAATTCTTAGCATCACATCCATGTTCAACGGCAGTGGATATCATCATTTCTCATTTACCATAGCTTGTGAAGTACTTGAGACCGTGCTTGCCACGCAATATCACCGACTGCGGTATCGAGCCGAGCAACTCCACAATGTGCGCCAGATGATCCTCGTCGCGGCTGTATGATTCTCCCGCATGCGGATCGAACAGATAGTCACCGGTGGCCAACTCGAAGGCCAGGCATGCTGTGCTCCAGATATCGGCGGTATAGTTATATGGCGCACCCAGCAGCACTTCAATGGAGCGATACTGTCGCGTCTGTATATCCTCGGTGAAGTGATGATACTGTTCCAGTTAAGTTGAGATAGAGAAGTCAAAGATATTTTAGTTCGCGCTCTTAAAAAATGTATTTATTTATATATTTAATCTATTTCTTAATCTAAAGCCAAATCATAATGTTTCAATGAAGAACTTTTATAAATAAATTATATATAATTTATAAATCAAATCGTACTCAAATGTTCAAATTCAAACCAATTTGGAGCTGTTAGTTTTGACTGCGATTTGGTTACCAATCGATCAGGCACATCAATAACCATTAATTATTAAGCATGTAAGACATATATATTTATGTATATAGATTTGTATTTCGATTTGTACTCACATCGTAGCATGCGTTTCCCAGATCGGCGATCTTTACCCTCACGTTGCTGTTGTTGATGAGCGATTGTATCGTGTGCGTATAGGATTGACTTTGACTCTGGCTCTGGTTCTGCGAAGGAATGGCATTGGCATTGACATTAAGTTTAGCGATTGTTGTTGATGTTGTGGTTGTTGTTGTTGTTGCATTAATTGAAGACGCGATGGCTGCTGTTGTAGCTGTTGTTGTTGTTATTGTTGATGATGAGGTTCTGTTGTCACAACTGCCAGTGTTGCTATTATTGTGAAACAGGTCTGTGCTTGCAATTGTTGGTAATGTTGTTGTTGTTGATGTTGGAGTTGTAGTTGCAGTTGTTGTTGTTGCCACGAGATGCGTGAACGAGTACGTGCACGTGCTGGTAGTGCTGCTGGGGGCTGTAGGTGGTGCATTGGCATTGGCAGTGGCAGTGGCATAGGCGGAGGCGGAGGCGGAGACAGGGACTGATGATGTGGATGTGGTATCAAATCTAGCTGAGGTGTTCTGTTGGCTGTGGATGGGGCCATTGTTGCCATCGGCCGTAGGTATGTTGTTGCTGTTGTTCTGTTGTGTCGTTGACGTGCACGTGCTTTGAGTATTCGAGTTAACAGTGGTGTGGGTGGAGCAGGAGTTGGTAGTGGTATTGGTATTGGTGTTGGTATTGGTATTGGAGTTGCTGACTATGGCATTGGGCAGCTGCTTTAACATATGGTGATATATTTGATATATATATATTTAGTGTTTTTTTTTTGGTTCACACAAGGAAAGAAAAGAAGAAAAAAGAACACACGATTTTGGTTGTTTTTTTTTTGTTCGGTGCAATGCAAGAAAAACATTCATTAGATCATTCACAGTTGGGACTAGTCCAGCTTGCAGCCCATCTGTGAAGTGCTCTAATTAAATTAAAGGATCTAAGATATGATAAGTTATACCTTTAGTAAACTTGACAACATTAAAAAAAACATTTAATTAGCGTACAACATATCTTTGACGTTAAATATGGTAGATGTATGTATATGGACTATGCAGCATAAAGGCGAAAAGCAGATGATAAGGTTAATATATATATACATATATGTATAACATATAAAGCTTAAGCCAGTTGTAGCATAAGGTAAATACACATACATTAAACATTTAAGCAATTGATATGGTTTTGTGTTTGTGTTTTTGTGTAATTCGGCAAAGATGTCTTAAATATAGAAAGTGTCTACAGTTGCAATATAACATTTATATAGATGTAGCTAATATAGGTAAGCCATTAGGCAACTGAACATTCCAACATGATGTACGTATTGATGGCAAATAATTAGTTGATTAGTTGTAGCAATGATGATCGGCTAAACTCACTCCACATTCTACAAAAGTCCTATTCTAAAGACTCATTGATTAGTAACGACAACTTCAAAAAGCACTCAAGAATCGAGACAGCGGCAGCACACAAAAAAGGATACTTTGTAATGAACGATGCTAAGCACTCTCCAACACACAACCACACATTCACACACACACATACACACACAGACACACAATTTTACATATATTTAGAACGAACGAGCGAACTATGCACCTCTAGTTGCGGGGGGAGGGCGGTGGTTTGGGATGAAACTAAGCAAAACATTACCTTTTCCGGATTTGCACTGAGACTAACGTCGTGCTCGGTAGGTGTGTCGCTGGCAATGGTGCTATTGTCACCGAGGGTGTCGGTATCTGTGTCCTCATCGCGGTCAATAGAAGACTGTGCGGATATGCCCAATACCAAAATGAAAAATATGTCAAAAGAAAAAAAAAAACAACAATGGAAATCAATGCATCAAATCAAATTAGGAATAATTTGCCGACGTGTTGCTGTTGTTGTTGTGTTGCATACATATATACATACATACATACATACACACATAGTGATACGTACATCACGTACATACATATGGATAGTTAGAATATGCATTGTATAATAGTAGGTCAAAAGTTTTGTGGCTTGACTTGAGTGCAAATTGTTGTTCGAACGCATCCATCGCATCATCGCGGATGTTGATGAGCTGGAAAATGGTGTTGGAATCGCAGGTGGTGTGCTGTGTGTGGTGGTGTGTTGCACATTGGGGTTACTCACCTTGGCAGTGATTTTCTTCTCAGCACGATAACGATTGCTTAAATTCGTAGTACCACCGATAATTGGACTATCAACGCTGCCAACGCCGAGCAGACCAACGCCATTGCACTCGCTATCGCCCAGCAGACTGGAGTATTTGGATGCCAGCGACGAGGTGGTATTCGAGTTGAGCGTCGACGAGGTGGTTGTGTCGTCCTTATCCAGCGAGGACATGACCACAGCGGCCAACGGCGTCGATGATGTCGAGTTGTTCGCTGTACTGTTGCTGGTGTTCGTCGTCGAGCCATTCGGTTCGATCAGCGGCCACTTGGCCCGCGTCTTCGTTTGCTTCTCAATCGAGCTGACTAAGGATGGGAAGGAACAAAGTGACAGATGATCCAACCACCAGCAAGAGCAGAAAATACGATTGAGTTCTTACTATATGAATCGGGAAAGTCGGCGCCCTTCACACGCAGACTGTTGATCTCATCATCGATCTGTTGATTCATTGCCGCCGCATTGTCGATGACCAGCAGAATGTTCTCGGGCTTGACGTCCGTGTGAATAATGCTGCATTTGCTGTGCAAATAGTCCAAGCCCTCCAGCACCTGCTTAATGATATTGCGCACCTGGGCAATGGCCAGTCCCTGATAGTTGTTCTTCACGATCAGCTTGTACAGACTGCAGCCCAGTGCCTCGAAGACCAGGCAGGTGTGCACACCATTCACACCACGCACCGTAAAGTGATTCATTAATCGAACGATCCTTTCCCGCTTCACATCGAGGGGATCTGCATCCCGTATGGCCTCCAGCAGACGAATCTCATCCGCTGCCGTTTCTATATAATGCGGTGCACTCTTCACCACCTTCAGGGCCACATACTTCTCATCCCTACAACAAAACGTGATAGGTTTTGTGACTCAAATTGCATTGGAATTCAATGTTGTTACTCACTTTAGATCTCGACATAGCCAAACGGTGGAAAAGTGACCCCAGCCAAGTTTGCGCACAACACGAAACCGATTGTCGAATATATCGCCAATGACCACCGGATGATAGCCACCACGGCAATACTGTGAGGCATCCTCCTGCTCCTCATCGGAGCCGTAGAGGCTGCTATCCGGAGAGTCTGGATAGATTTCATCTGTGGTGCTCAGCGTGCCGCGTGGCTCCGAGCTGAAAGTAGAAAATACTTGTTAGTTGAGCTAATTTCGAAATGTTGATGTTAAATTTTAGGTTAAAATTGTATAAGCTTAAAGTTAATCTAAAACTTAAACTAAATCTGATTTGAAACCAAAGCAAACCAACAGTTTAAACATAGAACTGATGAGTTCTGGATATTTCCAAGTGATTACTTAATCTCAAACTAACTCGGAATACTTCTCAGCTAAACTTGGATAACTTTTAATCTGAACTGGTCTGTTTAAATTCAGAACTGATTAGTTTTGCATACATATATGATCAAACTATCTAGGATCACTTCCAATCTAAACAAAGTTTCCCGTTAAGCGAACTCACGCACATTAGTGCAACCAGATCCACTTCCTCCGGTTCCGACACCTTCACAGGTGCAGAGGTCATTGCCGTTGCTCCAGTTGCTCCCACAGGTTGTTGGTGAAGAACTGTGGGCGGCAGATTAATCGTCAAGGGTTTGTCCCTAGGCACCAGAGGATTCTCCACTATTCGTTCTCTGGGCGACAGTGGCTCAAAGTTCAATGCTGGTCTTCGATGTCTTTTGGGCCGCTGTGATTGCTTGCGGAGGGCGATGAGTACGGGTCCAGCCGAGACGCAATTGCGTTTCTTGGTGAATCGCTTGCGACGTCTTTTCTCCTCCACCTCGAGCATGGCCTCGCTGGCCGCCTCCTGGGCGGCACGCTTCTCCTGCTCGGACACATAATTGAAATCACAGCTCAGCTCTTTTGTCACAGCCGGCGTTGTCGTTGTTGCTGCCGTTGCATTGATCACACTTTCCTCTGCTTGTGCTGCTGCTGCTGCTGCAGCTGCTGCACTGCTGCCCGGCCTCAGTTGGTGCATGAGATAGAGGAAGAGCAGCAGCAGGCAAAATTGCAGTCCATACACAAAGACTTCGTCCTGCGACAGTGTGTTGATAATGTGACGAAGCAGTTGGCCCACTATGCTGGCATAGATTGAGAACAGCTGATAGTAGTGGGCAAAGCTCTGGCTAATTAGCAGCCAGTTGGCAAGCCACAGCTCTTTCCAATGCCCTCCATTCGGTGAGGTCGCATTGGCCTCCTCCTTTGGACAAGTGGCGCCCACTTCCGAGCTGTACATCCACCAGTTGTCCATTTCAATTGATTGTATGTGTGTTAGTTAGTTCGACTACTGGCAATTCGCTGTTCGCTTTCTCGCCTACATTGCAACCAGGCCCAGTAATGATGGAGGGGGGATGGGGTGGCGTTTTTTTTTGTTGGTAGCTAGCAACGACCTTGACTTTCCTATGCGTTGACGGACTGCATTAGTTTTCGCATTGTTTGCACTCGTTTTACTTTCGAATTTGGCTTACATAACGCGCGCGCTTCGAGCTGGCGGACGGAGGTAAATAAATAAAATCGCGCAACGCAAAAATTTCAATTATGAACAAAAACAAAAACAAAAAATAGTATCTGTATCTTATTTAGTCTGTATTGTAGTGTATAGTGTGGCTCGACAACCGTTGCGTTCGGTGGCATTTGCGAGAATATTGCTCGAACGCTTGGCCTTTTCGTCTTTTACCCATCAAATGAGCGAGCCAAAGTCAAAGAATTCAATTCGTGCCGAAGCGTTTTTCGTTTTCTGTTGTTGCTTTTATCACTACTAGCCAAATACATTTATAGGCAGCTATATGTGTACTATATGTATATATATATATACATATATATATGTGTATATGTATTTGCATATGTGTGTGCGTGTGCAACTGAGCGGCCCCACAGTCTATAAACATGTGTTGGTTTGCTTGTATGTATGTATATATGTATATATATATATGTATAGTAAATGTACATATCTTTGCGTCATTATCCAATGTACTTCATCAACTCGACGTCGTTGTTGTCGTAGCACGCGGCTGCCGGTCTTTGAATACCGAACCAGCAATTGAGAGCGTCAAGCAACAACATCATCATCGTCATCGTCATCATCATCATCATTGTCAGTGTTACAAATTTCTTAGGCACTGTGCCAAAAAAATTGGACTCTATGGCATTGTCGAACTGTTCTTCTCTTTGAAACAATAATAAATTTGAACTTAAAAACTTCTCGTCCTCGTCCTCGTCCCTACAGGAAACACGCGACGCGATTTTTTAAGTAATTTTCTTGTTTATTTGTTATTTCCTTTTGTTTAAAGTGACTAAGCAGTCTGTGTGTATTGATTTTATTTTTATTTTTTTCGACAGTCTTTGTTGGCATTGCAAGCGTTTTGCGAGTGCCACAAATAAAAAAAACACTTGTTCCATGCATGAGTCACCCCAATGCACAAAGAGAAACACGCACCTTTCTGCATCTTGTGCGCTCACTCAAAAAAAAACAAAATTACTCAAATTCTCTGGCTGCCTTGCCTGCCACGTCTTTACAATATTATTATTTATAGACTTGGCAAAATAAGAAACAATAATTCGCTGTAAAAATAAGTGCAAATAAAACGCACGCGCCTTGTGCCATTGTGTGTGTGTGTGTTTGTGTGTGTTAGCGTGACAACGTCATAGTTTACTCAAGTGCAGCATAGGTGCCAAGGGCGTACTCAGCTTTTTGTGAAAGGGATGCTGAATTTATCTAAAAAAGGTGTACTTATAATTTTCTCTCAATTATTAAGCTAAACCAATTTTTGTGTATGCAAAGTTAAGCTGTGGGGGGGCAGCCGCCAGCGCCTGCCTCCCCCTGATTACGCCTTTGATTGGTACTATTTCTGTGTGACTGCAGGGGGCACGCGCCACGTTTGGCGTCATCAGTTGCTTTTGCGGTTAATGCAAATTAAAAACGTAAACAAAACCAGGCAACCATTAGGGTGGTCACTGCGTGGGCATATCTATCAGTACATCAATATATATATATACATACATATATATATATATATGTATGCGTATGTGTGGGCGGAAAAGTAAAGTTCAGCATGAGCCGCAAATATAGCAAATAATGTTCAAATGGTTATCCTATTAGCAGGCACTGCATAGTGGTGCAAGCAGACTTAGATCAAATTATTTGGTTAAACTCTTTCCTCATCCGTTCATTGTATACAACCAGCTATTTATATCAATTTACGATTTGTACATATATAAAAATGATTGCAATTCATTTTCAAGTTTCTCTCGACGTGGTCAGCATTGTCAATTTATTTACAACTATTTTTATAACTTATAAGCTAAACTATTAATAGAATATTCTTTAGACCAAATCATGACCAAAAAGGCATTGCTATAGAAAATGTAATAAAATTTGACGTGAACTTTAATCCCTGGCAACAGCAATTTCAGTGAGCATTTTTATAATGTTTATTTAGATCGTATAATTCTGTTGACAGTTTTGGAAGTCTTAGAAAAATGGTGTTAATACGACAACTGCCTTCTTTCCTCAATAATTATTTTCCAATCTTAACCCATAACTATGACTCTTTGTTATCGATTTTGAATAGGAATAATATGACATATGTATTATTTCTAGTATGTGATTTGCAAACTTATCATTTCAGTTTCCACACATTTTGCCAGAACCGAACTTTAAAACTATCCCAAAATATAATTAATATTTATGGAATATTGTGCTGTCAATGGGATGCTTTTGTCCCACTGTGCACAGCCTGGGAATGAAAGCACTTGGCTGACCTGTCAACACTGAAATTGAGAGGTTGACTAGATGGATTTAATTGGGCTCACGCTGCGTATGCGTTATACACGAGTGTCTCAAACTGAATGATAAAAACAAAGCAATGGTTTAGGTGGTTAGCTGGCTAGGTGGTTAGATGGTTAGGTGGTGACGGTTACTCACAGACTGACAAAGGGTCCTCTCAACGCTGGCATGTCGCGGCGTCGATTCAATGGCGGCGACAGTGACAACGAGAGAAAGTCCTGCTGTGCCTTGTCTTCGTCCACAATGCTCGTCGGGGTGCTGTAGATGCGTGTCGTGGGCAGATAGCCAATCTGTTGCAGAAAATCATCGCGATACGACAGTTTTGTCGTCGACTGCGACGACGTGAGCGTACCCAGCGACAGTGGCTGATGTGTTCCACCCGTGCCCGATCCCGATCCCGCACCGCCACCCGCTGCATGGTGATGCAAGTGCAGATGGTGGGCGTTTGGTATGGATGTCGGCGGCGATGCAACATTAACATGATGATGCGACGATGCTGGATGGAAGTGTGGATAAGGTATGGGCGCCGGTGTTGCACCACCGCCATAACCATGTCCATGGCCATGTGATAAATACGGCGGTGCAATGATCTTGTCGTCGAAGCTGCGCCGAAAACTGAATCCCTTCAGTGAGTTGCTGTAGTTGCGATGCGACAGCGGCGAGCTGCCCAAATCAATGCTGGCCGCCGGCCCCAACAGCTTCATGGTGCTCAAATAGTTGGGTGAAGCGCTGCCCGCTGGACTCAATGTTTGAGTCGATGACGGCTGCTTGCCACTGGCCGTTGCCGTTGCGCTGCCGAGCATGCTGAGCGCCGGCGAGGTGCGCAACTGTGGACTGCCGCTGCCGGCTGTTGTGGCCGCTGCCGCTGTGGTGCTGCACGCGGACAGCGGTGGCGAGATGGCGCTCAGCGTTGAAATGCCGCTATCACTGCTGCATATGCCGGCCGGCAGTGTGTGCGAGTGTGTGTGCGAGTGTGAGTGTGTGTGGCTGTGTGTGTGCGTTGGCGAGATGAGATGATGCTGATGCTGTTGATGCTGATGCTTGTAGCCGCTGCCGGCGCTGCCATTGCTGCCACCACCACTTGCACCGCTGACGAGGCCGGCCATGCCGCTGCTGGGCAATACGGGAGCCAGCTTGGCAATGTGCCCGCCGCACTGTGCCTGCCTGCAGATGTGCCACAAAGAGTCGCCTCGTCTGATTGTCGACTGCTCCTCTTTTTCTTTTACTATTTCTATTTCTATTTATTTGTTTGTTTTTTTTTTCTTCGTTTTTACTATTTGTTTTGTTTGTTTGTGGCAGCTCTCCTTGGCTGCTATTTGGTTGTTGCTTGCAGGGAGTGTCGTCGGCGGCGTCGTCGTCGTCGTCGTCGTCTTCGCCTTGCCTAGCAGCTACATGGCGTCGTCTTTGTCGTCTTTATCGTCGTCGGCGTCGACGTCGTCGTCGTTGCTGCCTTCGTCCACATCCTTGTTGGCCTGCGTCTAAGCACCCAGTGTGACCAAAATGTAGCCAGCCTCATTTCCATTCGGCGCCATTGGAGCGCAATTTTAAGCACTTAATTTTATGTAGCATACATTTGTGCGTAGGAAAATCAATGAAGCCCCTTTTGCCTAAAGCATTTTTAATGCATTTTAAGCAGCGTTTTTTCGTTTTTCGATCGCTTTGCTTTGTAACCCAAATTGCGCATGAAAAATTAACACACACATGCACACACAATACACTATATATATGTATATATATATATATATATACACACGCACAAGCACACACACAGACACACACACACACACACACACTATAAAGCACAATCAGACAAATACAAACGCGTTTCAATTTTTCCTCAGCGTTTTGGGATTTGATTTTCGATTCATGGCAATTTGAGTTGAGTTGAGTGTAGCGTAGCCAGTTAGCAGTAAATTTATTAATTTCAATTCATCGAATTTGAGTTACTGTTGCACTTTAGACATTTTTCACATGACCGATTTAGCAGAATGAAAAAAAAGGAAAAAAAAGAAATGAAAAGAATTGTAGATTCCACCTTTGATTTTCGGTAACAACTTTGCAATGCGTCGCGCACGAACTCTCCGACTGTCTATCGGTTTCTGACCCGTACAAACTCTGCAGCGAAGTTGCGCCGAGCCGCCTCCATTTACTACCCAGCCTCAGGCCGCTCTCTCTCTCTCTCTCTCGTTCTCTCTCAGTGGCAGTGGCAGAAAGCGCATGTGCCGGCTTTGTCGTTACTGCAAAGGCATTTGGCACAAAGCACCAAAACAAAACAAACCCAAAAAGAGAGAGAGAGCGAGCCAGCTAAACGGAGCGAATAAAGCTTATTGTCCTCATAGTCAGTCAGTCAGCTGTCAAAAGCTTTTCAAATACCAACTATAATAACAACAACAACACACTGCACACTGCCGTATTTGTTTACCAATATGAAACAACGAAAAATGTCGTTTGTATTCCTTGTTGAGCTTTCAACTGATGATAATCAAATTTTTCATACTATTCCTGCTGCACAAACAGGTGGAAAGGAGGAAAACAAAAACACCATTTTGATTTATATAGTTATTTTTATTGATTTCGGTTTCATTCTGTTTATGGCAATTTTTAATTTGAAAACAATTGTTAATGTTAAATGTAAATTTTTGGAAATGTTTTTTTGTTTTTTGTTTGGTTTTTTGTTTACTCATACGAACAATAAATACACACGCAAAACTTTAAAATGTTTTTATAATTATTTGAATTTTTATATAAGTAAATATATACATATATACATTTATATAGATATATGTATATATATATATTTATTGTATGTTTGTATACATTACTTGCTGGTACTTCATAATTGATATTAATGATATAACATGCACGATATTACAGCATTTTTTTTGGGACTAATTGCATTAATTTACAAATACATATGGGGAAAACAGTTGCTCGTCATTGAATGAATTATGTGAAGAATACAGCTTGAATGTGGAATATTTTTGTGAATAATGGGGTTCAATGTTTGAATCAATAGATTGAAATAAATAATTTTAAAATTGACAGATTCGCATTGTTCCGAATTAGTTCGATTGAATTACTCATCTAACTGAACGAACAAACTCATTCGTTGATTGTAGTTCGTTTGCTTGATTCTGCCATTGAAGAAGTCAGTCGCTTAGTTCAGTCCGTAGTTTCGTTCTTTGAGTCCGATTATCGTTCGGTCCGACTCCGGTTCGTGTTGTGCTTTCATATCGATCGTTCGCGCTTATCGATAGCTGTTAATACATTTGATCGATTTTTTTTGGAAAGAAGAAAGCGCTTATAGTCCCTGAATACCATAAAAAAGGCTAGCGGATTTATTGCAAGACTCTAATTAGTATTTCATTGGAAATTAATTGCACTACATAATCTCAAAGCATCTCACAATTTTAAAATGAGCTTGAATTGAAATGATATTCCACAAACGATATTCGCACATAAACGATCAAAAGGAGCACAACCAATCAAACAAATCGAACTAAAATCAGAGTTGAGCGAACTACAATCGGTCTTAAGCGGACTAAATGGCCGAGATTCGTTCAATCAGCAATCAATCTAAATCCTTGGAATGAAATATAACGAAGAACTCAACAAATTGACTGTGCAATACTATTATTGTTGTCCATGGAAGGGGTACAATTTTTGAATAACATTTGGAACAATTTAGATAAAGGGGATTATATTCAATTTGTTTTGTTACACAGCTTGCAGAATGCAAGTATTTGTTATTGTTATTATTATTGTTATTGTATCATTATTATTATTATTATGTTCTTTCGTCGAGTGCAATTCTATGCTGTTTAACTTGACTTATTTATTTACATTTGCAGTTAATACAATGGGTCACAGACTTATTTATTATCAAACATCGTAGTTCAGCTAAATCGGGGACCCATCGTTTAACAGGAGCAACAGGTTTTTTTTGAATTTTTACATACATCGTTATTGTTTTTTTTTAACAATTTAGTGTAAACTTAATTTGGAAAAATGGTTAGGCAAATTTTCACAGGTTTCGATCGCCATACGAAAGATCAGTTTAACAAACATTTACCTTAGCTAGGGGCACACAACACACACACAAATGCAAATTAAATTTAATGTGGCATATGTGGCAGACACATACACAAAAGCATACAAGTTAAGCTTACAGATTGCTTTGCGATTAGGACAAGGAAAAGAAATCGACCTTTGCTTTGTGGCTGGTTACAATTGAATTGAATTTAATTTAATTTAATAGGCATTCATTTTTAATAGCTTAAATTTTTGCACTATTCTGGCTAAAATGGAAGTTAATAATTATTAGATACATTTTGCAGCTATATAGAGATACATAAGTATATGTATGCATATGAAAATAACACTTTAGGTAAGTATCTAAGTATCATATATGTATATATATATTTGCAGATTGAATAACTACCAAAAATTGATTACGCATATCTAAATAATAATGCAATAATATTTTAACATTTTCAAGGTTATTTTAATGCGTTCTATTCTCAATTCGATTTGCATTCTTCGGCATGATGAAAATTAGATGAATGTGTGTATTATTTGTTTGTTTGTTTGGTTGTTTGTTGGTTGATGAACAATTTCTATCGGATTGATCGATTAAAACATGTCAGCATTTGCTTTACAATCATATTATGAATTAGAATTACATATATCTTCAATAGCTTACAATAAATATAAGTTTGTATGTATATATTTTCGGATTTTGAACATACCAAATTTTTTAATAATAAAAAGGAATAAAAAAATGTGTGTAGCAGTTCAAAACGCTCTCATGAGTTGGTTTGTCTCGCTTCAAGCATGAACCTAATATTTTTGTTTAACCATATCTAGATGTGAAGAAAGAGAGAAAAAGAGAGAGAGAAAAATTATAGTGATAAATTAAAAATGAATCAAAATAATATTAGTAAAAATACGCCTATTTCCAGAATGAATAAAACAAAACCAGTCAGCAAACAAATCTAAAGCGCAAATTGGCAGTGTGATCATCTATAATTGCCAGTTTTTAACCGGATGAAGTTATGAATAAAAAAAAACAGATCCTTTTTGAATACTAGAAGGTGTATTTACACTGTGCAGCAAAATTCCATTCCCAATTCATTGGATACACTCTATCGAAGAAGTTTCAATAACCAAAAGGATCATATACGAATTATATAGTACTCCAACGCATATACATAGTAACTAGGCAGTGTTTTGATAATGCCCCCCAAATATCTGAGATTATTATTATGTTATCTTATTGCTGATTCATCAAGTATTGTGATCTCCTGTGTTTGAATGGACGTGTTATGGTTTTTCTTTTTTTGTGGATGGTTGCCACTCATTACGGAAAGTAGTTGGTGAAGTGATCCAAGGACTGGGAAAGTGACAACATTTACGAGGCTCCAATTGTGTGATCTATCAATCAATTCTAGATTCACAGTGTGAAAATATTAGTGTCTAAAAATATACGTTTAGATCCCTATAACTGTGCTACATATGCTACGAATGCATTTACTATATGTGTATAATGTGTATATGAGCTTACTTATAGAAATCGTGTATTAATTGTTATTGTATTATATTATTATATTATTATGTGTATTGTACTCTTGCGCACAAACAAGTGCGGGTAGCGCAAAAGAGTTATAAGTGGTAGAGTTAGTGATTTCAGTATCAGACTATACTGCAATATATTCAAAAGGTTACTGTGGTTTTACAATACAATATTTTTTTGGATTTCATAATTAATCTTTTTGTTATGTTAAGTTCTTTTAACTATATACGCAGAATTAACAACAAGTTCGATGGTCATAGACGCTTTGTTTAAAGTTAAGCTTGTTATTGTACTGCTGCTAAGGGTTTTTCATGTATTTGTTTTTTTTTTTTTGCTTCTTTTTTGTGTTTTCTTTTTGTTCTGCTTGTAGATCTTTGCTGACTTGGATGAAGTCGTGAAGATATCGATTCATCTACTGGTTAACACAGAACCAACTGTAATTTCGCTTATATACCTGGTGTGTATGTGGTCTGTTCTGTTGTGTTCAGCGACGTGTTCTCATTGGCAGCGACTGGAGCGCCCGTGAATGGATTCACTCCAACAGCAGCATTATAAGTTGGCGGCGGCATTGCATAGACGGGCTGGCCACCAGCAACGCCAGCACCACCACCAGGCTGACCAGACTGCTGTTCGCGCGGCTGCGTAGTGACTGTTGAGCCTCCAGCACCCAGATTGATATCGTCAAGATCAGCGTCCTCCTGCAGACATGGAATTCAATTCAGATTTTAGTATATTTATAATATTTATATGCTAATATCTATTCAGTCTTCAGTTCAGCATTGTTTAGTCAAACGTGTTTTCGGTGGGTGAGCGTATTGCATAGGAAGGAAAGCCGCTATTTACAAAGCAAGCCATCATTATTTATACATGTAGTATTGTAAATGCATAGAAAAACCAAAAATCAACTAAAACTACATTTATATATATTTGCTAATTTAGATAAAACGTGTTTACACAGCACAAAATTTTGTTAAGATACAAATTAAAAGTGAATTCATTTACCCAGTAGCAGATGACCAAAAAAGATGATCACAGATTGAGAGAATGCTCTTGTCGCCTTGCAATCATTTCATTTAATGCGTGCAATTCTTGTGTGTTTTGTTTTATGTATTGCTTATGTATATTAATTAAAATTTGCGTTTGAAACTTCTAAATTTGGTTAGGATTAGGTTAGTTTTTGTTGATTGGCTTGAGGTTAGTTTGGTTTAGTTTCTTTTTTACACGTTTTTTCTTTTTTTTTGTTGGATATTTGCGTTGAGATCATGCGGTACTCGTGCCAGTGTCGTTGACTATTTCTATACTTACAAGACGTGGATGCTGTCCCAGATGCGGTGGCAGATCGCTCGCCTCTCGATTGCCATTGGAGCGCTGGGCATTCACATTATCACATACACAACACATACCACATGGACGAATTGCGATTCGGCACCGAATCGAAATCGGACATATTGTATATGCATATATATATGCGTTATAATTGAGTGTGTGAGGTTGTAGTAGGTTGTGGGTATGATGAGTCGATCGAAAGGTGGAGTTTTATATATATATTTTTTTTATTTTTGAGAAAAAATAAACAAAATTAGAATCGTAAATTTGTTGTAGTTTTCTTGGTAATATACACATACGTATATATATAGATATAAGGATTTACAGAAAATACAAAAGGAAAATTGAACTCAATGATTAAAGCACAAGAAAACAAGAAATCAATCTCAATGTGAGACTTGGGAGAAAGGGGAAAAAAACAAGAAAAGCAATTGTTTTGACTGATGAAAACGAAATCACACAAAATTTCCGTTTGTCTTTGGATTCACAACGATTTGTATTTACAAAATGCACTTCAATTTTGTTCTCCTTCTTAATTGAATTGAAATTGTTGTGCATATTTATGTATTAGTACAGAGACTTTATAGATTTTTTGAAGCATTTGATGATTTTTATGGAGTTCATATTTATTACAAAAACGAAAGAAAAACCAAACTCAAACGAAACAAAAGTGTAATCGTTGAACACAAATAAATGTTGTAAATGATCGAAACATTTTTTTAATATTTTTTGTATGGATGTCAAAAGTCGTGTCCAGATGCAATATTCTCGACAATTTCAACAACTGCGTTATGTACATACTTACCTCAAACTAAGAAACAGAACATAGTGCAAAGAGATCGACAGATAGATAGAGAGGCAACAGAGGCAAGAGTACAATTAGTTAAATTGAACAAAACATATCTAAAGTAAATATGCCAATTCAAGCAATACATAACAACAGCAAACAAATATAAATAATTTCAAACAAATTAATGTAATAGCATTTTATTAATCAGCCATATTTAAGCCAGCCATTAAAACGCCAGTTAAATGTATGCATTATGAAAACTACTTTTGACTAAACAATCGCCTCACAAAAATCATCAAAATGAGTTCAGTGTTTATTAGTTGTGCAGTGTAAATGTGCGTGTATTTGCATGTGTGGGTGTATATACAAGCAAGTGTGTGTGTGTGTGGTATGTGTGTTAAAATCTTATGAAATTGATTGTTTTTCTTGTTTTTTTTTTTTTTGTTTTTGTTTGATTGACTTGATGGTTAGTAGTATTGTAGTGGAGTAGTTGGAAATTGGACGCAATCAATAACCAAATAACCGAAATCAAACATCACTCACATTCAAATGTGCATACTGATCGTGCGACTCGTTCACCGGCGGCTTGAACTTGCCACAGCAGAAGTTGCAACAGCAGCAACAGCAGCAGCAACAGCAACAGCCCGTCAGTATTGAGCAGCAAATGACCAAGGCCTAAAAATAGAATCAATTAACATATATATATATATATATTAGGAAAAGGGCCAATCAAATTATTTGGTATTCATGACGTACCTTTACCGCCGGCGATGTAACCACAAAATATGCATTCACATTCTCCTCACCGAACTGCTCGGCAATGTAGAGACCCAGCGAGCCATAATTATCGTAAATATTGCGTTTCGTTTGGTCGCTCAATATCGAGTGTGCCCGATTGACCTCCTTGAACTGTTTTGTTTTGTTGTTGTTAATGGAAGATGCAAACAGAAATGGCAACATGAATGAGTCAATCAAAAGATTTGATAAAAAAAAAAGTTCGTTTAACTGAACTGTGGACTTTATTATTACCTTATCGGCAGCGTCAACATTGTCTGGATTTTTATCTGGATGGTATTTAAGTGCAAGTTTTCTATAAGTCTTCTTGATATCATCAGCTGTTGCTGTTTTAGGTAGTCCCAAGATTTCATAGAGCGAATCGCCCGATGTGCTGTAAGCAAAGAAAAAATAAATAAATAAATAAGAAAATTAAAACAATTGACAAGTAATCACTGTGGGAAGTATGTAGATATTTGTAGATACCAATTGTTTACACAATGAACAAACAAAACCTTTATCGCATTGACAGTTCTGGTTCGCATTCGGCGTTGCGCCTTAGAGCTGATCGAGCGAGTTAATCTACATATACACAATATATGAATTTTTTCAAGATAGGGCGTTGGATGACTAAGCGTCCGTTCTGCTCAACTGGGTATTGTTCTGAGCATTATTCCAGCAACACGTTAAGTGCAACACGCGATAGAGAAATATAAATATTTGTACAAATATACAAATATATATTTATATACATATACATATGTATATATAGCCCTTTGTTCCAGGGGATTTTTTTGTGGCATTGAGAGCTTCAGTGAGGGGCCGCGGGCGGGGATGTCACTTGGCGGATGCGTACGCAGCCGGGTGAAATGCAATACAAAACAAGCCAAGACGACATCGCTTCCCAGCCAGACCAAAACGTATATATATATATATATGTATATGTGTGTGTGTGTGAACTGTTCTTGTTGTTGTTGCTGCTGCTGCCTTTAAGCAGCTTGTGCATTCTGTATGGATTTTCTTTTATTTTTTTTTGTTACCCAGATTGGGCCGAGTGGCTTATTGTGCTCTTAACTGCTTTGCAAATTTAAGTGGTCTGATAAGGAAAAGAAGGCAACATAATTTGAATGACGTTAAAGCTGGCAAAAGTATGGAATATGGCAAATAGGAAAATGGCCAACAAACCACCCCCACACAAGGCCAAGGACAAACAGCAAACACATAAAATAAAACAACAAAAAAAATGCCAACTCTGTGCGAAAAAATGTCAAATTGGGGCAAAGAAATTCGATTCCGAGCATTACTCATTGCAGATTATTGTAGTATTTTTTACACACACACACACACACATGCATATATGTATATGTGTATTCAAGTGTTTGAGGGTCGAGAATGGGTACACGAACTATCAAAAATATTTAACAAGGAAAACAGTTAAAGATAACACAAATACACACACAGACTGAATAATTGTATGTGTGTGTGTGTGAGTGAGAGAGAGCACTTGTTGTTATCAGCTGTCAATCAGGGATTGAGCAGCGTGTGCTTGTGCCGTTGTTGGAGCCAACAAAATATGTATTAATTAAATACGGATATCTCACGAATAAATCGCACAACTATCAAAGGGAATTAGCCTAATGCATGCATAGCACACACACACGCACACGCAAACAGCTGCACTCTTTTTTCATTTTTCTCCCTAACTGCGGTTCTTAATCCTTAGCTGAACTAAAGGAATTCAAAAAAAGTTACAGCTGCTGCTGTTGCTGCTTCTGCTGCTTCTACTGCTACTACTGCTGCTGCCTTCCTGTTGTTGTTGCTGGCGGGTGCGGAAAATCAATTGAACGTCGACTGCGCTGCCGCTGCTAACGTTGGCGTTGGCAATGCGCATCTGCCGTCTCTGCACACTGTGCGCTTGCTTGTGTACGTGTGTGCGCAGAAAGAAAAAAAAAGGCATACGAAGAAGAAAATCATTTGTGAAATTGTACTTACGACAGTTTTCTTTTATCCATGCCACCGCCACTCATGTTTGCAATTGTTCTGGGCACGTGCCTCTTTAATGCTCGTTGTCACAATGCTTAGCAATAAATAATTAGCACAACTTTTTTCTTTCCTTTTTTTTTTTTTGCACGCACTCACACACTCGGCAAACACATTTGTTATATTTGTCACGAAAATTGTAAATGACTACGGCTACTACACGGCTATAGTTATCGATTCTGACTAGTGGTGGACGCGTGTCTTTCACTTTCATCATGAGACACACTGGCGACACAATCGATAACACGTCTGGCAGTGAGCGATAGGTTCTGGCATGACAAAATTCAATTAACACAACCAAATTATGTCTCCATAAGTTAAATGCTTGCCAAATATTTATTTCTTTTGTTGGAAAGAAACTATCGACATGTAATCGTGACATGAGCTGTCACCTTTTCGACAGAAATTTAACACATCAAAGTGATTGCAAGAATTTTATATCTGCTACATTTGTTAATGGCAAATTGAAATATTGAAATATGGTTTGTTTACGATTGGCCAAATTGGCGCATAATTCAATTGTTATCAACTATCGATTTCCATACGATATTCGTAGCAGTTTAATATACGATATGCTTAACCCGTTACAAGTGTGACCATTCAAGCGAAGAGTCCAATTAGAATGTGCCGCTCAGTGTTCAGTGTTGATTTGTCCGTTGAAATTGTCGGTTGTTTGTGGAGTGTGCGTAAGTGTTAATTTATTTTCCCAAATACCAACCAAAATAAATAAAAAAAATTCCAAAACATTTGCAATTGTTACACATTTGAATTTTATCAAACAAACTAAATCGCGCGTGCTATGTTTCTATAATTCAGCAAATTTCATCAGCTTCTACTTATTTGCATGCTCAACATCTGCGCCGCAAGCTTTCTGCCTGCAAAATTTAACGGCTCGTTTTGCAGCAGCAGAAGCAACAGGTGTCCGTCCATTAGCTGCAAATCTGTTTCTCTTTAAATTTCCCCACAATCCGCGCGATCAAAGTGTTGGAAAAGTGTTGTTTTTGTGTTTAATTAAAATGCGATGAGATCTACGATCGTCGTACGTATTTACAAACGATGCGAATGCATTTAAATGTGTCAAAGATGTGGCATTAATAAATAGCAAAAAAAATAATATCGCACATTTGCAAAATTTCAAGTGCTATTCCTAACAAATGAAAAAGATTATATCTATTTAGTTTTCGTTTGTGCCGTTCAATTTTATGCGTATATTTTTACTGCGTGCAATTGTTTTTTTGTTTTTGATTTCGTTGAAATCGCTTTTTTTGCTTTGCCCCACAGAACGTGACAAAATGGTTTAAAGCACCAAGCAAAAACAACAACAACAATAAGTGCAAACATAAATATGTGTATGCAGTATGTATGTGTATGTGTGTGTTTGTATTTGGCAGGTGCATAAAATTAACAGAAAAAGTTTGAATTTAGTTAAGAGGCATGTTTAACGGCCTAATTCCAGCAGTAAAGTCAAGTTCCGTTATGACCCACTGCATGAATGTGTGTGTGCGAGAGTATTTACATATATATATTTATATATATTTGTATATATGTAGCTAGGTAAGTAACATGCCCGTGTATGTGTGCTTGTATATGTGTGTGTGTGTGTTGGTTTATTTATAGCAGCATGCGCAAATTGTCTAAAGTTATAAATGTTATGCCGATATTCATATTGCAAATCCAATTAGCATTCAAGCGCAAATCAAGCCACGCAGTTTGTGCGTCGGCGTCAAAAACTTTTACCGTTACACATTTTCAATTGCCCCCCAACTCCCCCCTCTTCCCACAGCCAAAAATTTGCAATTCTTATGCAATTAGTCGCAGCAATAACTCAACATTAATCCAATCGACAATAATTTAAATTTAAATTCATATGCAACGAGAAATAAATTGATAGGCGCCATAAAAAGTTAACAACAACAACAGCTGCTGCTGCGAAAAAACAATTCAATTCAAAGCCCACAATGCAATACAATTTTTTCTCTTCATAATTTAAATAACAATTTACACACGCCCCAAAAACCCCCGTTCCAAAATGAGTCAGTCTCAGTCGCAATTGCAGTCGCGTGTCGGGGCATACCGGCAGCAGCAGAGGCAGCGACTGCGACAGCGACGCTGGCAGAGCAGCATCATAAGCATACTGCGACTGATGGCATTTCTTAAAATGTGATCGCTGCCGGTGGGAGCTGAGCAGTCGCTATCAGACGCTGTTCATACATGGCATACATAAACGTAAAGAGAGCGAGCGAGAGAGAAAGAGAGACATGCAAGCGTGCGTTTTGCATTCGAGCTGCTGGCGTCGCTGTTAGCGTCGCTGCTGCTGCTGCTGCTGTCACTGACCACACTCAACGGTTGTTGTTGTTATGATTTATTTTGTTTTGTATTTCTTCTTTTCGATGATAAATGGCAAAAGACGTTGTTGCCAAAACAAAAACAAAAATCAAATAAAAAAAATGCAAAAAGCGTGAGCATAAAATTCAAATTTTGGTTCGAGAATAACACGCACTTTGATAAGTGCTGACAGACGTCAGCGGACATATCCTTATCACGTATTAATCATTAAATTTAAATAAATACCAATGTGTGTGTGGGTTTAAATTTAATAACGCTGATTAGCGTATGTGGGCCAAGAGATTATGCAGATTAAGCATGCTTCAGCTATGTGCTTAGCATAAGAATTGCCCGCAAATTACCCGCAAATCACTCGCAGGGAAGGTGACCCGCAGCAACCAGCAAACAACAACCCGTTGCGGTTAACACCTGTTATCGCACCTTGACGTGGGCCACACTTGAATTTAATTAAATTCGCATGCACATAGATGGATTTTCAATCAGTCCTCTGCCACACCCCCACATCCCTCCCTTCTGCTACTGAGCTGTTGGGCAACCAACAACGACTGTTAACTGGGCTTATCACGGACTAAATGCAAAACAGACAACACAACACACACTATCTGAGGGCCGCCCTGTGGCTCTGTGGTTCTGCGGCTTTATTTGTGTACGACATTTTAAAAATAACCGAGCTGACATATGTTGCACTGTTGCTTATCACGACATGACAACAATAGTAACAACAACAGCAACAACAACAACAATGCATATGGCTTACTCATTGGCACAGTTTCAGACTGGAGGCTTGGCTTTGGGGCAGGTAACTGGCGAGAGGCAAGCGGGTTGCGGCGTTTGTTTAACTAACTAGGCGGCGGGCGGTTCAAATAACATCCCATAAAAAAAAGCGTTGACAAAAAAAAAATTAACATAGCCATAAAAATAAATTCGCAAATTGACGAATACAAAAAACCAGACTAGAAGGTGTGAGCTCGAGAATTAGATACTCATTACCATTAAGCTGTTGTGCTCTAGAATTGTTTAACTATGATATTTTTATTTGTTAATCAACAAGATAAACGACGTATTTTAAATACTATTTTAGAATTTTTCCCCGGCTAAGCTAGAGAATATATATTAACTTTTTGTTATTGCCATAATAAATCTAAATCTAATCTATTTTTTATCTTAACTTAAACCTGTCTTAACTTAAGGAATTCATTCCATCAAATAAATATAAAATGTAAATTAAATTTATAAAATCTCCTTCAATATTCTTAAGATCGCTGCCTAAAAAACTATTTAGGTAAATATATAGTTAATAAATGGCCAACTTAACGTATACGTAATTTATTTTCTTTATTTATTCATTAAGTAGATTGTAACTGCTTATGCTACCCGCTTAACAGAGCCAACGAAAGCAGGGTAGCAGCAGAAAGCGACATTTAACGTTGGGTTAGGTCTCCCATTGTCCATTAAGGCGAGCACACCTGTGGGGTCTGAATTTTCGTGGTGACGCCACAAAATGACTTTAATACGATGAAATTAAAGTTGAAAAGGAATCATTAGCTGAACAAAGGAGAAAAAGTGAGGCACAAGAAAGAAGCAATCGTAAAGGAATTAAATGAACAGAAATTAAATGAAACGAAATTTGTGGCGATATCATTTCTTGTTTGGCCCAAAGTGCGAGTGCGTGTAATGATAATATTTTATTGGGTGGCTTCCACTGCCTAATGGCCACGCCAAAGCCACAGAAAAGCCGCAAAAAAACAATGCCTAAAATAGCAAAAATTACCAGAGATTTCTAGTGCCCTCTGTGTGTGTGTGTGTGTGGCATGTGGCATGGGGCAAACGCTGCGGTATCTAATGGCATGATTGGCTCGTCATGCTGTGTGGGTACTTCTATTTTATGTGCTGCCATTTAATGTCTCGAGCAGAGGAACAGGAACACAAAACTGAAACTCTTGCTGAGATTCTAACGTAGCGTGTCAATGAACCAAGGATGCCGGGTGACAAGTGCAGGCAAATTAAGATCTTAAGCCGGCTAACAACTGACAACAACAACGGCTAACTGAGACGGGATTTAATGCCCGCTTAACCCGCATCGAGAAACGCCGGAACTTATCAGCTTTAAATCTTTAAATGACTTTTGGGCAAATGTTTCACTCCTTGAATATACATTAATGTATTGAAAATATATCAACTTGATATTAGCTCATGACTCTATCATATAATTATAATAATAATAATGATGTAAACACAATTTGCATATCCTATATTATGAGGTTATTTTGTAAATATCCAATTGAGCCCGTAAACACATTTGTTTTGACTACTTCTGATTATTCTCGCCTCAATCAATTTGCTCCAATTTACGCAAAACTTTTACGTTTCCGTTTTTAACATAAATCAGATTATGTACAACTTTATGGCTGCCATTTCCTGCGATGATTGATTCGATTATCTGAACAACAGCATTAAAACAATAACAGCATAGGCGGCATTTACCAGATGGGTGTATTTAAATGTTTTAATTAGCAATTTAGCAGCAAAATAAACTGTTGTCTTTAAGCAGTTTAATTACAACATCTCCTTTGAAATTCATAGTAAGCAGTTAGAAGTACTTTTTGCAAGTCTTATTGGGTTCGGAAATGAAGGAAATTGGCTGCCTTGTTGGGTGCGGCTAGTTGCGGCTAACTGTTAATGAAAGCGCAATTAACGGCAGATAAAGTTTGCCGTGAGAGCTTTTTCTGTGTTCGCATTGATTGTGAAGCTTTCGCTGCCTACTTTGAGGTGCTTAGCTTGCAGCGCTTTCACTTATCAGCAGCGGCAATTTGATGATCATCATCAATTATTATTTGTTATTCGAAAATGCGACAGTTCATAAATACGCCAGTTGTGATTTATGATTTCGAAAGCATTAATGCATTGTAATCGGAATGATATGGGTAGAAAAGTATGTACCGTTATCACCTACTTATTTAGCCCTTGAAGGCTGCCAATCGGATTTATAATATGAGCTTGACTTGTACCGAAGCTTATCAGCCAGCTGCCTTCAGCTGCTGCTAAACAACAATGTTGCGCAATTTATATGCAATTTGTGACAGTTTCGATTTAGTGCAACTTTCAAGCGACACGCACGCAACCAGTGACAGGCCATACGAGGGCAAGGGGCAAGAGCTGAAGCGAGTATCTGCTTGCTGTTGCAAGGACATCAAGCTATGCCCCTTTTTGTGCAAGACATAGCTCTCTGCACAAAAGAATTTGCTTATAATAACGCGCAAAAATGCGGAAAAGGGAAAGAGAGAAAAAGACAAGAATAGTGAAAAGCACTTGGCATCTGGTGCTATATAAATCCCCATCTCTGCTGGCAACACTCCATTTGGTGCTTTAAATCTTAAAGCGCTCGACGGCAATCTTTTTTTTTGAGCCACTCATTTGCCAAACTTTTTGTACAAGTCATGTCAGCGAGCATGTTAATAAACAAGCTTGTTTAGTTAGGCAACCTTTTGAACAAAGGCGAAGGCGATACAAACAGGATACGCAAAGCAGCAAAGAATACGCCGGAGATGGATGCGTGCATGGCGTATACGCAATGTGTGCACGTGCCTTAAAACTTTTTAGAGCCCGAGAGAAGCCCTTAAATTGATTTTGAAGTAATAAATGTGTCGGAAGCCTGACGCCTATTGATACTGCTTGCTAGTTGCCACAGGGAAAACTGACACCGCCGCCCCAAAATTCGTGATTAATGACCACAGACAAAGGTCCTTCTCCTATTTACAGAGGCGTTTGCCTTTATTAGAAAAATCCAATGTGATAGGCGCCTCGGCCGTAGGGTGAGCTGCTCCGCGTCTCCAAGAAGTAGATGCCCGCGGCACTGTTGCTTCCCATGCGCTGCGCGGACCAGCGACAATCCTTGGCACTCATCGTCTCCACGGAGCCGCATTGGGCGACTAAAAACTCATTTGCTGGCGACCACATTTCGACGGCCAGGTTTAGGGCACGCTCATGCGAACAGGCATCCGAATTGCAGCCCGGCTGCTGCTGTCCGCCATTTGGATAGTAGTCCACATCGCCCAATCTCCGTATGGTGCCCAATCCTTGGCTATTTGTGTGAATGACTTCCACGCGGTGTGCATCTCCGGCTGCAAGTTGATGCTTGAGCTGCTCACTGTCGCCACTGGGATCCAGTGCTGTGATTAGTGGCAACTGTTCGTTCAGCTGCTGTTCCAATTGCTCCGCCGCGCCACCGGCCAAATGTGCACCCGCCCCAAAGCCGATGAGCTGTTGCCGCCCCAGCGGCACATCAAACTGACGATGCAGCATCACGAGCAGTTCACTCACGCTGGCAACAATCTCCGATTCGGTTTGGGTCTCGGCCAAGTCAACGGCAAAGAAATTACACGCATTGCGTTCCAGCAGCGCCGTTGCCAGTATCAAATGCTCCACAGAACCATTGCTGCCCCAGCGTGGTATCGATACTCTGGGAATGGAAGGGCATATGAGAAGGGAAGACTCTCGGCTTAGCCTGGCGACCAAATGACTCACACAATTGGATCCGCTGCGTAGAAGGAGGAGCGTAGAAGTGATTCCACATCCGGAACGATACGTTGTGGCGTATTCTGATTGCGACGCGTGTAAAGTAGATAGCCGGGTCCGCTTTCAACTGCAAATTGCTTCGATTTGGTCAAAGTCTATCCATGATCTCATCTCGATGCGGCATTGATTGACTCACCAGCGGCAGCTTCTCTTAGGGCCAGCAGCAGGCAGCCAAGTATTACTTTAATGTAGCGCATTTTCCAATCAACTGATGTCAATATTCATTTCCCAACTCATTGTTCACTTGGCGATGCCTGATTAGATTATTATTGGCCACATCGATAAGCGCTAATTATCAAAATATCCGAGCAATAACCCTAAAACAATAACAACAATACAATTGGCCGCATTCAGTAGATAGATGTATTTATACGTTTTAATCATCAATTCGACAGCAAAGCAGTCTGATGATATCTATAAAGTTGTAAGCCTCTGCACTGAAAGAAATATATATATATATAAATATATATATTTATAAAAAATTATTCAGAATTTAAATAAAACTTGCATTATTTTTCAGTGATTTTGCTCAGTTTTATCTTAATAAAAACCTCTGCAATCAAAAACAAAAAAAATAAAAGTACCTTAAATAAAAAATTAATTTTTTTCATGCAGAAGTTTTTAAAGATACTCAATTTTATCTTTAAAAAAAATGGTGCCAACAGTAAAGTTTTGTTTTTATTAGCTTAAACAAACAAAAGTCATAATTCTTAAATTTAATTACATTTTAAAAGCAAAGTTTCTGCGCACTCAAAATCATGATTTTCAATTCAATTTTACAGGAAAATTTAACGTAGAAGTAAAAAGTGCTTTAAAGTAGTAGAATTAATTAAGATATTTATGGAGAGCAAATTTTGGGTTAAACATCAACAATGAAAGCAAAGAAGAATAGCGATAAATACTCGTATATAATTGGCAAATTTATATTATCTTGCTTTATCGAAGATGTCAGCAGAAGATGCAATTTTAAATAGAAAGCATTCCAATTCCAATAAAATATACCTTGGCATAATTTAATTATATGTTGTAAGACGTGTACGACTTTTGATAGATAGAGGTATTGGTATTGGCTTAGGGTATGTGCTAGTCGCGCTGATTCGATGAGTGATGAATTATTACCTGTTGGCCCGTGTGGTTGTCACATTTTCACATTGCTCACCTGTCCGTTTGGCAGCCGCTTATAGCTGTTCACGTTTTGTATTTGAGGCACGCCGAAATTGCGACACAAATTGTTATTTATGGCGCTTGTTGCAGTTTATCAAATTAATCAGCATTGCACTCAAAATCGTTGTTGTGTGCCACACTTCGCTGCCCCCACTTCATTTGCATATTGACTGTTGCAAGCAAATTGCATTTAATTGCTTGACGTATCAACTTGATGTCGTGTCGGATTCAGCTGCAGGTTATTTCAACAACCAAACACTTTGCACTTCAATGTATGACATGGCAATTGCAGCGATGGGAATGTGCAGCTGCCACAACATCAGCTTAGCATGTGGCTAAGACGAACTGTGTGATGAACTCACAGTGGCTTATAGAAAATTGGCCCTTAGTTGATGGACAAGTTTCTTAATTAGTCTCTAAATAACCACATTCATATTGCTGGCGGCCGCTCATAAAATAAAAGCTGAAATTTCGGTTAGCTGCTGCTACTGTTTGGGCCAAGTTAAGGGCGGGCAAACTAGAGCGTGAAGAAGAACGCGCTCAGCAAAAGCTGCGTTAACATTGCAGATAAATTGCTTGCGAAATTGTCTGTCGAGTACAGCCGGCTTGTTGCCCAACGCAAGCAACAATTAACGGAAAGCCTTGCCCCAAGCGCTCTATCCACTCCTACCGCCCCCCCCCCCCTCCGCCCACCTCCAGCAACACAAACATTCCTCTTGCCGGCTCAATGGGCACGTCAAGCGATTTTGAAGCTCCCGCTAGATTTATGGACAAACGCGCGTTATTAAATGTTGCCAACGGCGTCCCATTTATAACCAGGCTAAACACTGGCCATGACGAATATGGGGCGTAACAGTCCTTGAGTCCTTGCATACAAGCTAACCCACTCAAAATGTGTAGAGCGAATAGCCACATAATCTACCAAAATCTTTATCGGCATCAGTTGGAATATACTTTGAATATGTTTTAAATGTTCAAGATTGCTTTTGATTGTCAATTTAAAGGGTATTTCCATGCTTGGCATTCTTACTTGTTGAGAGTTGGTGATTAAAGTGGATTAATTACGAATTAAATGTAAACGTATACAGCTATAATTATAGCCAAAACCTTACCTGCTTGTCAGATGTTTTTTCTTAAATTTAATTATTTCATTTCTACAATAAAAAATATCGAATTTCAAATGAAGAATCTACTTTTTTTGTACTGCAGCAGAGTACAAATAAGTGCTGTTTAACTTTATCTAAAGAGTATCTCTGAGTCGAGATACTCTGCCTGATGCTTATTAGCATAAACAGCTAACTGAAATATGCGAACATTCCAAGCTAGAAATTCCAACACGTAATAATGTGAAATGACAGACAGCGAGTCTTTAAGCAAGAGTGTGTTGTGCCCGGGGGGTGTGCGAGTGTGTGAGTGTGTGTGTGTGAGTGTGTGTATCAGTGTGTGTGTGAGTGTCTGGGATATTGTGGCTATTCAGGTGAAAATGTTGTGAAGCTGCAGAGGATAGGGGTCAACTGACATGCATGCATCATTGACAGCATTCAAGTTGCGGCACTTTGTGGAGTGTCCACAGTGTTCTCATGTCGGAGCCAGTGCAAGTACTATGGAAAATTGACTTTGTTGCAAGTTTACTGCACCTGTCTGTCACCAGTTCCAGAATTGATAGCTTTGTCAACTATTGCCTATCATGACAATGTATGTGCGATGAAGGCAGCATGCTCAAGCAAAGGAAATCATAAAAGAAGTCTATTTATTTCAACCAAACTTCAAGTGCTAATATGATTTTTCATTATTTGTATTTCTCAAAATTAACGCATTGAGCATTGAACTCCATCTTCATTACACAAAACCACTGCCGCTGCCCTTCGTTTGATGTGGCACATCCGGGAAAAATCTCGTTTGAATCTCGAAGATGTTCAGCACATCTAAAGTTGAGTTGCCCATTGAAACATATATAGTAAATTGTCTTATTCTTTAGATGAGTAAGAGTCGTACACCAATGGATGTTACTCAAACGTTTAGCATAGGAATAATATCTTTCCTGCAAATGTCAACCTTTGACTCTGGAGTGACTCGCATTACTATGGCTCTCTATGAATACGAACGATCGCTCATCAAGTGTGCGAATGTCCTGGCGTTTAATGCCGACTCCTTACAAATCAGGTTTTTTTTATAAGGATTACTCCAGTTCCTGCACAGCTCAGTTACCTTGTCCGCACTGCCAAATAAATTAGTACTCAGTATATACAATTTTAACAGCTAAAGGACCATCTCCATTGCATGATTCGACTTTTGGCTTATAGGATCCCATTTCCCTCTTTGCATATTTCATATTTGTGCAGTTGTATTGTATCAGCACGTATGACATACATATGTGTATGAATGCCTCGATCCAAGAAATTAGATATATCGAAATATCGACATGCTGATAAATCGAAAACGAGTCGATATAATAAATTTCTGTGACAGCTGCCAGCAAGCTTGAAGTTCGAAGCTAATATCACGCATACGCAGGGTGGTGCGGAATCCATGCCCAGCATAAACTCACCCAAAACTAAAAGTCGACCACTATTTGCAGATGTGGACGTGTGAAAGCAGCAATCAGAAGAGTCACAGAGTCAAACAGCCAACCAAACAATGGATTTTGCTGGGTTGAGGAATGCCATCAGTGGCTTTTGCGTTGCTTTTTTCTTTGTTTGGTTTGAAGTAAAATAAAGTGTCGAAATCATTTTTGATGTGCGGCAATTTCTCATAAAAGTTTCATTACATCGTGGGATGGCAGATGAGCTGTGCTGCAATTCATGTTGTCTATGGGGGGGAACATCGTCATGAACTCAACCATGTACATACTCAATTAGTGGCCAACTAATAAAAAAAAAGTTATAGTTTATAAAACTCTTTAGTATTGAACTCTTATGCACAGACAAAATGAGCTTTTTCGATTATAGAAAACATTTTAGTTAAACTAATTTAATAAATATTTAAGCTAGATACTAAATAAAGGCATTGCTTTTGACAGATCAGCTCAAGCTTGTTGTGAAGGGAGACGTTTCTAGTGCCATAAGGTATATATATTTTGGCTTAGTATCATTAGCCAGGTCGATATAGCGAGGCTGGACTGTCTGCTTTCATAAGAACTTGTGCCTCAGACTTGGAATATATGAAAACTTTTGCATGCAGTTAATTTTTTATATTTGATTTTGAGGTCTTGTTTATCAAGTTTTGTAGAATAAACTCATTAGCTATCTGTGTCCGTTATGATCCCCAAAATTGATCGAAGATTCATCAACATTAGCCTGCTATAACATATAGCTTTAGCTATGAAATTTTAGATTTTAGATTACTGTTCTATCTTCCTCTTGTATTCAATTCCAACTGTCTTCAATCGTATATTGGATATCTAAAAAGAGCTGACGAAAAATATGAAACAGAGTATTAAATGAGAACATAAATATCTGCATTGCATCTACATGTGTGTGACTGTGTGTAATTGTTAGATGGATGGTTTGCGAGTAATGCAATTTACAAGAAGATGCAATTATTGGTTGCTTTGACATCTCGCACACAGGAAAAACGCAGGCGGGGCGCAGAGAGAAGGCCATTGAGTGCATGTAATTGACAACAAGAGGGTGCAGAAGCTGTTGCCACAGCTAAAAGTTCAACAACAATGTTGCAGCACGCCAAAGGACCAACCAAGTACAACACTGCCTTACAACTTAATTTAAATTAGCGAAGCGACAGAGCATCCTCAACAGCAACCAGCCCAACCACCGACCCTTGTGGCGCGTAATGAGTATACATCGAACTGTTAATCTTCAGTGCAGCGCTTCAACCCGTCATCAAGTGCAACGATATCGTGGACTGCTGCTGGGCATCCTGCTCTGCCTGTATCTGTGTGCTGGCTGTCATGCAGAAGTCTTTAAACTGGGCTATCTCACTGGGTCGCAGCGACGACCGGGTAACCTGGACTATCAACGACCTGGCATTACCATTTCGGGTGCCATCTCGCTTGCCGTCGCCCAGGTCAACGCCGGCAGACTGGGCACCCTGGGTCACTCACTCGAGTTCGTTGTGGCCGAGACATATGGCGATGAAGTGGCGAGCATAAGACAGACGGCCGCATTGTGGACACAGCAAGTGGCTGCCTATATTGGCCCCCAAGAGACTTGCGTTCACGAGGGTCGCATGGCGGCGGCCTTTAATCTACCAATGATATCTTATGTGGGTAGAAAATAGATAAATATTCTTCGATTAATTACTAACATAATATTATACTAATCGCCGCAGTACTGCACACATCGAGATCCCTCCAATAAACTAGACTTTCCGACATTCGCGCGAACTCGTCCGCCGGACACACAGATTTCCAAGTCAGTGGTGGCTCTGCTGTTGGCCTTCAACTGGACACAGGTGAGTTTTTTGTACCTGGACGATGTCAGCAGTCAGTACCAGCCCGTCGCGGAGACCATACTCAGCACTCTGGTCAGCGCCGGAGTTAGTGTGCGAGACATTCGCACCTGGAACACTATTTACCATCATGGATTCATGGCCAATCCGTTTGACGCGCTTGTGGAACAGACCCATGCCAATACACGCAGTAAGTGGAGACATCTACTCGATATATCCCCTTGATCCTAATTCTATTTCTTTGTTCTAGTCTATCTAGTTCTGGGTCACTACTACGAACATGTGGGCTTGATGGTCAGTCTACAGCAACGAGGTCTTTTGTCGCAGGGCGAATATTTCGTGGTTGGCATCGACATTGAGCAGTATGATCCGGCCAAGCCGGAGAAGTATCTGCGTGGCATGCTAATGGAGAAAGTTGAGCCGCTGGCGGCGCAGGCCTTTCAATCCTATCTCGGCATTGTGCCCACAGCACCCATCTCCTTTGCCACGTTCGCCAATGAGGTGAGCTCCAGCTTTGGTAAACTTTCTCAATGTGTTTCACTTTTACAACACACGCTGATCTCTGTTTAGGTCAACAAATATATGGAACGACCGCCATTCAATTTTCCCAATCCACTGGGCCTTTTCGGCGGTGCAAAGCAGGTTAGCCTTAAAGATCCCTTTCAGCATTCCCTTCTCATGCGAATATTATTTCAATTAATTTCTAGATAAGCGCCGAGGCAGCCTATCTCTACGATGCAGTTCATCTCTATGCCAATTCCCTGCTGACCGTCTTGGACTCCGGTGGCAGACCTAAGAATGGCAGCCTCATTGTATCGGCCATAAAAGGCTCACGCTATCTAAGCGCTATGGGGTGAGTGCTCTTGGAATATATATTTGTTGGTGTAATATGGAACTAAATCCAAGCTCAACAGCTACCATGTTTATATCGATGAGAATGGAGACGCTGCCGGCAACTATACGGTTTTGGCGAGAGGCAAACACCGAAACAGCCACAATCAGACTGTGCTTGGTCTGCTGCCAGCTGGCACCTTTAGCCGCAGGAGCAACAACATCAACAGCAGCGATGCACTGCCCGTAAGTAAGCAGGTTGTCCTTTTATCAATTCATAATTCTGCTTTAAAATACTTTCGCACTTGCACGCTTGCCATCCAGCAGCAGCAGGTAAGCGCTTTGGCATAGCAAACAATCAAACACACACATTGTTATCTCCACTGACCACTTGTTGTCTAATCCTTTCTCTCTCCTCTCTCTCTCTCTCTCTGCAGGATTTAAATTTGTACCGCAACATCGACTGGGTGGCTGGTGTACGTCCAGCGGCTGCTCCCAAATGCGGTTTTGGCGGCGAGAAGTGCGTCAGTAAGTTATATTCACCAACCTCTCGATTCTTAGCTGCCAATTGAGAATGCCATTGATTTTTTAATTCCAGATTATACTGGGGAAATATCGGCTGGCATTGCTGGGGGTGCCTTGCTGCTGCTGGGTCTCGTCTCGCTGGTCCTGTACCGCAACTGGCGCTATGAACAGGAATTGGACAGTCTGCTGTGGAAGATTGACTTTCGAGAGGTTCAGGTCCACGAAAATGAGAAGGAACAACAGAGCCAAAAACCAACCAGAGTAAGTTGTTGGAAAATGCCAGTTACGATTGGGTTGTGCAGTAACGATTGACTTACTCGGCTTCACTGCTTTATGGCTCAATATTAAGATGACTGCAGGCATCTTCAAATAGTTGATAAAGTTATGTTTTATTTTTAGTATTTATTCAAACTTTTTTATTATTACAACTTTTGGACTCAAACTAAATTTGCTTGACTGCATTTAAACGGAGCAATAAATTGATGTAAAATATATTTTAATGGCAGTTGAGCAGTGCTCAGTGCTAAGATAACTTTAACTTAAAATCTTCATGTTTCCCAATTTATGACAAAAGTTAATTTTGGTTGGAGTTGGAATCCATCGTCTAAGCAATTATCCTGCCATTGCATGTCTGACAGAATTTCATAAATATATTGCCGCGTCGTCTTCCTTCGCAGTCCACCCATCCATTAATCCGCACCAGCCAGGTCAGTCTAAGCTCCAATCCCGACGCTGACTTTCGCTATACGACAATCTTCACGCCCATCGGACTGTACAAGGGTCAGCTGTATGCCATCAAGAAGGTGCGCAAGAAGTGCGTGGACATCACACGGGAGATGAAGAAGGAGCTGAAACTGGTGAGTAAGTGTATCAAACTAATTGTTGCACTACCAACTTCCTTGAAATTTCGAATCGAATTAGCTGAGAGACGCACGGCACGACAATGTGTGTGCCTTCATTGGCGCCTGCACAGAAGCACCGAACATCTGCATCATCAGCGAGTATTGCACTCGTGGCAGCCTTAAGGTCAGTCGGATAACTTACGAATCTTTTTAGTCTCTTAGCGAGTGACTAACAACCCCTATTTTTATTTTCGACATGCAGGACATACTGGAGAACGAGGACGTCAAGCTGGACAATATGTTCATTGCCTCCATGGTTGCGGATATTATACGCGTGAGTGCTGCTCTGTAACATTATACTAATGGCATCCACCCCTCCACTCAATCTTCTTCCATCATTCGATGTGTGTGTGTGTGTGTGTCAGCGACTGACTCCCCTTCTTGACTTCCGTAGGGCGTCATCTACTTGCACGAGTCCCCCATCCGATTCCATGGCTCGCTGTGTACATCCAATTGCCTGGTAGACTCACGCTGGGTGGTTAAGCTAACAGACTTGGGTTTGTTTGCCTTCAAGCAGGGCATCGAAGACAGCTCCACAGACGCCCAGCACATGTCGGCCAAATGTTTGAGTAAATGCCTCCATACCCCATCCCCCACTCCCGTTCAGTCCATTTGAGCTAATATTAATGCATATTCGTTTTTTAGAGCTGCTTTATCGTGCGCCGGAACTTTTAAGACAGGGTCCCTCGTCGCTGGTTATGGGCACACAGCGGGGAGATGCCTACTCCTTTGCCATAATCCTGTACGAGATGCATGTGCGTCGTGGTCCATTCGGGGAGACGGGTCTGACGGCCATGCAGTGTCTGCAGAAAGTGATGCAGCCACAGGATCAAGTGCATCCGTATCGGCCATCGCTGCAGCCCCTGGAGACGGCCTTCGACTGTGTCAGCGAGTGTCTGCGCGAGTGCTGGGCCGAACGGCCCGAGGATCGACCCGAGTTCAAGACAATCCGTGCCAAACTTCGACCGTTGCGCAAGGGCATGAGACCGAATATCTTTGACAATATGATGGCCATGATGGAAAAGTATGCCAACAATTTGGAGGCGCTTGTCGACGATCGCACCGATCAGTTGCAAGAGGAAAAGAAGAAGACTGACGCGCTGCTGCATGAAATGCTGCCGCGCTGCGTTTCCGATCAGCTGAAGAAGGGCCACAAAGTGGATCCCGAGCACTACGAACAGGTCACCATATATTTTAGCGATATTGTCGGCTTTACGGCCATGTCCGCGGAGAGCTCTCCTCTTCAAGTGGTTGACTTTCTCAATGATCTCTACACCTGCTTCGATTCCATCATTGGACACTACGATGTTTACAAGGTGAGTTTCCATGCAATGCCTCTGTTTGTCTGTCTACTAAAGCCATTCACTGCAGGTGGAAACCATTGGTGATGCATATATGGTCGTATCTGGTCTGCCGCTGCGCAATGGGGATTTGCATGCAGCAGAGATTGCCACTATGTCACTGCATTTGCTCAGCGCCGTGTCCGAATTTAAGATACGACATCGACCCACCAATCGGCTGTTGCTGCGCATCGGCATCCATTCGGGTCCAGTTTGTGCGGGCGTTGTGGGCCTGAAGATGCCGCGCTATTGCCTCTTTGGCGACACGGTCAACACGGCGTCGCGCATGGAGTCGAGCGGTGTACCGCTAAAGATTCACTGCAGCTGGCAGTGTCGACAGCTGCTGGAGCGACTGGGCGGCTATCATTGTCAGGAGCGCGGCATGATCTCGATGAAGGGCAAGGGGGAACAGCGCACCTATTGGCTAATGGGCGAGGATGAGGAGGCGCGTGTGCGTCGCACCTACGAGCGATCGCAGCGGCGTGGTTCGCGTGCCCTCAACAAGTTCATACAGGGCACCATCAAACAACAGGCCCAGGAGCTGGCCAACGATTGTGGCATACGCTCATCGCTGAAGCAAAAGAATCTGCCACGCAATTCACTGACTCGCTCCTCCAGCCTTGAGTCGCCCAAAAAGTTGCGCTTTGCCGCTGGAAATATGCTCGAGCATCATCGCTATCACAGGTTGGCTTCAAGTAGTAATGAATTAACTGAAGGCAACAAGACTAACTCTCCACGTTTTTATTATTAGTGACGAGGCCTTGTTGGAGGTGGACTCGTACACTGGACTCCGTCGTTCGTCTGGCGGCTCAACACACTCACGCTACGAGGAGTCAACTTTGTCCTGCCAAAGCATCGAACAGCTCCAAAAGCTGCAGCAAAAACAGCGACCTTTCTCCTATCCAACGGCCAATACGCCGCTGCTAATGAATCACGTTGAGGTCTAAAATCTGAGGGAATATTACCTCTATAAAAATGTATACATATATATATACATATTTAGTATAAGCGCATATAACTTAATTAATAGGATAACACAAAGTAGCAGAATTTGTCGTCATTATGCTTAGCCAAGTATTATTATGTGTATTGTGTGTGTGTTCAGCTCTTGTCCGTTCGCTTTAAGTGTTGTTGCAGAGGGTGCATAATGCCACAATATTGTTTATACAATGCATTATACTTAACACTGAATGCAAAATAGAATATGTCCATTTAATAGTCAGCATTTGAGATCGGCGGTGAGTTCTCAATTTGATGTGCAATTTGTAGTATCAGCATATTGTGAGAGTGATTATAAATCTAGTCGTTGTATACAAGATAAATACGCTATAGTTTAGCCAATAGGTTCAACTTAAAAATGAATAAAGAAATCGCAAAATCAATTCAAATCTTTGCCATTTTGGTTTGTTTTTTGTTTTTGGTTTTGCGTTTTTATTGGAAATTGGCTTGTTGTCTTGAAGACATACTCGCTATTTTCATATTGTATGTGGTAGCTTATTACTTTCAAACTTAACATTTTTATTTATATATATTTTTGAGTTTTAAACCAATTTGTGCATTTCTGTTTTCTTTTTTGGGGGGCGTTATACGTAGGCCCCTTAACATTTGATTATCCCTATCTCTAAACTCTTGCGAAAGCCAGCTTGCAAAAATTTCAGATTGCTTGTATATAAATACGTATTATATAATAGGGAATATCAACTTGATTGCTTTTGTTTGAACTTAGTTACGCTAGTTATATATATGTATATGTATTTTATATGTTTGTTGTGTGTTTTACAATTGTTTTTGTTTTTTTTTTATTTTATTATAATTTCTTTTGATAAGCCACAAGCTTTAAAGCGCACTTCAATGCATAAAATGTAATTTTGTAAATTTTCTTCTTTTTGTAATTACATAATTTCGAAAATTCCTTTTGCAACTCGGTTGTTTTACTTACAAATATTTATAATGTGTGTGTGTGTGTGCGTGTGTGTGTCTGTATGTATTGGTTTTCTAATAAACTTTGTGTTTTATACAAATCTACAAACTTCAACAAGTTACTAAATAACAATTTCATACAAGTCTAGGTATGAATCTAATATATATGTGTATATAATGCTCAATTTGGTTTTTGGTTTTGTTTTTGTTTTTGTTTTTTTCTATAAAAAATGCTTGCAACAATAACGCATCTACTCAAAATATGCATACAATTTTTGTTATATTTGTATATAAATAAGTTCAATGTTATTATTCGGTTATTCTTCGATTGCCAAAACAATTTGTAGGCGGTAAAAAACTAACAAATGGAGCAGTATTTCCAGTATTTTCTCTTTCTTTTGGGGGAGGGGCATTGATAACAAATTTGTTTATAAATATCAATACACATATACATGTAAACTCGCAATATATATGTATATATATATATATAAATATACATATATATTTCTGTAAATATATATATCGGTATTTGTTAAATGCGTCTCTGAAAAAATAGTGTGCCAACAATCTTATTTGATTATTACAATTTGTCAATGTTGTCGCTTCCTAATTATTCGCTTTTGATTAATTCATTTTTGCACTCGATTAAGAAATGCTCTACAATAAAATTGTTCAACAGTATTAAGCTAAAGCTAGCGTTTTTTCTATAGCTTCCAATATCATAAGTTTAAGAAAGTAACTAACGATTCATGGACGATAGTAGATACCAAAGTATTTTGTAAAAACGAAATTCCTCAGCTCATTTCGATTGCCGTTTAACGTAAGGTGTTTTTCTTAAAAGATCAAATTGCAATATTCTCAACATATTCCGGAAAAAATCGTTTGTAACAATTTGCCGAGTACTATGAAATTTTTAGCTGACAGTCAAATATAGACATGTGTCCAAATAAATGTTCTTTATGAATGATATTGGCCCTATATTATGGAACAAGCCTCGAGCGCAATTTCTATTTTATTGAGATGAACTGCCGAATGGTCCAATTGGCGCAGAGATCAACTCGGTATACATTTTTTGGGCGGGTCTGAGATGTAAGCTGTCTTTTGCTATATTTCTCAATTTCTTTTGACTATCCCCTCAAAGTTAATCAATAGTTAGACCAGCCTAAGTCAGCCAAAGTGTTCCAAACGCAACAGTTACAGTTGATAGTTGTGGTCCTGCCATATATGAGAGACGAGCCTGGCCACTTCATCTGGTCTTTTTGAGCACGCTCGTCGATCTGTTGGAAGACAGAAGTGATTACATTAAACTGTGTGCAAACACTTAACACTGCTCACAACCTTCGGATGGCCTGCCGCGCCGGACTGGATGGAGGCGTGTTGCACGGTGATGGCGGTGCCGAGCCGCCCGATGAGCCACGCGACGACGCAATCGATAAGTTGGACGCCCGTGGTCCTGTGCAACCCAAGTAAATAGCTGAACCCTTGTCGACTTCGCCAAGATCAACACGCGATCCGTGAATAGAGGATGGCACCGAACCTGTCACAAATATAAACTTGGCAAATCATTCAAGTTGAATATAGCTCCAAATGTTTACCGGTATAGGCATGCAGACCCGCTGGACTGCTGCGGGGACGCACACCGAAACCGCTAACGGTGCTGGCACTGCGCTGCAGCGGAACTCCACCGATCTTGCTTTCAGCGGCGGCCGGCTCCCGGTGATTGCCAGCGCTGCTCACACGCTCAGTTCCACTCACTGAGTTGCCACGGCCGCCAGACTTGTAGCTTTGACGGGACGGAGAACGTTGGAGTTGCTGCTGAGACTGTTGCTGTTGCTGCTGCTGTTGCTGCTGCTGCTGCTGTTGTTGATTTCGCTGCTGGTACTGCTGCTGTTGCTGTCTCTGCTCCCTGCGTGCATCCTCAATGGCCGCTGCATACTGTGCCGCCTCACTGGACGTGGTGGCCGTTGGACTCCCAGCTGACTGCTGGTAGGCAATCTCATCTTCGGGTATACGCTCATTGCCAACCGAACGACGCTGCAGCGGCGAGTGTTTCGGTGATGTGGGGCAGGATTGGGCGGCAACAAGAGATCCTCCACCGGCAGCACTACTAACACCCAGCGTACTTGTCGAGCTGTTCAAGTTGGAATTGGAGGATTGGGCGCGCAGCCTGGAATGGGTGGAGGCGCTCGAAGGACGGCGTCGGAAGAGACCTTTGCTGGGATCCATATTGCAGACGCCTGTTTGCATTGGGTAAGCAAGAAAACAAAACAGAATTTTGAAATTTCAAATTTAAATTTCGCTCAAAAACATTTTTATTAGTCTAAACCCAAAAAATTGTTAATAAATTAACGTTTTGAGTGCCGTTTTCGACGATTCCGCTTGGCCTTGGTCGACTTTATTGCCTGTTCTTCCTCAACGTTTCTAGCCAAGTGTGTCATGTGTGCCGGTTGTCGCTCATCGTCTCCACTTGGCGCATCCACATTCTTGACAAAACGACCAGCATTGCAATCGGCATCGTAATAGATCACATGTGGCATGAGCTCTTCACCCGAGCTGCTGCTGCACACATCTTCATACGAATTATCCAGATCTGTTTCGACCTCTGTGTCCAAATCGGAGGATGAGCGCTCAAAGGTGTTTGCCTTCCATTTATCAACGATAAACCTAATTGTGTAGGAAAGACTTTCTTTCGCCGACCCAGAAGCCCCACGACCAACCACAGAGACGCCCCCAATTGTGTAGGGTGCCAGGCTCGCACCTGTTGGACACTTTTGTCCCCGAGAGCAGTTGCCCTCGCATATGTCCCGGTTCTGCAAGAGCTCCTGGTAATTGTCCAACGCCATGCCGCATTTGACACGATCCAGCTGCTCCAAGGCTGATGATGGGAAACGCTCTCGCAGCCGCCGTCGCTCGTCGGCCAATTTGTATTGCTCAAATTCGAGTAACTGAGTCTGAAAGCCGGCGTTGGGATTGGCAACTGCGCGTCCAGCGCGCACCACCTTCAACGCCTCCTTCCAGTTGAGATGCGTGGCCGTCATAATGTACGCAACAGCGACAGTCACCGAACGCGACATCCCGGCCAGACAGTGGATCAGGACATTACCCTCCCGCAGCCGGGCTGCGTGTATGAAATCATTGCACACGGAAAAGTATTGTGATAAATTTTGATCTGGCGTATCTGAGGCCATCACGCACAAATAATGCTTGTCCTGAAAGGAATAGTCTTTCAATTATATTATTTAGCTTAAGCATGGAGCTGGCCTACCGGCAACAGACGCCTTGGACTGTCATGTATGGCTATGATGTGGGAAATTTTGAATCTTTCTAGCTGCTGATGATCTTTGGAGTCGCGGTAGTTGCCCACATAAAGTCCCGGCAAGACCTGTCGAAAAATCAAAAAGACTCTTTAATAATCTTTGTTATCTGGTGGCCAAATCGACTCTTTACTTTTCCCATATGCCAATTCATTATGTAGATTCCAATAAAAATAAAAGTCTCCGGCAGCAACCCGATAACTATTTTGTTTATTTTGGTAACGCAAAAGGGCCTGTTTTGTTTGTTGTTACTGTTTGCTGTTGCCACAAGCAAGTTGCCGTGACAACAATCTCCCAGGGTCGTTTGTCTACAGCACTAGAATTGAGCAATAATGCTGAAAGTGTGGCTGAGTCACAGTGACTGTTACTCTAGTGAGTGACTCGTGATGGTTAAGCAGTCACAGTTCCAACCTAAGCAGTCACAGTCCAACTATTATATATAGTCGAACTTCTTTGAATTTAGCACTATATATTATACATTATTCTATTTACCTAGCAGAAGGTATTTTATATAAAATTGTGACTAAATGTTTAAGGCCATAAATTCAGGGTTATCAAATATATTAGTTAAAAAATTAATACAATACTCATTGGCCCTTTGTGAATCAGTATTATTAGATAAAAAATACGAGGACGAAGTAATGGAAACAATATTGTAAAGAATTTTATCTTGATTTCGAAAAATCGACTTTGAAATGTGCGATTTGATAAACTTTGAAAGTTTATTGCTATTATTAAGTTAAAACAACAATTCACAATTACTGATCATTGTCACAGTAACAGTTATCGCAGGCCAACTCTAATTGCATTTAATATGAATACCAAACAAAATATTTGATATATACACGATACATTGAATGAATGTTATTCTTTATTGGCATTGCTGGTATTTTGCTCTGGTTTAGTTTGGGTAATTGGTAAAACTTACCTTGTTCATACCATTCCCCATATTGCTTCATTTAAATGTTGCGTACACCTGCCCACAATTGTCAAAGGAATTGACCAGAAATGCTGAAAGTAGAATAAATAAATGAGTATGCGAATGAGAGAATCCTTTTGCTTTCTGACAAGTTCAGGGCACATTTCATTTGAAGGCAAACTAGAGGGACAAACAGTGTTTGTATGTGTGTGTGTGTGTGTGTCTATTGTTTGTTGCCTGCCCCTGACGAGAGTGCAAGTGGCCAAGTGGCTGTAGTTGCAAGCAGTTGCGACTGTCATGCGACCTCATCGCTACCAAACAAACGACGTCAACAGCAGCAGCAGCAAAAGGAGCAGGAGAAGGAGCTCGAGCAGACAAACATGGCCTAGACGTAGACAACAATGGAAGCAGCACCGCATCCGTCGCGGAAGTAAACAATCCTTGACGTTGCATCTCATTAGTGAGACAGACACACAGACAGGCTGACAGTGTCAGGCAGACATCCACCAGGCAGACAGACAGACAGACGGATAGACAGACAGCAGTCAACTCGAATACTCGATTGAATCCCAGAATGTCAAAGGTTATATATTTACGACGGCTTAGCCACATGTTCGTGTGGCATATTTTGTTTGGCCCTCAAAAGTAGGCAAGGTTTTGGATTATGGCTTATGGCTTATGGCTTATCGTCGGCAACAGTTGGTTGGTTGACTGCTACTGGGCCTGCTTTCTTTCTTTCTTTTCAAAACAAAAGCATGCTCATCATCATCATCATCGTCACACAAAGTCAAGCCACAAGCCGCCTTGACGCTGCTTTCAATGAGACGCGGTCTGCAAGCGTTTCCCCAACCACCGCCCGGTTCTGCATTTGCATTTAGCATTTACCACATTTACATAAGTCTCAACTTAAGGCAATGAGCAATACAATAGTGTTGGGTCTGTGCTTTGTTAAATTTTATACCTGTCGCAGTGTGTCGCCTGCTTGAGGCGCTCACACAAAAAGATGGCCTGAAGATAGAGCACGTGTGCCATATTCACTTGTCGCTGCCAGCTGCCAGCTGCCATTAAACAACAGTCCTTGCCACACAAATTACACTGAAATTATCGCAGTCAAGTCTGTGAGCGCTGCCATCAAAGGTAATTGATCAGACAAATGGCTGTTTAGCGCCTCTGCGGAAAGCATTGCCTCCATTACAGCACTCTCGAATTTCGGGGTGGAGCCTAAAAATAGTGGCTGCCTGCGCCTTTCAGTTCAATTGATATGACTACGACTCACATCCCTTTTGAATGTGTGTGTGTGTGTCTGTGTGTTGTTGCAAGTGTGGGCATCTAGTTGATGGCCTCTCTTAGTTTATCTATTGGCTCATCCGTTGGCCAAACACTTTTAGACCCATCACATCGCATTTTGTCAAAGAGTTTTTATCTCAAATGTGCAGATGTGTGTATGTGTGTGTGTGTGTGTGTCTGTCTGTCTGTGTGTGTGTGTGTGTGTGTGTGTGTGTGTGTGTGTGTGTGTGTGTATTTATCTGTGCATGTGTGGATTAGTTTTGTCTATCTAACCAGTTTGTGGGTCGCCTGCTCGCACAGAATTTAGATAAACACAGCCTTGAATTTTATGTGCGCAGCCCTTTTGGATTAAATTTAAATTCAGTTGCCTTAAGAAATAAATTATTGAAAAAGTAAATAACTTAAATGAATATTCAAGTTTCTTAGCCACATTCCAACAATCGATATAACTTCTACAATTATTAAACAGATGCTGCTTCGATACAGGTACAAGAAAGAAAGTTTCTTTGATATTTGAAAGATATTTGTTTTAATCGGATTTTAGATTTTCTAAGAAACATTTCGAAATTGATAATCATTACTTAAAACCAATTAGATTTCTATATACCTCTTTAGCATAGCATATATATGTGAGATATCTGTAGTTGTCCAATAAATGAAATCAAGAAAAGGTTTTTAGTTGATGAATAGGGAAAACTGATTCTTTTCTTTAGGGCAAGAAAAAAGCAAGTAAAAATACAACATCTTGATTAGATTGCTATAAAAGCTAAGCCTCATTCCAATCGGACTGCAAGAGAAATGCTGATTTATTCAAAGTGTTAACAATAAATTAACTTTTACAACTGCGAGTCTCGCTTCAGTGGGGAAACCGAGAGACTAACATAAATGTCTATATCAATGCGGCTGATAAGGAAAATGAGTGCATGATTTATGGGCTCAGATACGTTTAGGCCAACTGCAATTTATCGCAATCTTAATTGGACATCAGGAATGTTGCATGCGACCCTTAGGCGCAGCGGAAATGGCCACCAAATTGATCTGGCGTGGCAAGCTTAAATCAAATTGAAAATGCTGGCATTCGGTTAGCACTATTAACATGGCCATTGGCAAAATGTGGCACTTGTTCCTTTCAGGCTGCCAAACACAGCTTTGCACACAGTAAACGATTAAAGCAGCCAATTTTAGGGTTTTTCTTTTTTTTTTTGGTTCCTATTGTTTGTCTCGAGTTTGCTGCCAAGTTTTTTCACTCAGCTAATTGGCAAGGGGTCTTGCAGACGAATGAAATGAATATAATTTCAGGCAATTTTCTTTTGATTATTTGTCGAGATCATTAATCGCGGTTAATGACGACGTCATGTATTATAATGGAAAACAGTCTGTGCATAAATTAGGCCAGCTTATAACCTTGCTGTCCAGTCAATAATTCGAACGAAAAAAAATAAAATAAAACATGTTGCCACATGTCGCCGCGGCATATCGCGTGGCAAGGTCCCCTGCTATATCCGGCTATAGATTCCCAACTCTTCGACCCCCAAGCGTGCAGACAATTATATCGCTTAGACATTTTACATTACCAATAAAATATATAGCACATGCAAGCGGCACGAATGACACACCTATTATACACACACTCACACATATATATATATATATACACACACAGAGAGAAACTCATACAGTCTAATAGAGTGGTGCAATTAAATGGGCCGGCACTTTATGACTCCATTTTCAGTAGTTGAGGCAATGGCTACACTTGACGAAAAAAAATAAGCCTTAAACTAAGGTCAACTTAATATTTTATATGCTTGTAGATGGTATTGAAATATTATCTTAACACATATTAGTATATATTATATTATATGTAAAGCTTTGAATGGGACTTCTCAGATAAAGCATATTTATATGATTGGTCAGAGTTACTAGCTGATTCTGTATGTCATCTTAGTCTCTAGTTTAAGCAAGTCGCTCAGCATAAAAATCAGCTATAACTCTATGATTGTAATAAGAAATTTGATTTTCATTTAAAAAAATCCTTTATGGTTTATTAAGATCGGTTTATGTAAAGATGAGAAAACAAACCTTGCTCCTAACTAACTAAAATATACGAAAATATACTGAAATATCATATTTATCACTACTAAAATACAATAAAAAAAAACATTGGTCTAAAAGTAAACCTGCAAATTACTATATACATTTTTTCGTAATTCCGACAATTCATAAAAATAAATAAAATATCAAACAATGCACTTATTTCTGAGATCTTTTAATATTATTAACCTTTTCGTAATTTTATTATGCCAGCTGCATTTCTCCATAAATCATTAGAATTCAGCATAATTTTATAATTTCTACCAGCCAATTTTTTGTCGTGTACAGAAATACACCCCAAAGGATAGTTTGTTGTGCGGGACTCCCCGGTTCAGAGCAGACTTTGAATGTTTGCTCGAAGCTCAACAAACTGTGCAAACTGTTGTAATAAATGTCTGCCTATATGAAAAGGACACACAATCGGGACATAGTCACACCAATACACACACACACATAAACATAAATGTAACATTGTCATTTGCTGCGGGCGAGTAGTTTTATATGAATTGAAAAAGCGCTACCAATAAATGGCCAACAAGCCAAATAAAAAATAAAAGAGCCTCGAGGAACAATAAAAGAATGTTTCTTACTTCCGAGACGAGACCTGTATGGAGGAGTTGTCCGAGTGGGTGTGTGTGGCAGGCAGTCAGCGCCGATGTGTCTGCTGGCTGTCAAATGTCGGGATAAGTCAATGGACTGTGTAGAGTCGAGCCTATAAAAGTGGCAGCAAGAGCCAAGCAGACGCCTAACCGACAGCCGGCATCTGCCACGTGCTGCCATAAAATAGTTTATTAGCATTCAGGAAAAAAGCACTCGCTCCGCTGGATAAAAGAGCTGCTGATATCGGAGTGTCAATCTGGGCAGAAAGATTCATTGTTATTCATTGCGATATGCGAGATGCGAGTTGCGAGCGTTGCTCAGAGTTATGTAAATATTTGCAACTCCTAAGCAAACCCAAAAACTGCTGAGCAGCAGCTGCCACAACGAGAGCGAGGAAAACCATAACCCAGATCAAGCCAACATGTGATGGATTTAATGGGGGTTTTAAAGCAAACCCGACTAGTTAATTAACCGCATTCTTGTGTAGACGCGTATGCGCCCTTTTTCCATCCGGCTGCCTACTCTCTACATTGTACGGCGGATTGGGGCTCGGACTATGTGTGTGTGTGTACGGAACGCACGAATGAACATACGCCGGACATTTAGGGCTGGCTTTGAAGGTCGTCAGCCAAATGCAAATGCAGCCTGGTATAAGAGGATAGTGGCCCGGAGAGGTAGCCAAGTGTGTTAGCCCCGGTTTATATGCAGGTTAGTTATTATGAAATGAAATGGAAACTTTTGCAAGTTCAAGTCTCTCATAACGAAGCCTAATTTAAATGCATAATTTGTTGTTTTTGAGCGAGTAGGAGCGGTACCTGTGTGTGTGTATATGGGATACAGCATATTAATTTGGTTTTGCATACGAAATGACAACGAAAACAAAGCAAACAAACCCCAAACATTAAATTTTGTGTGCAACAAGGGAAATTAAACTGAAACTGAAGCTAAGTGAACCTCGTAAAGCTGGCAATTATGAAAAATGTGCAAGACCAGCAAGAAAAGGATTTTTTTTTAGTTTAGAAAGGGTTAACCCAAGACATGAAGCCCTTAAATTAAATATGTATAATAAACATTGGATATCTTGAAGTAAAATACATAAATTTTATATTTTAGCCATATCAAAAAAAGGGACAAACAATATCAAATGTATGAGTATAGCATGGCAAATTATCCCTGTGTGGCAAACAAATAAAATCACCCATATCAGGTGACTGGTGAAAAGTTAGGTTTGCTGTTGAGATAGAATTAAACGTGACCTGTTCAATGTATTCTCCTGACAATCGTCAATTGTCAATCCCCAATCATCGTCATCTAAAATGGATGGCTCGCTTAGCCTGGCAGGGCCGGGCAGGCACTTGAATAAGTGAAATGGATGGCACGTTTAGAGGCATTTTCACACCAATTTGGAAGTCGAGTCGAACGCAAATCACTGGACAACAAGCACACGGCACAAAGCACACACACACACACACACACACATACACACTTACACATAGGCCAAATTTAGGGGCTATGACACGGTTTTACATATTACTCATACGACACGTGTGGTAAGGGTTTGGTTTTTTTTTTGGTTTCTACATCGCCGTCGATGGGCATTCAACTTAATGTATGGGGTTGGGCTACGCTAATTTTCAAGTTGCGTGCTTTGACTTGGTTTTTTTTCCTTTTTTGTCGTCGTACTCGTAAAAATACGCAAGGAAAAAGGGCACAAAAATTATAATGATTTCAAATTACGGCACAGTGTAGTGTAATTTTCGAAACGTTTGGCGTCATTTGCATTACTGTCCAAGGATTCTAGCGAAATCAATCCCAGTGGAGTGTTGACCAACCCCAACGGCCATTTGGTTGGTCATCATAAAAATATGCGTGCAAAACGAAAAAAAAAAATAAGGTAAAGCAATACATACAATTGTTGTTGTTGTTGGCCTCGCTGATTGCTGCTGCTGCTGGTGCTGCTGCTGGTGATTTTATGGCCAACTTGGCATCCACGTAGCCCCGTCGTCAATGGCGATGCATTTGGCGCGATTGCTTCACTGCTCCCACTGGCAACACAGATGAAGATGGAGACGGCAAAAACGAAGTAGGAGTAGAAGTAGATGTAGAAGTAGAAGAGCAGCAACAACAACAACAACAAGTCCCGTTGGTTGTTTCAGTCACTGCTTAACGGCTGTTGTTATATCACACACACGGAGAACGCGCGCAGACGAAAGACGCAAGGAGAAACTGTGAAACTCCAACACAACGGTTTCCACAAGCGGCGACCGCAACGAGCAAATTTTGATTCAATTTGAGTTTAGTGTTTTTGTTTGTTTTGCTGTTATTTGTACAATTTTGTCGTATAGTGAAAAAGATAACTGACATTTGATTGACAGTTAATTTGTTTAATCATTTTGCGTTTTTTGCAGCTTGAGAAAATGGTGTGTATTGTGGCGGAGACACGAACTTAGTAGCGACAGCAACAACAACAACAACAATAAAATAACAAAATCCAACCGCAACAACGGCGCGAGAATGAAAATAAAAAGAGCTGAGACCTCCGCCGAAAATAAAAAGTAGACGAAAGCGCCAAAACGCCTCAAATGCTGGTCACACACTGAGACCGTAACTTCAGCTCAACGCAAGCAGTGCTGCAGCAGCAGCAGCATTAGCAGCAGGAGGACATTGAGTGAAATGGCAGCCGAGGGCTATGAATGAAGCAGCAGCAGCAACATGCTCGGCATGCGCACGAACGCACTCACTCATAGTAGTAGCGCGCCAAATGGAAAGCACTCAACGCAAGCAGAATCACTCAAGACACAGTTGTGCTCTAATTCAACTCACACGCCTCTTATGCCGTTATATAATCATAATAATGGGCTACCAAGAAAAGCACAAAACACAGAGAGGGAGAGAGAGCGGCCAAAAGCGAGAGAGAGAGAGAGAGCGCACAAGAGTAGGAGAGAGTTTTTGCAGCTGAACGACCGGTAAGCGTGCATTAGAAGCGCTCAGTCGAATTTCTTTTTTTGGCTGAGCAAGTAGTAGTCATTCAACGTTCATTGAGCCGCACATCCACAGCCATGATCCATATTTGTAGTTTGCCGACTCATCGCGCTTAGTTCCCATTTTTGGTCATTTTTTTTTTTTTTGCTAAGCTCAAAACACCAAAAAGGGGAAGTGAGGTTATCGCTGAATATGATACTTATCGCTAATGACTTTGTTTTAAGTGATTTGTGGCTTTGAATTACATGCATTGTTCCTACATAAATGAGAATTTGATATCCATACAAAAATATATTGCACTACTACTAACAATAATTTATATACAAACATATGAAAATACAAATAAAACACCCCCCATTGCGAAAAGCTCTGCACGCCCTTGTTCTTGATAGCAGCAAAGAACAGAAAGAGAAACAGAAAGAGAAAATAAGTATTCCGCATTGGCAAAGCTTCAGTATGCAATAGAATTTCAATAGGGGAGGACTGACTGAAATATCGGGCAAGTACTTGCAATGGAGACGAGTTACTTGAAGCGTTCCAATCGCCTATTGAATCAAAGGAATCGCCATCAATTGCTCGCCACAGTGATAAGTGAGATAATTAAACCCGTTTAATTGCTATACAAACAATCATAGACAATATATGTATATATATATTTATATTTCTATAGTCAATTTAATATGTTTGGCACATGGCATCGGGATTGGTTGGCTATCGCCTACACTGCGCAAATTGCAATCCCCGGATACGCCGCTTCAGTTTCCTATAAGCGTCAAAGAGATCTCGTGGATCGGCTCAGCGTTGGGCCTGGGTTCCATGACCGGCAACATACTCTCCGGACTTTTTCTCCATCGCATTGGTGGCCGGCTGTGTCTACTCTTTATGGCTCTGCCACACTCGGTAAGTGTATTAGCTGTATTAGCCATAATATTTTGATTGACTCAAAACTATCTGCTTACAAATTCTATTTTAGTGTCTTTGGCTGTTGGTTTACTTTGCCAAGAGTGTTGACTATCTGATTGTTGGTCGATTTTTGGCGGGTATTACCGGTGGTGGTATATATATCATACATCCCTTATTTCTAAGTGAAATATCCGATGCAAAGTAAGTACAAATCGCATAGCTTTCCCATAAAGAAGTAGTTCAGTGAGAACTTCTAATCACTGGATATACTTTCTATGTTTATCATATCCAAGTATTGTGATCTATTTCATTTACTTTGCAGCATTCGTGGCACTTTAGCATCGATGGTGATGCTCTCTGTGAATATTGGCATTCTTATTGGTTACATTTTGGGCACATATCTTGCCTATCACCTTATACCATTGATAGTGTTCATCTGTCCACTTTGCTATTTTATATTGGTATTCATATTTATACGTGACTCACCGATGCATCTCATACACAAGTGCAACTTTGCGGCAGCTGAGCAATCTTTCAGATACTACAGGAATATCAAGGAAGAAGAAGAAAGCTTGAGTATGATGGCAATTGGTGAATTTAATAATATTAAAGACACGCTCACCAATGATGATAATAAGCCCCATAAAGTCGTCCTCAAGGACTTCTGTAAGTGACCCAAATCTTTATTTATTAATAAAAAATTAATTTGTATATTTTCCGTTAGTTACTCCTGCCGCAATTAAGGGCTATGGCATGGCGGCTGTGATTGTTATTGCCAATCAGTTTAGTGGTCTTTTTACCATGCTCAACTATATGTCGGATATATTTGCCATGTCGGGCAGCAGCATGGATCCGAATACCAGCACAATTATCATTGGATCTGTTCAGATTCTGGGCGCTTATGTGAGCACAATTCTCTGTGATGTCTTTGGCCGCAAAATTCTCATGTTGGTATCCTCAGGGGGCGTGGCTTTAAGTCTGACTGCCTTTGGCTTCTTTACCCATTTTGCGGGCATTTATGATTTGACCGATTGGGGTTGGGTGCCCGTCGCCATTATGTCCATGGATATATTTTTGGGCAACATTGGCCTGATCAGCTGCCTCTTTGTGCTGATGGTAGAAATGTTTCCACTTAAGGTACGTTTTCTTCCAGCATTTTCTGTTACTTTTCTAGTTTTTTTTCTTCATTTATTTGTTATTTGATTTTTCAGATACGCGCCAGAGCAACATCAATTGCGATTGTTGTGTGCAGCTCGCTTGTGTTTCTGATGCTGAATATTTTCCCACTGTGCATGGCCAAGTGGGGTCTCCCAGCCACGCTGTGGTCATGTGCGGGCATTACGGCAATTTGTTTCCTTTGCTTTTTGTTCTTCTTAAAAGAGACCAAGGGAAAGTCAATGCTGGATGACTAAAATAAAAGACACAATTTTAATTATTAAGTAGAAAACATATGTAGTTTATATTAAAATTAAGACATGATATAGAAATACAATTCCCCCGCTCCACGCTCCACGCTCCACCTTGCAAACACATACACACACTTTTGTAAATATGTAGAAAATTTTATTTTGAATTATTTCAGTATAATATGCTCAGCTGCCTCTGTTGTAGAACTTACTGCTCTTGTTGTTGTTGTTGATTTTGTTGTTGCCTACGCCTGAAATGATTTGGAAAATACAACGAACGCAAATAGCGGCAACAGCACAGAACACTGTTGTGTGGGCGCGCCAGTGACCAGGCTATATCTATGTATATACACATATATACCTTTATATATATACATATACACATCTTGTACAAATATAGTAAATATGCCTTTTCATGAAATGCGACAGTCGCTGACGCATATTTGTGGCCCAGTAAATTTAGTAAACAGCTGCTCAAAATGCTGTTCTGTAAAGTCGAATTATATTGTTAAATACAACTAGCAGCACCACACAAGATAAAAGACAACAACTACTTATCTATCGATAAGCGATCGGCATGAATATTGATCGATTAATTCGCAAGCCGTCTCTCTTCCGTGTGGGTGTGCATCCAATTTGTGACGCAGCTGAAACCTCTGCACAAGCCATATCGACAGCTCAAAGGCGTACACACACACAAACACACACACACATTTATATATATATATGCGCACATGTACATACATACATACATACATACATATGTGCTGTGAGTTGGCAGAAGCAGAAGCCATGCGACTGTTGCTGCTTGCTGCCTGCTGCTCAGTTTCAGTTTTGTGGAATTTTCTCTCGCTCTCTCTCTTTGGATACTCAGCTGATGAATATTGTTGTAGTAGCTATTGCCGCCATTGGCTATTTATAAATCTGATGTGTATGAATCTTGGCGTTCAAGTGGCCCACGATCGCCACAGAGAGCCGTCAGCAGCTCTGATAGAGTTGGAGAGAGAGAGAGAGAGAGGAATAGAGAGAGCGCGAGAGTTAGAGAGTGCAAAAAGAGAAAATACTATCGAAATCATTTACCAATTTAGGAGTTAACTGTTATCCGCTGAGGCGACGACGATTATCAAATTTAACAAGTCGCGTGGTAACTCAAAATCTCAATCAACGAGCGAAACGGCGAGCAATCTTACAAGAGAGAGTACGCGCGAGAGAGAGAGAAAAAGCTTACGCTGCGACGCCGACTGCGACTGCGATGGCGACGTCAACGTAAATCAAAGGTGGCATCGGCATCAAGGCAGCCCCCAAAACAAGCGAACGTTGAAAAAAGCATTTGCGCTCAGTCGACGAACAACTTTGGCATCGAGCAGTGGACACACAGCGGCAACGTGGATTATTTTAGACTTAACGGACAAGTGAGCTGTGTGTGTCTGTGTGTGCGTCTCTGTATCTGTGTGCGTTCAGCGGCAATGTGCAAAAATAATTTTATCTATAGGTTTTGTATATTTAAATTGAATATATAAAATACAAAGCAGCACACACCGAAACACACACACACACAGAGAAACACATAGAAAAAGAGAGAGAGCGAGGGGCAGAGAGAGAGCTTGAGCTTCTAACGGAAATACGTAAAAGCCAAAAACAAACAACAAAAAAACTGTCGGAGAGTGCATCCGTGTGCGTGCGCTGAGCTGAGCAGCTGCCGCCGTCGCTGTTAGAAAGTGTAGCGCCAAAGAGTGACATCATAGAGACGACGGCGAAGGAGGAGGCAAGAGCAATTAGCAGTTGCGCTTCTTGTCATTTTTGTTATTCCCATTCTTCTAACAGCTAATAAGCCATTAGTAAAAAAAAAGGAGTAGAAAAATCAAAAAATAAAAGCCGCAGTTAGTTGCGATATATCGCACATTCGCATCAAAAATCGACATCGAAACGGGACAGGAGACAATAACAACAAACAACAACAAACAACACTTTCAAGGTGAACCTGCCTTGCCTGCCTGGCGAACAACAACGACAACAACAGCAACGACAACAACAGCAGCAGCAGCAACGGCTGCAAAACAACTCAAACTTATTTCGAAATTAGTCGCTTCGAGACGCGTCGAGCAGAACGGCAGAGAAAAAGAGTGACAGGACTTGCGGCTTGTGGCAGAAAACATGAAGCCAACTGTGATAGCAGCTAATCAGACATCCGCCGGCGGTGGTGGTGGCAATGGCAACGGCAATGCCACCGCACCAAGTTCGGCCGGCATAAGTATACCCCTCAATCGAGATTATGTTGGCGTGAGCAATTCGCCACAACAGCAGCAACATCCGCAGCATGGCCAGCATTACGCACAGCAGTCGCCATCACAGTTCTACAGCAATTACGGATCGCCGCGACAACAGCAGCAGCATCATCAGCAGCCACAGCAGCAGCAGATTCCCCCAACAAATCAGCAGCAGCAACATTTTCAGGTGAGTGACTGGCAAAAAATAAATACAAATCAAATCAGCGGCGCCAGTCTCAAGGTCGCCTAGCTGCTTATATGTACATATGTACATATATATACATATACTCATATATACATATATTTATATATATATGTATATACATATATATGTATCGGCGCCCGACAAGGCCGCTTTGCATTGTTGTCGATCGAAATTTAATTAGCTCAAAATGCTACAAAATGCACTTGACGCGCTCAGCGAATCCTCCAAAAAAAGCTACGCAAAAAACTTGTATTCGATTCCCTGTCTATGTATGTGTGTGTGTTGCCCATGCATATGTGTGTGTGTGACTCACTTGCAGCAATGCACACACAACCCCTGCAGCAGTTGCGTGTCAAGTGTTATGCACACAATACACTCACAAAAATCAAACAAGTTGCTAAAAAAAAATTGAAATTTGCTCAGAAACATAACAGGAAAATAAATAAGTACAATAAACAAAGAATAATTTGCTGGTAACTGTTGACAAATTTATTTAGTACATTTTTAAATTAAATATTTATAAAAACAATATAAATTATTTATGAATTTTGAAGTGGTTGTGTTTTTTGCGAGTGCATCATGCATACACTATTGACCTAATCCGGTTGTACAAACAAGCGAGCAACGCTGCGTATGCTTAACGTGGCGCCACAGATAGGAATTTCCCAATGCCGCTGGGAACAAGAAGAACAACAAGAAGCTGAATAAGAAGAAGTTCAAATTGAACAACAGCTGATTGAATACAATATCTAATCTTATTGCTGGCCAATGCAAAAGTATCAAGTGCTGTTTTTTTTATTTCTGATGAGCGAGACAAGAAATTTGATTTGTGCACGTTGAAAATGGTTCGACAATTTCTAGAAAATACTCGATGATAGAGAAACGCAAATGCTCTGCAGCAGCAGCAGCAGCAGAATATATATATATATACATATATGTGTACATACCTACATACATGTTAAGAAAGAGAGCACAGCAGAGAGTAAACTTAATTCGTTTACTTTTTGGCTCGCATTCTCGCTCTCTTCGCAGCACACGCTCAATATTTTACGACCTATCGCAGCTGTAGCTGTAGTTGTGGGTGCACTAGCTTACCTACATACATACATACAGATTCATACTTGTGTATGTGTATAGGTGTGTAGGTATATGCATGTGGGTGGGCAAATGCCAATACATACACACACACACACACACACATACATACACATATACTTGAGATATGCGCGTAGGCGGCGACAGCTCACAAAATAACAGCATTTATTTCTTAACTTGTTGTTGGCCAAGGCAATGAAGCCGTGACGTTTTGTGGTCAGCTGTCATAAGCATATCATCGGATAGTGACTTAATTTACTTATTTACACAACTTGCAATCTTGGCCAAAAACATATACACATACCTAAGCACATACATTCATACAGAAGTGTGTATTTATCTAAAATACGCAATAATATCGCCTGGAAGAAGTTATTAATATCGGAATACAGTCAGTCAGATTTCAATTTTATATACGAGCTATGTAAAATATTAAGCGGAATTTGTATTTTTCTTATTAAAATTAATAATATTACTAATCTGACATTGATGCAGTATACTTTCTAGTCGAATATCTTTATTTTTTCATACTTACGTATGGGGGTACTTTCATATTCTCAAAGATCTGATTACAGGGCGTATACTTATTGTAGTTGTGTAACAAGATTTTTTTATATTTATGCTCTCCAAGGAAAATATTGTATGTACTATATTATTTAAAAGCTAGAGTCAACAAACCTTATAAACTACAACAACTTATTCTATATTTACATATTTTCATAAATATCAATTTTAGTAGATTGTATGTTGGAATTTCTTCTTCTTCTTTTTACACATTATTACATATAGAGATATGTAATTTAATTCACCAATAGAAAAAAAACCTGCAATAGCCATTTGTTCAAAACCATTCTAAATTTGAGCACAAAATTCTTTTTCATCTTTTCAAAATCATTCTATGTATATTTGAGCACAAACAATTTGGAAATATTTTAAATACATTTAAATACATACAAATAAATCTACATACAATAAGTATTTCGTGTTAAATTATAGAATAGATTTTATTTTATTTTTCGTATATCATACGATTTTTTATTTTTTAAATTACGAACAATAAATAATATAATAAATACTTTCTTGAATACTTAAACTTATCATTTGCTAAATAACCATTTCTTGCAAGCACTTTGCAGAATTTGCATAGAAACTGTTTCCGTTACACATATTCACACACACAAACACACACACACACACATACATATATACATGTAACAAAGACACGCACACACGCGCACTTATGCTGGTTAAACGTGAGCTTTTCGATCATGAGAGGCGCTGCCAACCTGTGTGAAGTTGCGAGAACAATCTAGGCAAACAACTTGAGTTGTATTGGTGGGCGTACGTTACGATTGACGAATGCTCAGTGCTATAAAAGTGCCTGTCATCAGCTGCCGGCTAGCTCATTCACAAGCAAACAGTTGAACGGAAAGTACGTCACGCCAACTGAACGTCGCGTAAATATACAAAAGAAAAAAAAGGAAAGAATACAAAGCATAAAAGAAAATTGCGAAAAGGCTGTTTCGCTGATAAAGCAAACAATTAACTTAAAATAGGTAATGAATAACTGGCAATTAGCTGCCAATTGAATTTCACCGATTGTCAAATCGGACAAACAGCTGTGCATGTCTGTGTGTGCGTGTGTGTGTAGCGTATGTGTGTGCGTGTGTGTGTACGTGTGTACGTCAAGTGCTGTTATTAGTACGCTAAATGGCTAAGCGTCTATTTACACGATGACGTCACTTGTTTTTTCTTCAAGCCTGCAAGTTGCTATTGTTTGTCATACACTCACACACACACACACAGCAGTGTGTGAATCATACGCTTATAAATATAAACAGTTTTCGCCCACTTTGCGCTTGATTTTTGGTCGTGTTTTTTTTTGTTTTCTTTGTTTTTTTTTTTTTGCTTTAGACTAAAAATAATTTGTTTGAATTGGTTTTGTTGCAGCCGCCCTTTGGATTTGAAGCCGATATGGACATGGATATGGATAATATGTTTCCACGCTCCCGTTTAGGGCGATTGCATAACGATCATTTTGGAACATTTGGCGGCGCACGTAAGCGGAATAGTTTGCACGATCCCCATACCCAAATCCATCCCACGGCACACTCAATGCATCCTGACGAAGACTTTTCTCATTATTTCGATGATGCTGCAGACTTTGGATTCCCACAATTCTCGACGATGGGGCGACGCGGACGTGCCGCCGGCGGCGGCGCCAATAGCCACATGGAGCCCGACGATGATTTCTTCAATCGACTGCCATCGGAGTTCCGTCAGTACATACCAGAGAGCTTTGGCGCTCGACGAACGGGTGGCGGTGCACCAGCCCAATTCCGTCCCCCGCAGCAACAGCAATACTATCAGCAGCAACCGCAACAGCAGCAACCACAACAACCACAGCAACAGCAGCAGCAACCTCAGGTGCAGGTGCAGGTGCCACAATCGCCCTCGAAGCGTCTGTGCGATGCGGCCATCCAAACGGAGGATCCCATCGGTCGCTCGGAGGTCGATTGTGCACCTCAATCGGTCAATCTGAATCAGCATGGATTGCGCAACACGATGGACATGGGCGTGAAGAGTGCCGCCGAACAGGAGCAAGCATTGCGTTCACATTCGGCGCCACCCAACGAGCAACTGCAGCTGAACCAACAATACCAGCAGCAACCGCAACAGCAACCGCAACCGCAACAGCAGCAATTTGGCACACAGACTACGCCGCCAGTGCAGGCAAACTATGGACCTGGTCAGCAGCAGCAGCCTCCACTGCAATTCCATAAGAGCTACTATGCACCGCAGCAGCAATCGCATCCCCAGCAACAGCAACAGAAGCAGCAGACACCGCCGCCACCGCAGACACCCGGCGGCAGCACTATACGCACCATACCGATCTTTGTTGAGGGTCGCTCGGAGCCGATCATCAATGCGCATAAGGAAATACCAAATCAAAATGCGCCACAAGCCTCTGCCTCGGCTCAGGCATCGGCATCGGCACAGGCATATTATGCGCCTCCGCAGCAACAGCAGCATCCTCAACAACAACAACAACGTCCTGGTCCAATTAATACTCAACAGGCGCAAACAGCCGATCAACAAATGCCAGCGGATGCTGGTGTGGGCATGCCACCACAGACGCCACACACGGTGGACTCGATCAAGAAGATACAGGATATACAGCGGGATGTGCTCGATTTGATGGCCAAGGTGGAGCAATTTAAGGGCACGCGCGCGGACAAGGAGTACGCCTATCTGGACGAGATGCTGACACGCAATCTACTCAAGCTGGACACCATCGATACAAATGGCAAGGACAGCATTCGACTAGCACGCAAGGAAGCCATCAAGTATGTCCCCTTTTATTAATTTGCAATTGCAGCGAATTTACTTATTAATTATCTATTTCTGTAGATGCATACAGGCATCCGTCAATGTGCTGGACGCCAAGGCCGAGGAGAATGGACGGACAGCCGCTGGCGCTGGAACTGGAGCAGATGTGGTGCTCGCTCCACAGACGGCGGAGCCGTCGCTTGCCGATGAGGCCGAATCGGCTGCAGTCGCTGAGCCAGCAACGCCACAGCCATTGGATGCGACCAAGATTCAAGAGCCGATCCCATTGCCACCGCCACCGAGTGCCGCTGCCGCCGCCGCCACAGAGGGTGGCGCTGCTGACAGTGCGACAGAATTGCCGCAAGAGACGGCATCAAGTGCACCAACGGCCACCACGACCACCACCAACGAGACCACAACGCTGACCCAGTCGTCTGAATGATGAACGCATCGCCTTTACAAGGCGACCGTTTCGAAGCAGCTACACAAATTAACCAAAATCAACTGAATTATTCGCGTGGGTGGGCAACAAAAGAAAAAAGAAACAAACAAACAACAGACTAAAAATGTTTTCAATGTTTTTTTCTTTTGTATCGACGATAGGCAAAGAGTCAACTTTGGATTAAAGAATTGTATTGTTAGCAGTCAAACGCTTTGCTACTATTTGGTACACAAATGCATACACATACATATATATATGTATATATATATATTAATATAATCTCATCTCACACACGTACACACTCGCGATGCCTACACATTAACACACACACACACACACATACATCAGAGTTGAGCTTGTATGTGTGTTGACTAGGCTAAGTTTAAATTTGATATAAATGACAAAGTAGCGTTTGAAAATTGTACTGGAAAAGCGTTAAAGCGTTATTTGAAATTATTGCAATTTAGCTGATTAATATATATATACATATATAAATGCTAAACAAAACAAATGAATCGAAGAAAAAAATAGATGAATGCAGTTTTTATATCAGAGATATTGTTGTGTGTAAGGGGCAGCAGCATCATCATCCACAGAGACAGGCCAGAGTATGATCTCATACAAATCTTTATATATATATAGATATATATATGGAAAGAGAGTCGCTCGTCGTTTTGCTTAGCTGCGAATTGTTAAATCAAGTAATGATAACTCTAATGCATAATTATTATTGTGTTACTAATTATTATTAAAATAAATGTAGATATTGTTCACAATATGATACACACGTACAAAAAAACAAGTATCGCCAGCCTGGGTATCCTTTGCTGTTTGCGACTTGCATACATTTATGGTATACATATATATGGTATATATATATATATATATATATATGATAAGTACAAACACTCAAGTGCATGTGCAATAAGAAACATTTTTAAAAAAGGACGCAACATTGTTTCGGAAATCTCAAGGATATTAGCAATCAGATATATATATATATATATATAATGTATACAAAATTGGAAGGCACCTACATACTATATGGAAAAGAACATGGTGCGTGTGATGTACGATGTACGATGATCGATGTAAATCGTGTTATAGTCAATATATTAAATCTCATTTAGGTATTAGTATGAATTGCATTATTGTTCAGGATATTACCGGGCAGCCGTTTTAAATATATAGTATATATATATATATATATATATATATATATATGTGTGTGTAAGTAATTTGGATATATGTTCCATAAAAATACAGCCATGGCTGTTTAGAAAAAAAAGCTGCCTTGCAGTTGCCATATTTGATACGGATATTGCGTTAGAATGTTGCTTAGTTGATGATTTCCACATAGTTAGCCGGAAAGAGTCCATAGGTTCCATCGGGGCCCAAGCCCTGCCACCAGCCCTCATCGATTTGATCAATGTGCGTGATAACATCGCCGGGATCGAAGGTTATCTCTGATTCATCGGCTGCCTGATAGTCATATAAGGCGCGCGCCCGCAGACCCAAATCGCCCAGACTCTCCTGGCATATGAAGTCATCCTCGTTGACCAGATCTGTCACTTCACATCACATCAGGAAGAACACAATTGATTAAATTGATTGCTGACAATTTGTGGAAATATTTGTGACACTCACATGCATTGCGCTCCAGCGTACTAAGACCGGATGTCTTTACGGATTGCGACTGCTGTACCGTTACGGACACTTTGGTGCGCACCTCTTCCTCCTCAGACTTGTGGACAGCCGTGTCCGTCTCATTGGACGATGTTGTCTCGTCCGGTGACTGTGATTGCAGCGAATTAGTTTTACTGTGCGGTGACCGTTTGATCGTCGAGAACTGTTCACTCTCATGGGCCAGTGGCAGATCCTCAGCTGGCTGCACATCCTCCTCCTCGACGATAGCTTTCGTCATCTCCACAGCAGCGACGACTGGCGCCACAACAACGGTCGGCGTCGTATCTTTGACAATCACTGGTGTCACCGTCTTAATGGGTGATTCGGGACGTGGAGGAGGTGGCGAAGAGGCTGCATTATCCGAAGTCTGATTGTGATTGAACACATTGATGCGCTGTGCAATTGAATTGCGAGCAGGCTTCGCTGGCGGTTGTGTATTTAGCCTGTAAATGTTGTAAGTGTCATTTAGCGAATGCTAGCTATGAAAATGCCCGGCCAGAAACCCACTTGGACTGCAGCTGACCCTCGCTGGTGTGCTTGGTGAACATGGCCTTGGCGGCGCCCACTCGCGAGCCGATCAGCTCGCGTGCCTCCTGATTGCGCGCCTGGCGCATACGCTCGGCATCGGTTAAGTTATTGCCAAAGGATGCAGCGGTCTTCTCCGGACTCAGCGGTTGTGGCGAGCTGCAAACAGAAGTTGTGAGGATGAAAATTAACAACTAAACCAAATCAATATTTAAATAGAGATAATCACGTCTTGATGGGCACATGAGCCGGTTGCAGTTTGCTCGTGCTTATGACCAGCTTTTCGCGTTCCTTATGCTCCTTTTCTTCGCGGGTGCGCTGCTCCTGCTCGATCTTCTGCAGCTCCAAGCGTTTTGCCTCCTTCTCAGCGACGAGGCGACCCTTCTCCTCGGCCTCCTCCTTCTTCCAGAAGTCCTGCATGACGCTGGCGTTCAGCTCTTTTGTGGGAATGACACGCGTATAGTTTGTGCCCACGGGCACCTTTTGCTCCTCCATTGCGCCACGCGGCTCCTTAAAGCTATACGCCGAGCTGACCGTGCTCAACTTTTTGAGCAGCCGTTCCAAATCGATGTCATCCTCATTGCGTGCATTAATCGTCAAATGCGCACCCGACAGCAATTTGCCCACGTCATGAATATGATTCGCACAGGTGCCCTTCCGCAGCACAGGTGCGCCTTCGCCCTGTAAGATTAGAGCGTGTTTATTTACAGTCCGATAAGATAACCAAAAAGCAAATGGCAAAGAAATTTGTCATGTTTGGCAAGTGACTCACTCACCTGCCAGTTAACCAGCAGGTACTTATTGAGGCCAGTCTTTGGGTCTTCGATGCGCAGAAACGCATACATTATTTTCCCACTGTTCAAATCTTCGGTCAGCTCATCGACGCCCTCCTCCCCCTTGGCGACCAGTTTCAGTTCGTTCGTCTGGCCCTCGTAGCCGAAGAGCGCCCAGTTGGTGTTGCTCTTGTCACTCAGCACATCCTTCCAGGCGTCCACAATTTGCGTACGATATTTATCGAAGCTAATGGCCATCTTGTCACTTTGCCAAATTGAAATAATGTGCGTGGATTCTTCGTCGTCGGCAAACGCGACAAGCCAACGACCTTGAACAAAGCCGCTAACTGCGACGAAATCGAACTTTCAAAGGTCTTCGGTAGCTTTCACTTGCGCTCCGTTTTTGGCACTGTCACCGTTTGCCGTTTAAAGAAAGCCAACGCCCCAAAAAAAGACTTTAATTTATATCTCCGTTAGTTGGAGTTTTAATTAAATGCACATCGGATGCAGCAGAGACACTCACACACGCATGCATACACACACAGACACACACAGCTAGACCCACATTCACATACAGTTTGTTGATATTATATCGATTATAACGATATCTTGCATTTTCGATATAATAAAATATCGATTGGACTGCATTTTGCGCGCTTTAGCACACTGCATTCTTAATTGTATTTTGATGGAATATACATATAAATATTTAAAATTATAATTATAAAAATGCTACTGCTACCTGCCACTCATATTTTAACAATTTTATGACAGACTTTTACTCATTTTATTGGTTAAATTATTGTGGTTACGTTTTAGGTCGAATTTGAAATCTGTTCAATTGAATTTGCGCCAAAATTTATTTTATTATGAATGATGAAAAGTAATAATAACACGAAAGTTATTTTAAAAATTGTTATGCTTTGGTTGAGCCCTCTGAGCTGGAACTACGATCCCCATTATCCATGTCCATGCGGCTATATTTAAATTCATAATTATCATCGATGTCCACAAAATAGGTTGGCAATGTGCCACGCCCCTTGACATAGGTCAAGCCACGGTAGCTGCACTCTACGCCATAATCGACCAGTATTGTGGCCGTCTCTTCGGTCACTTGTATCTTGCCAGCAACGCCCGTCGAATCCATCCGTGAGGCCATATTGACCGCATTGCCCCAAATATCGTAGTGCACCTGGGAGGCACCCACAACGCCGGCCATCACCTCGCCACTGGATATACCAATGCTCAGGTCCGTATCGTATATTTCGCGATACACTGACATGTTTTTGTTGCACACCCACAAAGTTCTCATTAAATCCAATGCAAAGGTGGTTAGCACAAAAACCACCTCATCCCTTTTCCGGATCATTCCACTGTTCTTGTTAAGGAGCATAAGGGAGCGACGTGCACGCATAACTACAAAAAAATAATGAATATAAATAAATTTTCTTCAATATTAATATTCATATTAACACCAGCTAAGAATCATACTCACCCTCCCGAATCACGGAATCATGTGGACCTCTCGTATCGACGTATACTTTGGAGAATCGCACATCTAATCCACATGCTGCCATATACGTACAGCCCACAATTTTGATCTTTTCCACTACATAATAGTCCCTGTAAAAGGTCAGCTACAGCAAAAGAAATTAATGGTACAGAACTATTGCACAGAGAAACCATAAATCTTACGATTCTATCAAATTCCGAAATGATTTCGTTAAGAAGACGCAAATTGGGCAAATCCATTGGAAAGTTTTTCAGGGAGGCAAACATAACAGCGACCATCTCGTAATTCTCATAGTAAAACTCGTGCTTTGCCAGCGCATTCAAATAGACGTTGACTGCAAAATCAAACTGAATAATTAGAAAGAAAGGATTATAGAGTCAATTGTATGTCCTACCGACATGAGATGGCAATATGTTGTGAAGTAGAACACTTATGGACTGATCGGTTATATAGCCATCATGCTGTTTCTTCAACAGCTCAACTCTCCATCTAAACGAAACATTGATTTTAATTAGACACATTTGATTGATAGCTGTGGACTCACTTAAAGTTGATCTTGTTGTTGAACTCCGTTTGTCGCTCCTTGAAATATAGCTTGAGTAGAATTATAACGACAAATTCGCCGTGGCAATATTCAGGTGACAAGTACGGATTGGTTGTAAAAGTATGATGCATAATAATTTCAAATTGAAAGAATACGACAATAAGATAGGTTATCGCTGCCAGGGTGCTAACAATGACCTTCATCATGATGGGAATTCGTGTGAATATCAAACTCATGCTAATTATGAGGGACACCATCGTGGTTAGCACCCAGGGAGGAAAGCACATACTATATTCCGGTTCATAATGGTACAGTTTGCTCTCAATTTGCACCAGCTGAAACTCCGACTTGTCGCAGTCCATCTAAGTGAAATATGAAAGCTAACAAAACAATAATACCATAGGCTATATACCACAATTACCAACATCATAGATACGATGGCAAAGTACACGGATATCGTGTACAAATAGATACTCATCCGTTTCACCAGGCTGCTCTGAATATTCTCGCCGATGCGGAATAGATAGCAACTAAATTGAGAGTATCTGTGTGGTCGATTGGAGTATCGCCAAATGCAGAGCTTCTTGTACCAGGCGACAATAAGCAACATGGTCAAGCTGACTACGAAGAGTGCGCTCAGATATGAGGCAAATGGAACGAATCCACTCACGAAGACCATTTGCGTGTAAGCCAGACTGAGGCAAATGATCCAGGCTAAAAGTATACTGTACTTAAGCAAATAGTCTGGCTGATTTACATAGCTGATTTCGAGGCGAGGATCGTGAAACTGCATCATATAATAGCCGATTGCAGTATCAGTATGCTTCACATCCTTCATATCCTTGGATGCACCAAAGCGTAGCAACTTCTTGATGGCTTTACATATGCTGTGTGTGGCGTTTTACGTTAATAATATCAATATCAAAAATGTTGGTATTTTAACGCGCTAACCCAGACGGACCCACAGGCATCTTTTTGAACTCCTCGGCCAGCTCTTGTTCAACATTTTGATTCTGCCCCTTGGTGTCCAACATCGGGGATATTGTGTTGATGTATTCAAATTTATCAATATTCAAGTTAATTGATTTGTGTGCATAAGCATTTAAACGTATCAGAAATGTGTTAATATTGTGCTTGACAAGATAGGGATCCGCAAGCGCTGTCTGAGTACCCGGATGTACCTCAAATCCAAAATCAATGATCAGTTGGAGCGTTCTTTCGCTAACATGAATATAGCTGGGCACACCAGTTGCCTCCAAATGGTTAGCAATTATCACATCTCTGCCTATAATAATTGAATTTCTCTAATTTATGTGATGATCGAGGTATCGTAGTGGTTAATCGCTTACCCCAAATATCATATTGCAGCTTCGCTGTACCAATAACGCCGGCGAAGACCTCTCCCGAGTGGACACCCACACGTATATCAATGTCGACATTTTGCTTTGTTCTGCGAACGTCTTAAAGGGGCTTAAGGGGATTGAAGTTTTCAATGATAATCATTTACTACTAACCGTACATCGCGCATGTTTTCGATCATACAGAGGCCCAGTTCGACACAGCGCTTGGCATGATCGGGATCGGGTGTTATCATCCCAGATACACAATAATAGCAATCACCCAAAAATTTGATGCGCTGCACCATGAATCGTTTGGCGGCATTATCGAATCGGCCATAGATCTCATGGAGTAGGGCTATAAGATTATTCACCGATAATGTGGTTGTTAGATGGGTATAGTTGACAACATCTGCATAAAGGATGCTGACATCCGGATGAAGTTGAATGGCCATAATGTGTTCCCTTCTATTTGGCGACACTTGATCGCGATGCTTTTCCGAGTATTTAATCCGATTGCGTATATCAGATTCGATGGGCTGTGCTATTTGCATCGGTAGAATGGTGTGCAGGAATACCTTCTCCTGCTTCCGAGCATTCCTTATCCAAAGGTCCTCCATGAAGTACTGATGACGATCCAGAAACGATGAGCGTACAATAATATCGCGTATTATGCGAAAAAATGTGCCCAACAGATTTAAACAAATGTGATGGGCAATATGGGTGGTTATAAACATATAATTACGTCTTAAGCTATGGTTGACGATACGAAATATAACATAAAATAAGGTTGCCGACCCTCCAAGCAACAGTGGCGGTAATATATGAGGTATTGGTAGAAACACATATATCGTTAACATAAGATACGTATCGAAAATTGACATTGTCTCCCAATTGATATATGCATGATAAATACAGAGCGAAACATCTGTGGAAATATTAACGTTAGATTAGCAAATAACGAAATATATGTTATTAATATTAATAATTACACATACCAATGACAACGAAAAAAATAACGACTAGGATCGACGTTAAATACGTTAAATAAAAATGCCTCAGCACAAAATCCTCATAGAAGTTGACCCACATTGTGACCGAAACGACAACGGCCGAAATCAAATAAACGGCAATATCGATATAAATTGAATCATAATAGGGCTGAGTGAGAAGGTAAAATCTTAGCTTTATCTTTCGATTTAGTTGATCGTAATCATTATCAAAATTCACCGCAGATGTCATTAGCAACAAAATGCTGTGAGACGCTATGAATCCCAGATGGAGCACAAGGAACACACCGATGTAATTGGCACTCAAGCGCATTTGGTACTTGTGAAACTCGTGTTCCACACCAACCTGCTTGCACTTTTTCTAAATGTGATAGCAGCATTAGGATTTTCATTGGCATTGCAATTGCGAATTTTACCTTTAAAAATGATCGCTCCCATTTCAGCTCCTGCGAATAATCTAATCTGCACGACATTTTGGAATACTACTAAATGAAATATACAATATGATTAAAATGACAGAGAAATGTGTGTTAACTGTTCGCAAACTTTCCCAGCAGTCATATACATTAAACCCGACTGCTATGCCAAATGGATCAGCATATGCAAGGATTTCTAATTATGTTCTTATTTAAAATATATTTCGTTCCATTAGCGCTACAACAAACGTAACGAACGCTTCGTAACATAACCGTGAAATCAGCAGAAAACGCAAAAGCGAGCAAAATGAACGCATTGGGAGCAACGTAGCTCAAATAGAGTAGCTGACGCAAGAAAGCGAAACGTAACGCAACGCACAAAAATCAATGCTTACCAACACTAAGTGTGTTGTTTTTCGTGTAATTCACGGTGGAGTTAAACAGCATTTCAATACAAGTCGGAAAAAAGCAAGTAAACCTTTTGCATGCTAGCGACAAACGCATATCTTCCAAAAGCTTACAAATATTGCCATAATCTGCAGCTAGAGCAACGGCTAGAGTGGAACATACGAAAAACAGCTGTAATAACGACAACAAAATTTTTTTTTGGATGCGTCCAGGCAAAGGTAAATTTGGTAAAAAGCAAACCAAACAAAGCAGCAGCAGCTAAAATAATAAGACGAAATTACTGCGACTGCTTAGGCTGCGACTGCTGCTGCTGCTGCTGGCATGCTTGACAACACACACAATATGGCATTTTGGTAAATCCGTTTCGGCACCAGCTGCTGCTGCTGCTGCTGTACTTGGTCATTGCCAAATTTCGGCTGCTGTTGTTGCTGCTGATGCTGTTGTTGCCTGTCTTCAAACCTGTCCCAAAGTGCATCGTGTTTTGGGGCCCTCCACCCCCAGTCGACGCCAACGTTCAAGCAGCGGCAGCCGCAGCAGCAGTGCTGGCAGCGATGGCAACGATGAAAACTGAAAACTCTTTTTCAGTCAGCAGCAGGATTTCGCCTTGTTTTAGTCAGTCAGCAACGGCAGCAACGTCAGTCTTTGTTCACTTTTGCGTCCAATTTACATACATACATATATGTATATATATATACATATATATATATATATATATATATATATATATATATATATATACATATGCATATATGTTCATATATCCAGTTTGTGCCTTGGTCAATGTTTGTTGTTTTTGTACTTTTCAGTGTGAAACTCATGCGGTGCAGATCGAAACGATTCACAGACAGTCCAAATCCACGGCCATAGTTGGGAGTCCGCAGCACGCAGCACGTTCCTGAACAATCTTCGCACACACTATATATATATATATATATATATATAGCTATATATACAATATGGAATCGGCGCTGGATGTGCTCTCGAGAGCGGCCACCATGGTGCAGAATAATGCGAGTGGTGAGTAAATAATCCATTCAAGTCTTTGACACATTTTTTGGTCATGTGATTTTGTTTGTTTATTTGTCCACATTGTGTAATCGCCAAAATCTCAACGGACGCCCATTAAACAATTCCGCTTAAATAACAATTTGATGGATGTTTACGGTTCTTGTTACCCACTCCTCAACCTCTCCCCACTTCCCCTCACACCCCTTACACCTACCACTATGTAGTCGTCTTTATGGTTTTCACCTTTGCGCCGGCGTACTAAAAGACACAACAAAATAACTTGAAAGTATTTCAACAATGTTCTTTCGTGCTGTTAAATTCATATGCACATTTATTGCTTGAATTTATGTGTGTGTGTGTGTGTGTCTGTATGTGTGTGTGTGTGTATGTGTGTGTGTGTATGTGTGTGTGTGTATGTGTGTGTGTGTGTGTGTATGTGTGTGTGTGTATGTGTGTGTGCATGTGTGTGTGTGTATGTGTGTAGGTAGGCAGGCAGTTGCCATTAAGTGGTCCGCTTTCAAACATGAAGTTTATATTGCCATCGCTCTTTAGTCGCCTGTAGCATGATTCATAGCCCTTGGCATTCTCAGCTGAAATGCATACTTTAAAACTCCCAAGACATTTTCAGCGACTGCGCTGCTACTTTGTAAAAGGCTTTGCTGCTGCTGCTGTTGCTGCTGCAACCGATAAACTTAAACATGCATACACACAGACACACACATGCATATGTATATATGCACACACGCATAAGATTCTTTTTTTTTTGCGTATCATGAGCGCACTGAAAATAAAACATTTTCAGCCGAACAAAACATTCCAATAAAATGAGTTTGCGTCGCATTCCGATTCCGATTTTCATAAATGTGTCAAATGCCGCATTTTTGAATACGACGACAACAACGACGACGACGACGATGGCAGTGCTCTCTATGCACCGCGTGCGGGCGTTATCAATAGTTGGAACGCTCGAGTTTGGCGTTGGCGTTAGCTTCGACGCTGGCGCTGACGTTGACGTCGAGACGAGCACGAATGTGTTATATACTTGCAAATGTATATGTGTATTGCATATTTTTGCATTGGCGACACATATATTCAAATGTGTGTGTGTGTCTGGGCTCGTACTTATTTGCAATTTAAAGCGTGACATGCCAAAGAAATTGCAAATGCTAAAAAGCTGTAACAAATCCATATGCAAAATATGTGCATGCATTTATTTATTAAATAATTATTATTAATTGCTAAATTCTTTAATTTCTATTCAATGAGCTGGGCTCCTCTCAATTTGGCCTGATAAAACGGCCAGCTTCTCGCCAGAGAGTGCTGGTATTGTCTATATGTCTATACACATTTATAAATAATTGGCATGCATAGGCCAAATACATATTGATAGTGAGGAATGTGTTGTGATAAACCATTGGGAACACCATTAGGGTATACCTCCCCCCTCCCCACACACACACACAAACACACACACACCTTATCCACACGAGTTATTTATGTTTGTTTACTTTTGGTGCTAGCCATTCGAGAGATGTCTTTATCAACATTTCTCATACATATTTTGACAAATTTCTTGGCAAAATAAAACATATTTATAACTAGATATATATATATATTCTATACATACATATTGCTCTCAACACAGAACGGAAAATATTTAATAAATACTTATGTCTGCCGTTACATACACAAACATACAAAACATACATACATACATACATAGATACATACATACATACGTGTATGCATATGTCCGGCAACAATAAATTGTGAAAAATATGTGAATATTTGAAACCAAGGAAAAATAAATAACAAAAAGTAGAATTGAGCAATTTGCGTGCGTTTCGTGAGCGTTTTTAAACGCTGGCGGAGACCTTTGTCACATGTCTGCAGTTTTGAATGTTTAATGTTTAATATTTATAACATGCTGCCTGAAGACCATGGTCTATAAAATGCCAATCAGGCCCTTTGGCTTGTGTATGTGTGTGTGTTTGTGATCGTCACAACATTTGATTGATCAGCCAAAATTGGAAATGCAAAATGTCGTTAACCTGGCTATGATTAATGAATTTGTCATAATCGAATTCGGCTGAGCATACACACATACACACACACACACACACACACACACATAGGCATACGCATTTTGTTCTTCATAAATCACACGTGACTGGCCCATGCAACTCAGTCAGTAAGCCCAAAGAAAAGCGGGTCGATTGGTGCCCAAGTCCAAGTTAATTAAGCTGGCGGCAATTGTGCCTGAGATTTCGGACTAAACAGCTGCCTCAGCTGATGTCTGTGTGTGTGTGTCTCTCTAGGCCCATAATTAATAAACAAATAGTCGTTACAACAATTGTGTGGCACACAGACACACACACAGCAAACAACAAACACACGAGAAAAATGGAAAAGCAAAGTAAGCAAAAAGAAAACAAAAAAAAAATGAAAGAAAAATTGTGGCAATTTCAAGCGATTCGAGTTAGTTGAGCGCTCAGCAGGCACAGCTGGATACGTCAGCTCATCAGGTAATTTACATGGCCTTTCAATTCCCCGTTGCCAACTAGCTGTGGCAAACAAACGGGCAAACTGGCTAACTGGCAACTTGGCTGGCAGTGCCAAACACTCTCTTCCTTTTACTAGCCAAACGGTACGCATAATTGCCGTGAATCTCGACCAGAAGAAAAATGAAAAAAAAAAAATATATAAAACAACAACAAAAACAAAAATAGAAACTGGTTTACTCGGCCCATTCCCGGCACAAACAGCTTGTGGCCAGATGACCGCCTAGCTCCAACTCCAACTCTGACTCCGACTTGGAGACTCAGCCTCTGGTCTCATTGCCTTTCTTTTTGCACTCGATGCTGCTGCTGCTGCTGCTGCCGCTGTTGATATTTATTTAAACATTTGACTATTTGGCCATGCCATAAATTTCGCTTGTCACAGCATCCGAAATTTTCGACAAACTTAATAAATATGTATGCAGATTTCAACATTTCTCGTAATTTGGCAAAAAAAAAAAAACATAAACTGACATTTGCATTTGCCAACAAAATGCGATTAAAAATGTTCGTATTGATATTTTCTCACGCTAAACTTATAGCCGGATGATATTTTGGAATGACAACTATATTTATGATATTGTTCTTATTGCCATTGCCTGTGTGTTCTTCATGATTAAGCTCTGCTTGTTGTTGTTATTATTATTATTTTTATTATTGTTGGTATTGTTGTTAGTTTTAGCCAATAGGCAAACTGGTTTGAAAACCGCGCGCACGCTCGCGTTTTATTTAAATTTTGAACTGGTTTCTGCTGATTTGTGTTGCCTTTCTGCGCATATTATGTTTGTATTTGTACATTTGTATATATGTATGATGCACACACATACAAACATACAACTCTCGTATCTTATTGAATTTCAAAAACATATATATATATATATATAAATTGTCTGCCGCTATCTGTCAGCTTGTTCTAGAAATTGACCGCTATCTTCGACTTACGTCCGTCGTTGCATCCGATAGAAATTTCATTCACTTGCCACTCACACTTCCGTGTGCCCGAAACAAACAAAAAACCAAAACAGAATCTGATTATTACTTGACCCATTTGTTGCTCATTGCTCATCGAGAGCTCTCAAATTTCTGCACCGATTTCTAAACAACAACAAAAAAAAAAAACTGCATACATCATTTGGCAACAATTAGCCAAGCATTTTCTGCAAAATGCAAAACTGAAGAATGGGGTAATATTGAATTGCTGCTCAGTCGGTTGACTAAGCACAAATCCAGAAGAGCAACTCAATTCCACACCATTGAGTGTCAATTACCAACTGACAACTTTGTGTATGTTGTCCAAATACCAATCGAATGTGTAAAAACACTCTTCTCAAAGCTGATCTTTCAGAGCTATATACAAGATATATACGCAAGGTTATCCTTAAGCTGTTAGCCCGGATTCGGATTACCGAATATTTTCTACCCTTGCCTGGCTTTAGAATGAAACATATAATTGATTGGTTGGCTAGTGTTAAGTTGGCTAGACAAAGAGGAGCTTGTCCAACTGGAGATGGTTATTTGGATTATTGGTAACTAAGAGTTTTCACTGACTCGATTGAATTATGATTATTTTTGTACTAACTATAGAAAAGGGAATTGGAATTCTAAGTTTGTCGAATTATTTGCAATCAGTTAAAATGAAAAATGATATTTTTTAGTTTGAATTATGTGTGTTTCGAAGAAGTCTTCATTGAATGCGTTGCCAATGTTTCGACAAGATAATAATAACCTCTGCAGTGGCAACAAAGGTCAATTTGAATACATATTTAAAAGCAGACTGATTGAGTTGTTTTACTCATCGGTGCAAATGCATTCATATGTGAATGGTTAGATGCCGATTCGACAATCCTTTGAATGCCAGATGGGTTAACTTTTGCGACTACTATGCAAATCTAAGTGCCTAGTTAAATTGGTTTACGAGCGCTTTTTTTTGTTGTTGTTTATGTCTACAACGTTTTGGGTTGCTGTAATTTGCAATTGTTGCTGCTGCTGTTGCTGTTGTTGTTGTTGCTGTTGTTGCTCTTGTTGGTGTTGCTGTTGTTGGTGTTGTTATGTTGCTGGCATGATTGCCATTCGATTGACCTCGTTGCGCATGCGTGCGCATGTTTCACGCTACACTAAAAATTTTCGCACACCTAACAACAACAAAAAAAAACACACACACATAAGAAGAAGAAGAGGATGAGGAGGAGCAGAAAAAAAAAGTAGAAAAAAACAAACAAAAAAGCTCGTGCCGTTGATGAGTAAGCAGCAAGAGTCAAAAAGTGTCTAAGCTCGCCCCACGAGAGACGCTGCGCCGTTTGTCAGTCAACTCAATCATTCGCAGGCCAGCCAGCCAGTCAGTCTGTCTTTCTGTCTGTCTGTCCGTCCGTTTGTCAATTGTTCAGTCTGTCAATAATTTAGCAGTGAGTTTTGTTTAATTTGGATTTGGCGCGCGCTGCGCAACACAAAATT